AAAAAAAAATCATAAAGTATTGAGATTAATCATCATTCTTATGTCTTAAAGTACATATGAAGGTTAGGGTTATTGGAGATGTGTCTTAATATAAATTATTGTATTTATTTTGTAAAGTAATCATAATAGAGCTTTATTTATACAAAAAAGATCTTTAAAATCATAAATTTATCATTTTTATTATATTACAGTAATAGAAGAGTTTTCAAATTGGATAGAAGATAGAAAAGAGGCATATAAGGAATTTCTTGTTCCCGATTTGAAGTTAGCAGCTTTTAAATTAGTAAGACAGAAGCACATGAAACAAATGTTATTGATTAAAAAAATATCTTCTGTATATGATTTTGTGGAACATAAAGATATGTTCTTACAAGTAATAAAGGTATATATGTGTGTGTATATAAGCTCAAACATTTTACAAGTATAACGATTTATTTCACACTTCTGTATTATTTTTTGTAGGATATGATACGAGAAAAAGAATACAAAGAAGCTGCACAGTATGCAGCAATGTTACAATTGCAAAGCCACTTTATAGATCCAAAAATATTGTTATTACCTCTTATATTACAAAATAAGTTGCAAGTAGTTGACGAATTTCTAGTTGACTGCCCAGAGGTACAACAAACCTTGACAACTTACTTAGATGACCTTATAGCACCAGGAAACAATGTACAAATTGCATTAGAACAATTTATCCAGTAAGTGATACTTTATATAGCATGTGAATTTTTGCTATTTAACTGAGAATTTTACTTAAATAAATGAATTGTTTCAGAGCTTATGATATACCAGAAGTTAAGATATCAGCACAAGCTCGTCCAATAACTAGACTTATTGCACGTCTAATAAAACAGTACAATTTGTCACCCGATGTATGTCCTCACTTAAATACAAAACGAAACGAAGGAGCATTACAATTCCTAATGTACAAGCGTTACATGGAGAATAGCTTAAGTGAATATCCATTTTTCTTTACAGCTATTCAGGATTAGAGATTTGTCCTGTTTAAAAATAAAATATGTTAATATCTTTTAATCAATTATCTTTTTTTTCTATTAGATGTTGCCAGTTGGAGAGAGATGGTAAGAGAGGCAGTTGGAGATGACCGTAAATTGCAAGTGGAATTACTCTTGATGCTAGTTAATGCTAACGATGAAAAAGAAGGCTTATACTGGGCAAAACAATATCAAATACCTAAGGAGGAGTGGCCATGGGCAATTTTGCACGAAGAAGAATATAATGGAGAAAGTAATGCTCTTTTATCTATATTTTTATATTTAAACCTTGTGGAGTACTCATAATATTACAGTTTGCAGGGGTAAATGATGGCGCTTCTACGAGCAGAGAAGAAAATTACGAACTGACTGAGAATAATTCAAATTATCACGTCTTAAAATTGCCAAGAGAGTCCATCAATGTAGTAGATAATGGACGCTTGTTTGAAGAATTTCTTGATACTGGACTGAGAAATGTTAGCATGGTTGGAATTGATTTGGAATGGAAGCCTAGTTTTGGTAATAAATACTTGACACGAAAAGTGATAAAACAATGATCATGAGTTTACAATACTCCAGTTAAATATGAAATATTTACACTTTCGTAGGATCTAAGCCACCAGAGTTAGCGCTCATACAAATAGCTACAGATGATAGCGTTTATATTTTGGATGTCACTACTCTGGGCAATGAATTACATGAGCTCTGGATTGAACTTGGTCTTACATTATTTGGAAATAAAAATATTGTGAAAATTGGTATGTATTTCTATTTAAAAAATAGTCTTCTATATTATTTTAGTTATATGATACATAAAACGTCGTTTAGATTTAACTTTGTATTTAAATATGCTAAAATGATAAAGTTTACTTAAAATTTAAATATGTTATTTAGTTTCAAATTAAAGAATTAACATTATTTTATATAGAAGAAGCATATATATATTACATATATTATTTTTCTCTCAGAGAATAGGAATTTATTATGATGTCGTACAAAAATTATTTTTTGTATTAAAATTTTCATATGTTAACACAGGATTTGGCATAGCACATGACATGACAGTCATGCGTAACAGTCTTCCTATTATATCGTCTGTGAAAATGCATGGCCAAGGATACCTGGATTTGATGCATTTATGGAAAAAATTAGTGGAAGAGCACAATTTTGTGTTCCCGTATAAAGGGGATCCAAGTTTCACTAGCAAAAGCTTGAGTAAATTGGTAGAGCTGTGTTTCGGACAAAAACTCGATAAATCTGATCAATTTTCAAATTGGGAGTTACGACCTTTAAGAGAAAGCCAAATAAAATATGCTGGTTGGTCAATTTTCTCTATCTTTCTAACATTGTATAACAATTTTATATTACTAATAGTACTAATAACCAATAACTTTTGCTAATATATCTGTTATATATGACAGCATTGGACGCTTATTGCTTATTGGAAATTTACAATGTACTGGCAGAATATTCAAGAGACATGGATATACCGTTTGAGGATATTTGCACTGAAGTACAGTATATGCCACAAACATATACCAAACCAAATGGGAATAAACCTGGATATAAGGTATAAACGACATTATGGCAAATCATATTGCTATGTAGACGGTTGTATAATTATACAAAACGACATTTATCATTTACTAATTAAAGATATATTTTTGCTTAAAAATCTGACAAATAATCGTTATCTGCGTTATAAAATATTTTTATTTTTATAATTTTTTTCTCTTTTTCTCATTATTTAAAAATCACAGAAAAGTATATTAGTTAATATACACTATATGCTAGCATACAATTATGTTTATCTTTTTTTTGTAAGGGAATTAATAAGAATAAATATTTTTTACGAAGGAAACATGTTATTGATTTAATCATGTTGTTTGCTTATATGTGTTTTTGTCAAATGTTCTTGTCAATTCTGTAGAAACCTAATCCAACAACGCCTAACAGAAGCAACGAGAATTATCACGCGAACACGGAAGCTTCGTCAAAGTGCGGAACAACGCCTAAACACAAGCTCGCACCCAAACCAAATGGGTATCAGTGGAATAAACAAAATAATCAGGAGAGAGGAATCGCAAATATTGGATTAATCACAGTTAACGATGGAAGACGTGATAATCAAAGAAGACACGAGAACTATAGAAAACATGACAACCATTATAATCATAATCAGGATAGATACGCGCGTTCCGGCATACTTCTTAACGATGAAAGATACGAAAGACCCAACAGTGCAAGACGCGACAATCAGAGGAGGTATGAAAACCAAGATTATAACAATCAAGATAGATATATGCGTGTCGGAAATGCGCTCCAAATGGATGAAAGATATGAAAAGCATAACAACGAGAGACACGAGAACCAGAGGAGATATGATAATTATAACAGATATGATAATCAAAACAAATATGGTAATCAAAATAAGCGTGACAATTACAACAGATATGACAAGCAGCATAAACGAGAAGATACACAAAACAGACGAGATATCCAGAGCAGGATGAAAGACCAAGACGGTGCGAGTAAATCAGCGTCACGGCAATATTTAATTCCTGCGCATAAGTGGCGCGTTGTATGCGACTCGATGCTGGGTGGGTTGAGCAGCAAGCTGCGGATGTGCGGCGTGGATTGTGTGCATGTATTATTTGATCAAGGTGGGGACGATTCCGCTCAATTGGCGATGCGTGAAAACAGGATTCTCTTAACGCGCAACAAGAACTATGAAAAGGTACGATTCACTTCATATAATTTACGATATAGCCGATGTAATTCTTACACTAATGATATCCGTAATGTAGTTTAAGCAGTATCTACCGTTGGAGAATTGCTACAGGATAATGGCCGACACGCCTGACAACCAATTGCGCGAAGTTCTGTGTAACTTTGGAGTCATAGTTAGCCAGAACGATATTTTCAGCCGATGCCAAATATGTAATTACGACGAATTCGTGAAAGTCCCGAAGAGATTGATGGACGATCTTGTACAAAGGTGAGTTACGGTTTTCGATTGATTTAACTTTTCAATCTATTTTTAACGCCATGAAAATAACAATCTCCCTTTGATGTAGTTTTGTGAAAATTATAAGGCAAAACAATTACCGGGTGCTGCCTAATCAATCCGATAGCATGTCAAAGGTCGGCGATGATACTACAAGTGACGATTACGAATTGGCTCGAAACCCGAATAATTATTTCACAAACAGTGAGCATCGCACGTGGCGTCTGTCCACAGACACTGTCGACGTAGGCAAGTGCACAACCAGATATCAGATGAGAATACAAATCGATAAAGTCCCTTTAAACGTACTGAAAAATGTACAAGTCTTTTATATTTGCGAACATTGCGGAAAGATATATTGGGACGGTTCGCATTTGGAGCGAGCACTTAATGGTGTTATCAAAGATTTGATCGTTAAGTTGTAAGTATTAATGTTAGATGTGATAAAAGACTCGAAGGTGCATTTAAAGGACTGCCGAGATATTAAAAAAAAAAAGGAAAAAAAATCAAAAGTCCTTAATTCGAAGCTTCGAGTGCATAATGGTTCCTGAACTCTACGGCACCAATGATAAGTATGCGCGTTTATTGCCGCGTTTATTGAAAATACCTAATCACGATATTTGTGATGCAAACCCATACTATCGTATCAATATATTGTTACCGTTGTTTTCTTGCATTTTTCAAGATACCATAATATTATATTTTATTGTTCTGTTCATTTTAGATATGTATTATCGCGGTGATATCGTCAGAAGATAATCCGATAAAAATGTTATATTGATTACATGGATATTGTGCCATGTATGTTTAAGTTACTATGTTAACAATTGTTTTCATTAATTGTCATCTTAGTATAATCGTTAAATAATGAGTATTAGAGTTTTGATTTCCATTCTTTTCTATCAATACATGAGTGACGAGAGATATTAGACACAAATTGATTAACGAGGACCATGAACAAAGCATCGTAAAATGCAATTTGAGACGCATACAATATTTCACGTATAAGAGCAAATCAAATGCATATAAGCCAAGAACTCGATGTATCTACTTCGCTGCATATTTGTATTCTTACAATTATCTCTCCTAACCACGTAACGAAAAGCAAAGATGCCCCGTTAGAGTACAAGATGATGTTGCTCTGATTTTTCATAAAAGTATATATATTTTAATTATATTCATATTAACACATGATATATACATATATTTACATAGAAGAAATACGTGTATCTATTTTTTATCGAAAGAAAACAATATTGACAAAAGCAAAAGAGAAAAAAAAAAATATTGCTAATTGTGAGAAGTATTGTAGATTTAACAATTTTTTAATCCTATATTTCATATGTTTTCCAACGGCCATATTGTAGCGAAACTTTGTTTTTACCTAAATATCGGAAAAATAAAAATATAATTCTTCCACTTGTGTGATTTTATTTAGATTTCTTAGATTTGGTCGTAGACCACAGTAATGATAATGAGATCAGTGTACAGAATGAAAATGTATATAGCGACGGAAAAATATTTTATAAGCAGTCAAATCAATGTTCAATATATTCAAATTTCAATTAATATATCAAGAAATAATATTTTTAAATATTTGTATTCTTACATCTTATCATGCTAGTTTTTCTCTTTCTTTATACAATGTCTTCTTAAAAATGTCTACAAAAATACTTCTCTACGCCGTTGCTCTGTCCATCGGCGACGATTCTCTAGGAGGATCGGATTTTTCAAATTCTGCCGGTTCCATGAGCCGCTTCTTTCCAAACGGTGGTGGTCCGATCAATTTTTCGACGTCTTCATACGTCAACGTTTCCTTTTCTAATAAAGCTTCCGCGAGCTATGTGATTGATAAAAATATTTTAAATATTATATACATATATATAAATATCACACACGATATTTTTTAATAATGTACAATCTTTAACAAACGTAGGATAAAATATACACACCTTGGTCAACTTGTCTTTGTTATCTGAAAGTAATTGCCGAGTTTGTTCGTACGCTTCTCCAATTATTCTCCTCACTTCAGCATCCATTAAATTGGCTAATTTTTTGCTATATGGTTTCTTATTTTTCTATAAAAAGAAAAATTAAGCATGGAACGCTCTTAAGTGCAATAAACGGCTTACGCGAAAGTGTTATCATGTCATACCGTATCGACGGCTTCTTCGTGAAAAGAAACCAAACCCACAGCTGGACTCATTCCAAACTGTTGGACTTGAAGATACGCCGTCTTGGTCACTTTTTTCAAATCATTTTCAGCTCCCGTTGAGATTTTGTCGAACATTATGTGTTCCGCGACTCGGCCACCCAGCATCATACACATTCGCTCGAAGAGCTCTTCTTTACTGTGGAGCTTCTGATCGGATTTAGTGTACTGCGCGAATCCCAGGCTCATGTTGGTTCGCGGCACTATCGTCACTTTGAGCAAGGCGTCCGTGTGCTCCAACAACCAACCCACTAAGGCATGGCCGGCTTCGTGATAGGCGACGACACGTTTGTTCTCTGGTATTAACGGATTGTTCTTCTTCGTCAAACCACCGATCGTTCTATCAATCGCGTACATAAGATCGCTACTATCGACTTGTTTTTTCTTATCCCGCGCAGCGTGTAACGCGGCTTCGTTGCAAACATTTGCTATGTCAGCACCTGGAAACGTTAAACTCAAGTAACATCTGAAGCGATAAATAAACGCAATCTGTTTCGCGAGTAAATTACCGCTAAAGCCAGGTGTAAGATAAGCTAAGTATTCCGAGTATTTTGAGGGTTCGCTGCGTAAAGATATTTTTTGGAGATGAGTCTCGAAGATTTGTTGTCTCTCTTCCAACGTGGGAAGATCGATTAAGATGTGCCGGTCGAATCTGCCCGGCCGCAGTAACGCCTTGTCCAATACTTCTGATCTATTCGTTGAAGCCAATATAATAACATCTTCCTTCGAAATCATCCCGTCCATTTCTACCAAAAGTTGGTTTAACGTGCGTTCCGACTCACTGTCACCGATTCCGAGTGAACCTTCTGAACGTTTTTTCCCGATTGCATCAATTTCATCGATATATATGATGCTTGGTGCTCTGTCGAGAATCAATGATATATTTGTATAATTGAAACACGCGATTTGTGAATAGCGAAATAACCAACCTCTTTTTGGCTTCCTTGAACAAATCCCTAACTCGAGCAGCGCCTAAGCCGCCGAATACTTCGATAAATTCAGAGCCGTTCATGGACAGGAAGGGAACGTCTGCCTCAGTCGCCACAGCTTTAGCTAGTAACGTCTTACCACAACCAGGAGGCCCCAAGAGCAAAGCGCCTACAAATAAAATTACATAGTTTAATTTTATAGCACAAACCTAGCACTGATATTTTTCTATATATTTAAGATTACCTTGCGGCACTTTAGCCCCAAGCGCTCTGTAACGTTCTGGTTGTTTGAGATAATCTACAAACTCCATCACCTCTAGCTTAGCTTCCTTCAATCCAGCTACATCCGCAAAACGCACACCCTTACCCTTCCCCATTAATGGCTCGACTAGTGTAAACTTTGCTTGTTTCATCTGTGAGATAAACTCGAGGGGTTTAAAAGCGAAACGTTTTCTCACGAAAATAAAGGCAGCAGTAGCTATTGTTGCAATAAGCAAGAATCTTATAAAACTCGCTATGTATTCCAACTTTCTCTCATAAATTATTTGCACTCCTTGGCCTGTAACATTTCAAAAATTTCAGATATATATTTGAAAAGGTAACCCAATATATAGTGCTTGTTCAGACTTGTTTGTGCAGATGATTTACTCACCAGCTTTTATGCCAAGATCTTTCTCCACTTTTCTCAGCTTTTCTTCAAAATTTTCGATATTTGGAACAATCATGAAATATCTCTTATACAAACTCCTTTTTCCTTTAATAATAGCACCATCATGCAGTATGATTATAACATGGTCAGTATTGGGATTTACAATAACCGCCTCAACTTCTCCTTTGCTCAACATGTGATACACAAATTCATTCCAAGAGATAGAAACTGCAGGCTATTTAAAAAAAATTACTTGTAATCAAGTAGTAATATCTTAAATCTTTAATGATTTCTGCAATGATGAAAAACTCACTTCTACTTTTGTATCTATTTGTTGTCTGAATGCAAATAGGAGAATATATAATAACGTAAACCATATCCAAAGTTTTCGTAGAAGTATTTTCATTTCTTCATTTTTGTCAGGCTCCTTGTCCGATTTTCCAGAACCGGGTTCTTTCGATGACTGCTTATTACAGTTGCTAGATGTTGTGTTAAAATATCTGACATTGTTAAATCTTGGGGAAAAGTTAAATCTGCTTGCATTGATGTACAACAATGTGGACTGCACAGCTTTAAATTCCTTATATATTTTCTTATAAGTCTAAAAACAAATATCGTTAATGACATTTCTTTTTTGTCAAATATCCATGTTTGTATCAATATAAAGATCTGATATTTAATCACTTAATTTAATCACTTAATTTAATCACTTAATAATCATACTTAGAGCTATTTCGAATTAAAATTTAATTAGTTAAATAAATGATAAACATAAAATGCAAAGAAAAACCAAAAAATAGAATAAAGAATCACAAACTAGTGGATACTAACGTGATAAGACACAGGTAGAAATAACCTATACGCTGCATTATTATGCCCATTACATAAATGTTTACTACCAAAAAAGGTTTGTTCTCTCGGGAGAGAAGTATTTTTGGGTGAAAAATTGAATATTCGACTAGACACTATATAGTGCCGTCTTGGGCACTTAGTTAAGTTCTGCATAGTCAGATCAAAAGTGTCAAAACCGCAAATTTATCCATACATCGCGCTCACATCTGCACGTGCAAACGTGCAATACTATGCAACGATTACAAATGATTGTGTCACTCACTCTGTGTATATAAGATTAGCATACTTGTACCAGACTATGCACTAGAAATTAAAATTGCGAATTTGACCAATCAAGTAATCTCAATCCTAGTTTTTTTTCAATTAGAAACGGTATGAATAAGCCTAATGATCAGAGAGAACTTTTTGATGCGTTTGTGAAAGTAAGAGAGAGCACTAATCTGTTGCTTTTTTCAGCACTCCATGAGCTTGTATTGTTAAATGTTTTATCTGATAATTCAGCGGAAATTATTAAGATTTTATGATTATTAATTGTAATACCATGAAACAATCTGCCAACACGCACTATGCATCGATCTAGATGTATGCAGATTGTCTCGGACATCTGCAATGGTGGCCAGATGGCGGCACAAAAGAGGTCCGAATGAGATATATGGAACCCCCACCTCCAAATTCACCAGTCGCCATAGAACTCACGGAAATCTGCTCGAAATACTCGATGAAATTCGGGTAAGTTATTTCGTTAATTTGTCTCAAATCACACGAAACTCGTCGCGATTACTTAAAATCGCGACGAGCGCATGACATACAGCATCTTGGCGAGTATCACTACCTGACCGGTCATTATCAAAAATGACAGTTTTGCGGTTACTCCAATGAAGCGAGGGGCTGACACTTTTTCTTCGTTTATTCAAATAAAAGAAATATACACTGACAATTTATGTAAATTCGGTAGTAATTTACATGCGGATGATCGCACGGTTGCACTGTCGTACAGTGTCACCGCTGCATAAAATGGTCAATTCGATTTCTTGCTTGTTTAATTCTCGATAGTTGACGAGCCTAGTGGCAATCGCAAACTCTACAGATACACAGTAAATCAGGGTTGTCCTTCAATACCGGCAATCCGTTTGTTTTCTACAATGCATATTTTTCTCTTGCAGGTATTTTAGCATCACTGTCATTTCATACAATGCCTCTCTTGCATGACAGACGGCAGATGGCTCAGAGTGACATTGTTAAACCGATTTTTACTTCCACCGCCTGATCATACGATCATGATAGAGTAGCATCTCTTTTAAGCCGAGCCATCGTTTACTACTGTCAAGATGAGCGTCGGTCCTGCAGGTGTTGCTGAGCTGTTCAACCTACTCGAATCTAATAAACTCGGCGAGGTCGAGGAGATCAAGAAAGTATTTCATGATCATTTCTTATGCAGTGAGTAACATATGCATTTTCTTGCGTCGTATGTAGTCATATTGTTTCTGACTATATTGGTTTGTTCACAGCAAAAGATAGTTGGTTGGTAAATGGATTATTTGATTATTACCTTTCTACAAACTCCTTAAGGACCGCTGAAGTATTAGCAGGAGTCCGAGATCCGCATGACAAACATCTTTTAGATCGCTTATCTGACATTTTATCAAAATCTGGCAATAGTGGACAGAGAATACAGGCCCTCACCTTGCTTGGTCATATAGCTAGGCGTCAACCTACTTGGTTGTACAAACTAACCAGTCATCCTTTATTCAAAGATCTACTCAAATTACTTAAGGTAACATATTTTTTTACCTATCTTTTTTTTATCAGTATCAATAATCATTTATGTATATACATGTAGGCTTTTTTTTATCAATTCATTAACTTTGGCCTTTGATTACAAGCCATTTTAATGCACATATTATTTCTATGTAACTAATCTATATTGTATAAACATAAATGTTTTAAATACCACTGATCATCTATTATATCTGATGTGGATTAATTTGGAATTTCATGTTAAAATATATAAAATTTTATCTGTGGAAATAACTTTAAATATCTAAAGGGATTAAATAGAGTACAGTTCTACAAGACTGTATTTTTCAAGGTGGAGGCAGATATATTACCACTTATGAGTGCCCTTCTTCTGTTAGTAATGTTGTTACCAATGTTACCTGCTGCTCTAGGGCCGTATCTGCCAGAAATATTTGAGGTATTCGGCCGCTTAACATCTTATTATCATCATCAATCGTCCTTACTTCCTCTTTCTACTCCTTTTATTTCAACCACAGTACCAAACATCATCGACAAGGACCATTTGTACCTCATACATTTGCAGGTGAATATTTATAATTATTTACAAAATAAAATGTAGAAGAGCTAACGACATTAGTTATCACGCAACTATTACAGGTAGGATTATGCAGCTTATTTCATAGACTGTACGCATTGTATCCTTGCAATTTTATATCATACCTGAAGCAACAGTACATCCAGCGTGATCAATTTGAATCATTGGCTCAAACATTTACTCATACTATCAGGCCGATGTTGGAGTCTGTGCGTATGCACCCTTTACTTGTTACAGCATCCAAAGATGCAGAAATTTCATCCAATAGGTACCTATACTTTGCTACATATGTAAAATAATATATTTCATATGTCTCGAAATATCGAAATTACTGTTATAAATTGACTCTTTTCTCGCATAATAGGTGGAAAAAAATGGAACATCATGATATTGTGATAGAATGTGGTCGTTTTACGTTAGACAAATGTCGAGAGGAAATACTAAGCGTAGCTAATCCTCGGTGTACTCCACCTTTAGGTCAGCATTACAATCCTCTTCATGCTATATCTTTTTTTCTTGTAACATGCAAGAGAAAGTTATATTTTGTTTGTATATTTGCAGATCAATCTTCCATCGTTTGTGCGCCAATAAACATAGGAATAACAAATACGGAAATTATCAATCAGGAAGAGGAAACATTCTGGTCACCGAGCACGGCGATACCGCCACATACGCCACCGCCTCAAAATACATCTCACGAACCACGCTCCGCCCCGCCGACGCCTAATAACAATAGAAGCGGTACTTCCCCACCCGAAGCCGCCATCGAAGCTACCCCAGAGACAACTCCCGTTAAGGTGTACAAAATGAATCTTGCTTATTACGTTCAGGAATATACATTATACAGGATATTTCAGAACCAAGATTGCGCATAAATGACTGGCTAATAGAACACGTAAAAAAACAAGCCAAAAAAAGCTTTGAATAAGAATGCATCCGCAATTGTTTCTGAAATATTCATTTTGTAGATTTTTGTACTTTATGTCATATATTAGTATATAAAATCTAACTCTGAAATATCCTGTATTTCCCGTAGGATCTACGAAAGCTATCAACGAGGCAAGCACCTTTGGTGGCATCTAGTGCAGTGCGTGCTCTCAACGCATTGGGCAATGGTACATCCTCACGGCCGTCAACGCCCACCTCTGTAAACTCCTCTTCCACCTCTGGAGTGAAAAATACGGATATTCCAACGAACACACATGGATTTCTTTCACAGAGGCTAAGTAAAATTATGTCGGATAGGCAGTCGCAAAAATTAATAATTAATAACGAAGAGAACGCGAGGTTCTTAGAAATGGCTGTAAGTCAGAATGGGAAAACTGATTCCTGGCAAGAAGATCAAGAGGTTTGAACAACTTATTAGTAGATTCTGCGCGCTAAATGAAAACACAGAAACCGCATTACGTATAATTTTGTGATGCAGGTATTGGAAATTGTTAGTTCACATGGCAATGGATCAGTTGAAATGCCAAAATACGTCGAACCGCAGCCTGAGACACGAAGTGAGAAGAATACGTATGGTGCTTTCGCCGATTTATCGCAGAAAATTTATCAGCTTCTGCATTCTCAATGCCGTCTCCCAGTAAAAGACTCAAATTCAAATGTAACGCACAAGGTGGAATATCGACAAGTTCAAAAATCTCCAAAGATTATCTGTTGCATGAAATATATCTCGCGTTACAACAATTGTAATTGCAATACAATGTTTTTTTTTGCAGATTCGGCACTCCAAATCTTGTCCAGACATAGAAATGCAGAAGAAATGTAATAGTGAAAATGTAAGCGATCAAGCTAAATCAGTAGAAACGAATAAACACGAGGACGCCAGCATTCAAACCAGCAATCTGTTCCCGTACGAGCATTTGTTGCTGGGAATGTTGGATCAGAACAGCCAAAATATTAGTCAAGAAAGTTCTGATTCGAGATTGTCGCCGATCAGCATGCTCGATCGTTATATTGAGGCTTGTACGAGAGTGAATAGCTTCCCTAGCAATAACAGCAAAACGAGTAAATAGATATGCGTACAGTAATAACTGATGTTTCTGGCGAGTGTAATAACTTTTTTTTTTTTTTTTTTCTTAGAAACAAACAGTGCTAGGCAGAAACAAAAAAAGAAAGGAGAAGAGGATACGGAAGAAGACGGAGCGGACGATGATAATATAGATCAATTGCTTCAACTTATGCAAATGCAGTTGCAGTTCGAGCGACAACGGCGAGAAGTTCATGCCGAGCGTAACCGGCGTTTGCTTGGCAAATTGAGAGACTCGCGAGCTTCAGAAGAGCATAATCTTGCTTTGGTCAGTTCATAATCTTATTTAATGTTTATGAAATTCTTATGTGACTGATCGTTTTGACATTCTTCTTCTTATAGACTGAACGTTTGAAAATATTAGAAAAAGAAGTGGAAAATTTGAAAGCGTTGTTGGAGCTAAATAAAAGGGAAACGCATCAAGCTGAGGAACAATATAAAGAAGCTATGCATCAGTGGCAAACTAAAGTATGATTTTTTTGAAAATTTTATTTTTATTGTAAAAAAAATCGGAATACTCTAGAATTTAAATATTACACATGTAGGGCGTCGAAGAACAACAACAAAGTCGCGCGCTTAAGGATCGCTTAGAATGTCTGGAATTGGAATTAAAAAGCGAACAAAAGAAGGCAGCTGAAACGCAGCAACAACTTCGTTCTACCGAAGCGGACCTTTTCAATGCAGGACACCAGCTTAAAGCAGCGTTAAAAGCTGCAGATCGTGGTAAAGAATTAGAACGCATTGTTGAGACAATGCAGAAAAAATTCGTACTTTGGGGAGAGGTAATTTATTTCGAATGAAGATAATATCTTAGCAAATGTAATAGACGGAAATGCAAGTTGAGTTGCCTGTAACAAATTAATGTTCCGTGCGTTTCTTATTGCAGGCGCAGTTAAGATTAGAAGAAAATACAGGCACTTTCTCGCCAACGATTAAGCAAGAAGCGACGCAAGCTCAGAAATCGTATACAGAAGAATTGAATAGTAAGTCCAAAGTAGAGAGAAGCAACATTCTCCGCATTGAATACAAATTACTAATCTTTCTTGGAATCTTTCTAGATATGCGGCGACAATTGGAATCACGAACGTCGCATTTGGAAGCGTTGAAAGCACGTTTGAGTGAGTTAGAAAATAAGGAAGCGCGGAAAGAAAGCCAACTGGTGGAGCTGCAACGGCTCTTGCAAGAGACCAAGGAGCGACACGCGTCCGAATTGGACGCCGTCGCGTCAAAGTATCAAGCACAAGTGGAGATCAACTTGCTTCTGGAAGGTCGTATACTCGAACTTCACGGTAAATTGGAGACCGCCACGTGCTCCAACACTTCACCCATGGCGAATCCTGCTTCTTCGGCATCGCCTAAGGAACGATCCCCGCCTCTATCGACCAGTTTGGCCTCATCCAGCGAGGGTAGCCTAGCGTTTATCCATCCGGGCGTCGGGAGTATCATAAACGATTGCTGCGATACCGCGACAGGCGAGATTTGCAACCTGCAAGCTATGATAGAGCCTGTGCCGAGTAGCAGCCAAGCCACGTCACCGTCACGTTCTGTCACTCGACGACCGTCGATGCCGAAGCAAGATTAACGAAACGGAAACGTTCACTGTGACGTGAGCCCCTTGTATACCGTCGATAAACGATATACGGAATTATTATCGAAGATTAATGCGTGTGAATGCGCCGCGCCCATTGCCATTGGTGCCGCGGTATGAACGGAAAGAAAGTTATTTGTAGCTTTTTATCGATAGAGTAGACGAGATTCGTAAGAAAGTTGCTAATCGACTGATTGCGATCGAACAGGCATGCTAAGTTTGTTAGCATTGATATATCTCCGCTCTTGGAAAAAATGGATTCACAGTGAATAAATGGTTGAGATATTTTGCTGACCAATTTGGTAATTTTAATTTCTGCATTCGCTACGTTATCCCGGTTGTTTGATGTCCCTTTAATTTCAATCTTCGCTCATTTCGTCGACGACTCGACGGAAGAATCCCGCGTTTATCACGGCTAACGTTTCGTGCCTAATTGCGGAAGGTCAGGAGTGATTAAAAAAGCGTTGAAATTATCGATTGTTTGCGAACACTCGGTAATTTGAACGTTCGAGCTATCTAAAATGTTTATCACAATTTACTGTTATCTCCAGATGTTTTTTGTAGATATGTATATACATCTACAGCGTGGTAATATATATGTATATATTTAATATACATATGTATATTCTGTGAGAAACTGCATTTTGTGATTGTCACCCGTGTGCGAAGACACTAAGGTAAATAAAGAAGAAACATACATAATCTAGAAAAGTATATATTACGAAACATCATATGCAATATAATTTACACTTATAATACATAATACTGAATGAATCAAATTTCCTTCGAATATTATGCAATATTATCACGACGACAAATATTGATTTCAACGTACAAAAGCAGTGAAAAGTTGATTTTAATCAGAAAAGTTAATTTTAATCAGTTACTCATTGACGACTGTGTGACGGTATTTCATCCCATATACATTTGATGAGTTTAATGCTTATCAAATTGCTTTGTTTGTTAATAGGTTTGTAATTCTTGACTTATCGTCATAAGAATTGCGTCGTCTGGATTGGCATAATTCGCTAAATCTGAAAGAAACGAGGAAGAATGTGGAATTATGTTCGTTAAATAAGAAAAAGACAACTGACGATTGAACATTAACTGAAATGCAAACGTATGCAATGTACAGGATGTTTCGCAGCTCACGGTCGTACAAATTTAATGTATTTTATAATTTTTTACATATTTATGAATATATTTTTTATATATAAAAATGCTTTTTAATTGTACGAATCTCGGGATAACTAAAATGGCACTTTTTTAATTCTTTTTGTTTTATGATTTTTATATCCACATAATCATTACTCACGATTATGGCCTCGATGCAACGGGTAGACCTTCAATCTTCTTAGCAAGAGTTCCATCAACCAAAATATGCCTAACCACACAAGTGCGCCCACTGAAAAGGTTCTCAGTGCTGTAACACCTCCGTAAGTGTCCATCAACCAACCACATATGAAACTACCACTCGCTACCCCTACAATGGACGATGAAGATAGGATTTATATTGTAGTATTAAAGAGGACAAACAATATCAACAAATTAATGACCAACCGATTCCCTCGAAAATAGCACCAACAACGCCCTGCATTGTTGCTTTTGTACCGGATGGTGTCACTTTGTCACCGTAAGATACCATTGTTGGCCAGCATAAACCAAATGAGGGTCCATGAAGCAGCTCAAGGATTAAGAACAACCAAATATTTGATATAATGCTGTATCCCATAAACCTGCGAGATGGGTTCAGTATGCATAAATATAAGTAATATGGAAAAAAAATATTTTAATATCTTTGTTGTGAGTTTTGTATAGGAAAAGTACCGCGCATGTAACAAATAAGGATTGACTTACCTAATTGCATAAATAAGCAAGACGAGACTCATCACGTTGACGTGGCCAAGTTTCTTCAACACGCTGCCCGATATGAAGTTGAAGGGTAACTCCCCTAAAAAGCACTGAACACCTGTCATAAGACCCTGCAGTGTTTTGATCCACGTGATGTGAGAGCTCATTGCTAAGTCTTCCATGTACCAAAAGAGAAAGTTCCACACGACCGCCGTGCACATTCCAGCGCCTATGCACCACCAAGCAAACACCAACACTCTTGCTTCTTTGACAACGTTTAATAGCTCCCGCAACAGCGACGGTTCATCCGCGGAGCATTCCGGATTTTTCTGTAACGATACTGCGTTCTTCCATTACCTGCCAATTTTGGATTCTTTCGATAAGCAAAAAGTTTCAAACTTCTGTACTAAATTCTAACTTATCACGATTGATACATTTAAACATTTTGCATACCTTTCTCAATGTTGCAGTCACGATGATATCGCCGATCATGTGCACCAGCATGATGTAAAATATACAAGTGTAATCTTTCTCGTATGTTTTTTTGCTAAAGACATCCACCAGATAGCCCGCGCTTATACCAAGAATACCGAAACCGACACTGCCCCACATTTTTTGTTTACCGTAATCGCTCCTCCTCTCGTAACCTGAAAGACGTAAAAATGATTAGTTTGACGCCTACACTATTTATGCAATAATATAACACAAACCGAGAAGGTCGAAACAGATAGCATCCGCTATATTAACTACAACAGCCATTCCAATCCAGCTTATTATAGCCGCCCATAGAAACAGATGAAATTGATACGTAGAATGTCTCGTATGCGAGTTCTTAGCTTCTTGCAAAAGATGATTAAACGCACTGTTATCGTGACAGATCGCGTTGCATGGAGTTCTCAGCAGATTTCCACATACTGGAGTTTCATCTTGAAACTGGTACACCTTTACATTTATGCATTTCTGCGTCTGTAAATTATTTCTTACAATTAATTCTATTTCTATAACACAGCTAGATTAAGGATTCTGTAATAAATTTCTCACAAGCAAGTCTTTGTATACATCAAATTCAGCCTCAACCCTGAATGTGCTGTTTGTAGAAACATTTCTGCCAGATAACTCTAAATAACCCTGTGATGGTCCTGTGCAAGTTAACTATAAATATAAATATTTATTAATACTTAAATTTTATTTATTAATTATTAACGCATGATGATACGAAATTACATTTTATTTATACATACCTGGCAAGCTGAATGAATATGGATATTCTCTAATATTACGGCATCTATTGCTTTCGTTGAGAATTCCTTCTCTGGACAAATCTCTAGATAGGGTATGTTTTTATCACAGGTAAGAGTAATATTTGCACTTCTGTCGACTTCAGGAATAAAATAAATAGAGAAGAAGGCTATTGTTAATACAGCTTGGAATATCAAGAAAAAGACTTTGTGTAATTTGAACTTGTCAGCTAAACTACCGAACAATGGTTTTGCAATTAGGCCAGAAATTGGTAATACTGTGTATATCGTGCCCACTAACGTCGAAGAAAAGCCCAATTGTTTCCCAATTGTTGGCAAAAATTGCACCATTGGTGCCGTTGCTGCAAGCAAATAACAATTAATAAAGAGAGATGTTTCTGTAACAATCCTTGGAAAAAGTATAGTTTCAAGAGTGTCCTTACCAGCATTGTAAAGAAAATAATGTAATTTTATAGGGACCAGTTCTCTATTTACGTTTTGAAACATGATTCAAGTGCGTGATTATTGTTTTGATGAAGTTTTATGTCTATCTGAAACATCAGAGAAAAAAATGTCATTGACAACGTGCTTCTTTAAACAATTTTCAAGTACAAACTTCTTTGGCACATAAAATTGCTCCTATTGTTATAACAAAATTCTCTATAGGAGAATTCTTTATATTCTCTATTTTCACTAAAACACCATCAGAGCTTTCTCAAAATTAACGAGTTACAACATACATAGAGATATGAATTCATTTAGCACCACGGATAATCTTTTCGGCGGCGAAAAGATAAAACTTGCGTGGAATTTGCAATCGTACCTTAGATGTAGTGGCGATAAATTGATCAAAAGTCATGAAGTCCACAATCTCACATCATGTTTAACCAAAATTCTACACGCGAGCCTTGTACTTTGCTCACCAACTGCCAGCAACTGCCACTTACCACCACCGCTCGACGTTTCCTCGACCGCTGCGCGTATCCGCGCTTCACAATACAGGATGAATCACGAAGAACGGATAAAACAGATGTGGCACTTTGATAAATTCTTTTTTTTTTGCTTTATCGTTTCATTACGCAATTTCGTAGCTAGCGACCGTATTGTCGACTTAAAAGCCGACTTTGATCCTCGTTTCTTCATGCAATTACGAAAGTTTATTACTCGATCTGACTTGCGACATATTTAAACGTAAATGTACGAATTTTTCCGTATACATAATCAAGTATATTGCATGGTATACGGTTATGTGTCGAGTTTAAATTACCTGCTGTATCAGCTGTATTATTACTAGGCTGCTGTGCCGTCTGCTACGTGTTATCGATTATACTCGCGGGATTTCGCGCTTTCCATTTAATTATCCGATAAATGAGCGCAATATCTCGCAACAGTCGAACATGCAGCGCAAAACGATGCTGTCAATTGCAGATAAATTTTATGATAAATCTGCGTACAATAAGCTGGTCTGTTTTAATTGCATTTAAAATAAAATAGATACGCATTCAGACTTTGGAGGAAGAAAGGCAGAAAATGTAGAAAGCGTAATAAAAACAAATGGACCTAAATGAACACAAGAAAAAAAAATACAAATGTAGAAAGTATAATAAAACAAAAAGGATATCATTCATTCTGCATACGTGCCTTTTAATTCTTTTATTCTTTGGCTCTGCAAAGTCTGAATGTACGTTTGTTTCAATTTAAGTGCAGAAATTGTAACAAAAATTGAAGAAGCATATTTTTAAATATGTAAAAGCTTCAAGAAATGTGGCGATAATAAAAGCGAGACTGCTTTAAGAACATAAATATATCTGAATAAATTGATAAAATGAAAAGAGAAAGCAAAGCAGATAATAAATTTTCATGCAATTAACTTCACGGTTTTGTAACAAACTGTGTTTTTAATTTGTCATTGATACATTTACAATATACATTTACATATATGCATATATTTATAAGTTTCAGTATACCGCTTTCCGACGATATTTCGGTTCTGTTCAGCGATAAAGATGAATTAATGAATGTATGACGCTAGCGGTGTGTTACAGTATATTTCGTCTTTTTGTTTTTCGCGCATGCTTGTACACATATATATATATATATATATATTTTCTGTGATCTCATATTTTATATTACTAGTATGCGCCTCTTCGTGTGACGGTCGTCTTCCGTTCGCGATTAACTGCGATTTATCTCGTCGATTGATCCCCATCTTTCCAGGTCTTGCAGATCTCTCTCTTTACGTTCGAGATCCCATCATATCGAGCACATCGTCTATGCGTGAGATATGTGTTTTATATATACAAAGAAAGCCTAACTTACATGCTATTCTTACGTCGCTAAATAATCTACATAACATACACCAGCAACAGAACCGCGCCCGATATTATTATACATAAAATTCTCTTGGTTTTTTTCGCAGAACTCACGCGTGTATGCTGCTGCTGCTGCTACGGTCAACGATTAAACGCTACACTGCATCGAACGAAAACCAACGTAAAATCGATGGCTAAGATGACACTCAGCGAATTATGGACCCGAATCATGGAGCTACAGGGACTGTCCGTCACTAATTTATCAATTAGATCCAATATTGCATAATTCTCTGTCCCGACACATGCACCGATGAGACACGCGTTCGTCGCGTGAGGATTTACCACGGAGTGTTGGACAAACACTAATATATATATATATGTATATAACATAATTATATATATGTATAGCTAATATATATATATACGTTTAATCGTATATATATATATATATATATGTATGACAAGCAGACTATGTATTATATATATAATTATGATATACAGTAACGTTATCATTCGCGAATATATTTGCTCAACATTGCACGGAGGAACTTTTGATAGACGTGCGGATCGACTTACTCTCGGCGCTAGCGACTTCGACTTAGAATTATTAAACCTGTCGGTCTCGTTTTAGAAAACTATCAAAAATTCCTATATCGAAAAAGTAGACTTGTTCTTTATATACAGATGATTACATATTACGTTCTTTTTCTTTTATCAGATAGAAACTAGACCTCCCTTCCGACGAATGGTGTAAAAATGTGTCAAAGATATCCGAATCGTTCGGTCGCTTGTAAAAAGGAAACTGCAGTCAAAGAAATCTACAAAAGGTCTTTTACCTAATCCCGTAGAAAGTCACACGGTCAATTGCATAAAAAACAATAAAAAAGACAAGTCGCGAGGAGGATGTCCTTTGTGAATAAAAAAGAAAAAAAAAAAGAATATAGATTATAGGGCATACTGCTCCCTCGCGCGCTCGCCAAGAGACTTTCGATTGGTGTTTCGCGTTGCGCGACAAACTCGTCCGGAAACGATTCTCCTCTCCCTCCGCCGCGGTGCGTCCCAGAGTTCATCTGCAAGTTAATCTGTCGTCTATCGTGTGACGAATCGATCGCACAAGCGCCACTCTTACAGCGATCTCAGCGGCTAGAGCCAGGACGGTCTGTGGTGATGCGGCGGCGGCGGTTGGAGAGCGTAGAGCGAGTGGATGTACTGCTGATAGGCGGCCGGGTCGACCGTCAGATTAGTCCCGTGAGACGTCACATAGGGGACTGACGGGACGTAAGCCGCGGCCGATCTCTGGGCGGCCGCAGCGGCGGCGGCCGAATGAAGAAACGGGTGTGGCGGAGGGTAATTCCTCGGCGGCGGCGGCGCTTGATTGCCGAGTTTGTTGCAGGCGGCTTGCTGGCTGTTCACCGGCTGCTGCTGCTGTTGCTGCTGCTGATGCTGCTGCTGCTGCTGCTGTTGCTGCTGCTGCTGCTGCTGCTGCTGTCGCAGAGCCATGTTGTAGTAGCTGGTCGGATTGCGGAATTCGTCCGTCAGAAAGGCGAACGTGGCCGCCGCAGTAGCGTCCTTGTCGTAGGTGAATGGCGGCGCGTGGCCGGTGCTCGCGCTGCTGGTGGACGTGGCGAAGTTGAAGGCACTTCCGGCAGGCGGTGGTACCTTCAGAGCGCCGATAGGATCCGCAGACGCAGCGGACGCTGTCGCGTATTGCGGGAATATACCCGCCGCTTGTTGCTGATCGGTGGTCGTCGTCACGGTTGTCGCCGTGATAGACGCGCTCTGTTGCTCCTGTTGCTGCGGATGCTTACTCTTTCGGCCTCTCTTCTTCGACACCGTCGACGTAGGTGCCGTCGCGGCGATGGATGCCGCCCGCGCATCGCTCTCGCCGGCTCGTCGCGATATCGCGAGGATGCCCTGACTGTTCTTCGCCGCTACCGCTGCATTTTGCAAGCTCTGCAACAAATTAAGCTGCTCAAGTTCGGTTGCACCGGACGCGGCGCCACGCCCGTAAGCGGCGAGGTGGTCCGGCTTCGCTGTGGGCGGCGGTCGAGGAATCGTCAGCAGTTGCTGCTGCTCCTTGCTCGGTGTTCGACCTACCAGACTGAGGCCCAGTCGCGCGTACGCCGGATTGGTCGCCATGCTATCGGCGAGACTGCCAACGAACGACGTGCCGTCGAACTGACTGACCGAAACGCCGTCCGACTGCGGAAGCGCCATCATCGGGTCGAAGCTCGGGAATTGTTCCTGACCGGAACGCGCCACTGCGCTTTCCTGCAGACCGCGTGTGCTCGATTCGCCGCCCGACGACGGCTCGTACGCACGCTTCTTCATCGGCGGTGGATTGCCGGCGGAATTGCTCGACGCACCGCTACCACCACTGGTAGACTTGGAGCCGGTGTCGAAGTAGTGCGGACTAGGATACACCGGCCTCGAGTTTGGCGGTGGTAACGAGTAGCTGGATGGCTGGAAGCCGCCTGAGTAAAGGGCCGACTCGTGCGCCGCGGTTAAGTTCTGTTGGAACGCCAACAACTGAGTCTGATCCGTGGGCGTGGGCAATTGTTCCGCGGACGGTGCTTTACCGAGGTAACCGCGCGGCTGGATCTCCGCGAAACCGGACCGCGATTCTTGCGGCGTGGATTGCTGTTGCGTCTGCTGTTGCTGCTGACTGCCGTGCCTCGAAGCGGATCTCGGCAATTCGACGTTGGGGAAACCGGGATTCGGATACGTCGGCGGATATTGATTCGGCGACTGATAGATCTGATGATTCGTGTTCAGACTCAACGACGATTCCGACTGCACGGGGAAGCTCCTCTGCTGATCGCCACTTGCGAGTTTCGCGCTCGACTTCAAGTATTCCGTTCGATGTTCAGATTCGTTCACCGACGACGATACCGTAGGCGACTGTTCAACTTGCGACTGACTGTACACAGGATTCTGCTTGAAGTCCGCGGTGTAGTTGGCAGATGTGGTTGTGACCACGGGGTACTCGTCCGAGCCCTTGGACGGTTGAAGCTGAGGGTAAGCGGTGGTCTGCTGCGGAGAGGGTTGCGAGTAGCTGGGCGATTGTTGCGGCGGTTGCACGGAGTTGCAAGTGGACTTTCGTTGCGGCGACGATTGCGGATAGGTGCGGGTCTGTTGCGGCGACGGTTGCGAGTAATTCGCAGCCGTCGCTGACGTCGTTCCGGCCGCTTGTTGCGGCGAGAGTTGCGAGTAATTGGGCGGCGTCTGCGGCGAGTGCAGAGGGTGCGAATACGTAGCCGGTTGCTGAGGCGACGGCTGCGAGTAATTGGTCAGCGATTGAGGCGACGTTTGCGAATACGGGCTGCTTTGCGGCGATGGCTCGAAGACCGGAGACGACGACGCTTGCGGCGAGTGCTGGGAGAAGGTCTGGATCGGCTGGTGTGGCGATTGAGAGTAATTCCGAGCGAGCTGCGGAGCCTGGTACGGGCTCAGCGGTTGCGGCGACGATTGCGAGTAATTGGCGGGGCGTGTTTGCGGCGACGGCTGAGGGGAGAAGCTCGGCGGTTGCGGAGACGGCTGCGAGTACGCAGCGGGTGGCTGAGGCGATGACTGAGAGTAATTCGCGGCTGGTGGTTGCGGCGAGAGCCGGCCGTAGCCGGCGGGTTGCTGAGGAGAGGATTGCGCGTACGGAGAATGTTGCTGCGGCGACGGCTGCGAGTAATTCGGTGGCGTTTGAGGCGAAGTCTGCGAGAAAGGGGAGTGTTGCTGCTGTTGCTGCGGAGAAGCTTGCGGATAATTGGCCACCGCCTGCGGAGAAGGTTGAGAATAATTGGCCACCACGTTCTGTTGCGGAGACGGCTGCGAGTAATTCGGAGTGGGCGGCTGTTGCGGCGAGGTCTGCGAGTAATTTGACGGCGGTGTCTGAGGCGATGGCTGCGGGTAAGCCGGCTGCATCGGTTGCGGAGAGTGTTGCGGATAGACGGGAGACTGATTCTGACTGTTGGCGGGCAATTGCTGCGGGAAGTGTTGCGGCGACATCTGCGGAAACGCTTCGTTGGGATTCTCCTGAGGCGAGGATTTCTGATACGGCGATTGATGCGGCGGTTGCGCGTGCACCGGAGGATAGGCGGTTGATGATGGTGGTGGTGGTGGTAGTGGTGGTGGTGGTGGTGGTGCTGGTGGTGGTGGTGGTGGTGGTGGCGGTTGTTGCTGCTGTTGCTCGTTGTAGGACGACGGATAAGCCGGAGACAGAGGATGATTTTGCGGGGACGGCGTAGGCGGCAATTGCGCGCTATATCTCGGCGGCGTAGCGTAATACGGACTGTTGTAAGGGCTGCTACCGGTCGACAACGCGTCTTGATAAAATCCCGCGCCTCTTATCGGCTCGGTCGGCGTGATCGCGGGCTGGCATTGCGGAGAGCGAGCCGCGCGCGGCGCCGGTGGAGATTCCTGAGAGAAACTGGACACCGATTCACTGACACTGCTACCACCGGTGCTCAACCGTCGTTGCCGGCCGCTAAACACTTCCTGTATATCGCTGTCCTTCTTCGTTGCCGCCGCCTCTTCCACTTCCTCGTCCTTCTTTTTTGATTTTGGCGCTCCGAAAGCTTTGAACCAGGCACTCAGATTCGGCGTGGCGGATTTTGGTTTCTGTGCTTCCTCCGTAGCGGAAGCTGCTTCCTTCTCCTCCACTGCGCTCGATGCTTTAGCGGCTCCCTTGGCATTCAGAGTTTTCTCCTCTTTAACGTTGGACGTTTGAGATGGGCTAAGCGCGTGATCCTCTTCCTCGTCGTTTGAAAAATTCGGATTAGGCGACGATACTAAACTCTTGCAGATCAATTGAATGGAATCTACGTTTTTCAGCACAGTGCCCAAGCTGAGCTTCGGTTCCTCGTCGAGATCCTTGCTCGATTGATCATTGTCGTTGGTAGCGTGAACCGTGGAGTCATTGGCGTTGGCGTTAGGTAAATTGAGCGGCTTCTTCAGAAGTAAATTTCCCTTGCTCTTGCCAGGCTGCAAACGGTCGATCGTGCGTTGTATCTTCTTCGGTCGACTCGGCCCGTGAGGACCAAATATTTTCATGGAGCTCGGTCTCTTTCGCGCGGTCTCTACCTTCGACCGATTGGATTCAATGGAAGAAGTGTGAAGCACCGGAGAGTCGCTGCCAGAGGAGAATTCCGCGACTTTGGGAGCGTCGTCAAGCCACTTGTTAATGTCCTGTCAATAATACAGATGTATGAGATACATAAAATAGAAAAAAAATTACAAATATAAAGTTCAACGTGTCAACATCTGACACATGACTTTGGAATCGATTTGCTTTCATAAGCTAAACTTAAAATATCAATTGTTTTACGATACGCTAAATTAGAATACATATTCAAATACTATACATTTAATAAAAAATATCAAATATAAGGCGTTAATAATGCCTAAACCAACGACATATAAATTAAGAATCTCTTCAATTATTAATTTCTGAATAAAAATTATCAGTTTCTGAACTTCACGTTTAATACAGTTTTTTTGAATTAATTCCTACAGTTTTACATCTATTTATATTTCAATAAAAAGATCTTAAAAACAAAATTTGTAAACTTACATGAAGTGTCTTCTCCGTAGCTTCGTTTAACGCTTGAATGGCATTATCTTCCGCTCCTAATCCTTTGGTATGTTTAGCATGAGCTTTCTTATTCTCGCCGATTTCCGTATCCTGTTTCTTAATCGTGTCATCCATAGCCTTATCTTCCTTCGCACCTTTCTTCGACTTGGATCGCTTTGCAACATCCTTGTCATTCTCATGGAAAGCATTACTGTTTGAAGGCACTTTTTTTGAATAGACACCCTGAGCGTCATTTTTCATCGCTTTCCTCTGCTTCTCCTTTTCGTTCTTCAATTTTTCCTCGCGTTTCCTATCACTTATCTTATCCTTTAAACTATCAAGCGAGTCTACATCCTTATTACCGATAAACGCAGAGAGTTTCTTGGAAGTGTGAGTATGCTTTGAATCTAAAGCGCTTTCTAATTCTACATCTTTGGGATCCATTTGACTTTTTAATTCGCCGTTCTTCAATTCTGCGTTCTTCTGTTTTGATTTCTTATCTTTTTGCTTAGCGTGATTCTTGTCGGATTTCTCGTCAGCCTTTGTTGCAGTCTTTAAACTCGTCTTCTCCTTCTTACGATTTTTCTTCGCTTTAACGTGGGAAGATTGTTTCTTGTCTTCCTCGAATACTGTATCGCTTTCTTCCACTTCCATCTTTTTTAATTTGCTCTTTTTCGTATTGTCCGTCAATATTCCAGTTTCTTCAAGCTCCTTCTTTTCTATTTTCCTACTTTTACTTTTCGCGATTACCGGGGGTTCATAATCTTCCTCGAAAATCCTCTTTTCGCTTTTTGTTCTCCTTCGTTTCTTTCGCAGATCGTACAATTTCCGAATCTTTCCTCGGTTGATGTCGCTCTCTACTTGTTTTTTTATTAGACGTCTTTAATTCTTCCGATTCCTTAGACAGCTTTTTGCTTCTAAGTAAACTATTTACATCAACATTTTTTCTTCTTTTCGATGCTACGATACTTGTCTCGGATATCGCATCTTCGCTTTCTTGATCTTCCTGTTCTTCCTCTTCCTCATCTTCGTCCAATTCTTCCTCTCTTGCCTTTTTGCCTTTTTTCTTCCCTCTCTTCTTTTTCGCTACTTTAATGCTTTTACTTCTTTTTTCATCTTCATCCACTTTCTCATTATTCTTAGATTTTGCTTTACTTTCTGGCTTATAAGACTTGGATTTTTTGGTCGATTTTTTCGAACGTTTACGTGCGTTATGATGCGAAGAAGATAAATGACGTGAAGGATACGATGGCGATGTGGATGTACCGTCTAACGAGCGAGGAGATGTGAGATCCTCATCACTGGATGTCTCCGACTCCAAATACCGACTCACGGCTTTGTCAAACGCTTCCTTAAGATTAACCGCCATTTCCGTATATTCTATAATACATAACATTAAATGTAAAATCGCACGTGAATTTAAAGGCAATTAAGTAGAAACTGTACAAACCGTTATCCGAGCCATTATATTGCCTACAATTGTCAACGATAAGTCGAAAATCTCGCTTAAACTGACTTATACTTTTATACGAGCCGCCTTCCAATTTCTCTTCCATAGTGCTGAGATCCATAGGTCTGCGCACCACACTGTAGTACCTGCAAATAACAATAATTTATAACATTGTCAGAGTAGTTTAAGCTTTTAGAATACGTGCAAAGTCCATACCTTGGCGCATAGTCCTCATCCACAGGATCGGTGAACGGCCAAGCGTCGACATGATCCTTGACGCTTTCGAGAACTTTGTGCATTCCGACACAACGTTCCTCCTCTTCGATTCCGAATGAGTAGCCGTATTTGTACCCGTAATTGCAAGATACGTAATTACCGTCGCCATGATTACCGACACCCTTCTTCTTCTCCAAGTCCTCCACCTCGTCTCTGGTGTGAATTACGATCTGACCGACGGCCGAGGCCAAAGAATTGTTCGTTTGTCGTCCCTTCTTCTGGATCGGCGGAGCCGGTAACGGCGGAGTGGTCTCTTCCTTAATATAAGAGGATTTCGAGCTCTGCGTCCCCTTTTTAGTCCCTTTGGTCGTTTTGGTTTTAATCTTGGATCTGACCATGACTGCATCCATCTGCGTCGTAGGTTCCTGACTGCGAAGCACCCGAGAGCTATTACGTTGTAATAGTTTACGTCGTTGCTGTTTCTCCTTCAGATCGAACAGTTTCGGTATTTCCGGCATAAAGTCCTCTGATAATGTACGATAAAGTTTACGCTCGGTGTCGTATTCCTGAGGAAAATACAATTTTCAGAATTTTATTTTCAATTTTGCGACAACGCGTACTTCTATTTTTTTTTTCCCCTCTATAGCAGAAGAAATAATTACCGAATCGCGAAATTTTTCAACTAATCTGCTCCAATCTTGCTGAGTGAAACAGACAACTTGCCAAACGCTTTCTCTCTTGTTCTCACTATTTATTAAACTAGCTTCCTCCTTCTCTTCCTTTTCCTGTTCCTCCTTCGCCACTCTGTTCCGTCGTTTCTTACGCTTTTTGTCTCTGGGTTTACTTTTCTGCTTGTGTGAGGCACTGTTAGAAGTATCAATGTAATCCTCCCGGTACAATCGAGTGCCGTAGAAGTACCAGTAGGCAGAATTCTTACGATCATGTCCCAAAGGTTCGACTCGCAGGCTATCCGAGTCCAAATTACTTAACGATTCCTCCTGTTGTTAAATTAATTATTAAGTAACGCATAATACGTGCGGAAAATTATTGCGACAGCTATAACGATGATACGTACTACGTCTTCGGCGTCTAGCCTGAAGTCGCAGAGCGCACGTAGTATTTCTACTTTTTGACGGAGCGGTAACAACTCAAAATCTACGTCTGTATTGAAAGGATTTTCGCACTTGTATTCCTATATAAATACAAATACGCATTTTAGTTGCATCTCCCTTTGTCTGTATTGGAAATTGAAAGATTTACATTGCAAAGTAACAAATGAAATATACTTACTTGACATTTTTTCCGAAAAAGTCTACGCAGAAACATCTGATAATTAAATGTGGAGATGTCATTGCGGGTATCATTTGGCAAGCAACCTTCCAACAACTTCACTATCAACTCCTGAAGCAGTCGTCCTTCGGTACCACCGTCTGTCAATAAAGCTTCTTCTAAATCCTACAATTTCGTAAGATTAATATTGAGACATGTTTTATCGTACAATATTCATAATAAAGAAACAAAAAAAAAAGAGAACAAAAAGAATGATGTATAAGCCAATAAATAATGAAAGTAAAGCTGAAGCATGACTGAACGCTATTCTGCTGTCTGAATGCTGAAGCGGTACTAACAGGCTTATACACTGCTTACTCGTAAAAGAGTTAGCATTTTAGTGTAAGATACCTCAATATCAAAATCCAGAAGATTGAAGGCAGCTCTAAATAATGAGCAAAAGTGTGCTATACTTGGCACCTCCCACCACGATTGAATGTCTAAAAAAATAAAGGAACAGTTAAGAGTTCCTTGATCTTGATCCTGCTAGCCATTTGAAAGTAATTAAGGCTGTTCTAACTATTCATTGCATAGATGAGTAAAGTCATTTTTAATATTATTCAAGAGATAAGAAATAGTTTATTAATACATTATATATATATAATATGATTTAATATAATATATGTATTTCTTTTTTAAACATATATTGAATAAAAACTAGTATCCTGCAATAAAATATAATATTTAAAAATGTATTTAATTTTTTAATTTAAGCAAAATAAAAAATACACAATATATTTGAAATTATGAAAATTAAAGCAATGATTGTTAATTAAGTGATTTGTTTCATATGGAAAAATGATTGTAGCTTAATGTCATTATAACTTACCAAATATTTCTAGTACATTCAATGCAGAATTTTTATCTTATCGTATCTTTTAAATATCCCTTATATATTTGCAACAATCTATCTAATTGTCCTCTGGACTTGATTTGAAAAAAATCAAACAAATAATCTTCTATTTGTAATATAATTAATGTTGATTATACTATTTTGTTGCTGTAAATCAATCTTAACTTGTTTTATTTTAGATGTGCAGGAAACCTATATAAAAATAAACACAACGAACATCTTAATGAAAAAAATAACGGAATAATAATTTTTAAAAATCACACTTATAAAATCAATCTGTTATCACAACTAAAAATATGAAATTGAAAAAAAATCTTTTTAAACATAGAATCTTATTAATACAAATTTTTAAACATTATTTTTGTGTTTTTAATAGTGGTCATAAATTTGCTTCAGCTTAAATGCTTAGTGCTCCTTAAAATTGAGGATTGCAAGATGAACAAAAGCTATGGCCTCCATATCCATTGCTACAAAAATCTGACATTATTTCTATTATCATTGAAAAAGATTAAATATATAAACTAATTTGTTTTTATTCCCATTCGGTATAATCTTCTCTTGGCACAAATAGATAGTAGTAGCCTAATCGTTAAATTCTTTTTTACATTTTTTAAGTTTAAAAAAAATTTTTTACTTGTATGCTGTTCACTAAATAATATTTCTAGATAATTATAGGATATTCGCGTTACCTCTCTTCTTTCTGGATTCGAAAAAAAGAAGACAAAACAAACGGCAGAAGAAACTCACCTAGGATGCCGATGAAGGTAGGAAACATAACCCGTCGTGTGGCGGGCGAACCGGGCGAATCAGCGTGTCCAGGGCGGGACACAGGCGCTTTGACGGCGGCCGGCGTCGAGGAATCGGGGTGAATTGTAGTAGTGCGAGCGCGGGATTGCCTTCCTTGATAGGCCTTACCCGGCGCCGCGGCGACAGGGGAGGGCGGGAACGAACGAGCGAGACGGCGGCGGCGATCCAGAGACCTCGTATGTAGTGCGTAGCGCACGGACTGCGCGCGCGACGAGGAGGATTGAGCAAAACACTTCCGCCGCCCGACGGTATATGTGTGTGTATATATACGTATATACGATGTATATACGTATACGTGTGTATATGTATGTATACGCGCAGAGGCCCGTATCTTAAAACACCGGGTTGCAGCACATCAGCGGTGAATGACACTCGTAGCGGTAGTCCCGACAGGCGCGAGCGAGCGTGCGCTCGCGGGCTCGCATAGCTCGCCGTCCGTAGTCGCTCGCTAACCGAATTCGCGCGGTGCGGATCGGTGCGGGCGGCCAGTTAGCGGCGGCGTAAGGCGCATTCGCATTCGCCGCCGCGTATCGTCGCCGAAGCGGCCTCGTCGTTCACTACCGATCTAACGTGGGACGACACGAATGTCCGAAAGCTCGTGTGCGACCATTCCAATCGGGACGCGAAAGGCGTACTCAAAACACATAACCACTAGCAGCCGCTGCTGCGGCTCTCACCGTCGTGCTGAGCTGACGCGCATAAGTACGCGCGAACCCTTGAAACGGCACGCGTGTCCACGCAGACGCTTCCTGGAAGCGGGAATTACCCGCCACGCGTTCAGATTGCTGCCGATGCGACGCTCCGCTACTGTATCCTGCTCGACGATCACACGATGCGTGAAAACGTTATACCATGAACAGACAGCTCACGGGCGCGGACTAGCGCGAACTATGCAGCAACAATCGGAACAACTACAACCACGGGCGTATACCCATAAGTGCATACATAGATGCACTATATTCGGTGCAAAACGCCGCTAGCGCCGCATAGCGTTCAGCTATGCGAAGCAGTAATGGTGATGACGTATTGGTCAATTTTATTTAGTTATATGCTTACAGTGCATCTGAATTGCCAATATTTGATAGAAAAATGCACTTTCTCTAGGATCTTGAGTATCAAATAACGTTAAATGACAGATCAAATATGAATCTTTCATAAATAGTTATGCATATATATATGGATAGACCTTAAACACCAAGCAATCATATTAGGCTGTATTCCGAAATTCACTGCCAGTACTGAAAATCTATAGTTTACGTCACGTATATATGTAGATTTTCAGTACTAGCAGTGAATTTCGGAACGCAGCCAAATTTCTATTAGATTTCTGATTGGTTGAATTGGTTTGTACCTACTTTCGCAAATCATGATCGTTGTTGATCATTTTGTTTCATCATTCATTCTCATTCATCCCTCGAGATTTTGTCGAGTTGCAAGTAAATCATGACATCGATTGTTATACCGGCAGCATTACGACTTGGTCGTGTAACGATTGATAATTTATATCAAATAAATAAAAGTGGCTTACGCAGGTAAATTTTAATTCCTCTTTCGTCACAATCAAATACTCGTTACAAAAATCACATGTTGCTAATTGACGTGAGGTTAATTGTTCGATAATGTGCATTACCTATTTTGTTTTATTATATTATCTGATAATGGAAATACGATTTTTATTAATTAAGTTTGAAGAATACTTTTAATCTTTTGTAGTGTACAACAGTGACGATTTATGATGTAGATTTTGTACATTAATGTTATGACATGGCAAAGTAATTGTGTCAGATTTAAAATTACAGGTTGTCACGAGTATCTACAACATTTTCTTTGCAAAAACAAGGTTACAGTACAATAACAGAAGAGAGGAAACCAGATGTTGGTGAGACACCTCCAGTATCAGAAGCTACAGAGAATGAAAAGAAGCTAAAGGTAGAACTTGAGCTCATCAATAAAGAACTTACTGAACTTAAGGAATTCAAAGATGTGCTTGAGGATAAATATAAGAGAGCATTGGCTGAAGGAGAAAACATTAGACTCAGACTCACCAAGCAGATTAATGATGCCAAACTGTTTGGTATCCAAAGTTTCTGTAAGGATCTTTTAGATGTAGCAGATGTATTAGGAAAAGCTACTGAAAGTGTACCAAAGGATGAAATTACAGAAAAAAATCCACATTTGAAAAGCTTATATGAAGGATTAACAATGACGGAAGCTCAATTACATAAAGTAAGATATGCTTTGCAGATATCTTTTTTTTTTTAACGCAAGGAATATTTGTATAAATAATGTATGCATTACTTGATAATATACTAAATTCTTTAATATTTTAGGTCTTCAAGAAACATGGGCTAATTTCATTGAATCCAATAAATGAAAAATTTGATCCTAACGAACATGAAGCACTGTTTCAACAAGTAAATTTTGATTTTATTAGTGAAGCATTGTTTCAACAAGTAAAATATGATTTTATTTACTTGCTGAAATAATAAATATTTTAAGTACAGATTAAATTAGATTATTTTATTTATGTGACAACTTTTATGAACAATAAAAAAATTTTTTTAGGAGGTTGAAGGCAAAGAACCTGGAACAATTGTAGTTGTATCGAAAATAGGATATAAATTACACGAAAGGATAGTGAGACCAGCACTAGTAGGTGTTGCTAAAGGGTAATTATCTATTGTAATAGTAGATTAAAATCTGCTTTAAATTGTTGCATCATATAAAATAAAATATATTCATGTAAATGAATTTTTGTTTAATTTAAAACTGATAGAATTTATTATTTTTAAGTGAATATTTTATTCAGTCTTTTATATTTTAAATACAATTTTTTTGTCCGAGCTTTCGTGACTTCTTAAATCTTTATCCTCTCCTGTAACACATTTCCACAAATCTTCATGTTCTAGACAAGCTTGCATCACAAGCTTCCAGCTATTAAAATTTTCTCTGCCCCTTAATTATTCAATTGTAGGTAGTTGACTTATCATCATGCTGGAGTACTTTTTTAAATTTAAATAGTATTAACTCTTGACGACCGGAGCATAATAACTATGTCGTTTTTAAATGCTAAATGTTTAATACTATTTTTTTAATTCGAAACGTTTTCTCTCTCATGATAACCATTGTTTTCGCTTAATTTTGGGCGTTATCTAGGCTCATAACCGGATAGAATCTATTATTTTTCAGCAAATATTTTATTCAGTCTTTTATATTTTAAATACATTTTTTAAATTGAATTAAACAGTAAAATAGAAACTATAAAAACCATATAAGAATGAATTTAGCTTTGACTCACTTAAACAATTCTAACAATTTATATAAAATTATATAAAATAAAATATAAAATAGAAGTCAATATTCTATAAAGTTATTATGTTAATATTCTACACGGAAAAAAAAATATATATATATATAATGTTACTTTTAGGTGAAAATGATACTCCGTTGCTTTATCTACAAATACTTCTTGAAATATATATTTGATCATATCATGTAAGTACATAAGTTGTAACTATAAAATTTATGTATTAAACAAACTTGATACCAGATTTTCGTATAACAGCGCACGAATAACGAATTGGAATATTTTTGTACTATTAAAAAATTAAGTATATCTTAACACCTCTCGAACACTTTATATAAATCAGGTAAACTAGCTATTTGTAATATAGTAGAATCGTGAGCGAAATGTTTCGGAGGAAGTAAGCTTTCTTTAATCGCAGGATATAAAACATGCTCGGTAATATATTTCCAATCGTGTGTTTCGTGTTTTGGATTCATATAGCTGTAAAATTTTGCTGTTTCTCGGCAAATATTTTGAAAGCACAGTTGTTCCTTTCTCCAATCAATTTCCGTTGCTAATCGCATTATGTACAATGGAATTTCTGCTTCATACGGAAAATATTTATCTAAAATAACATGAATAACATGTAAATTTGATTTTCTTTTAGGAATATTGTAATATAATTTTTGATATTAAATTATATTTACCTAATAATACAGGTAATGATCTTATATTTCCCACTTTATCCAAAACAATTGAAAAATATTCGTTCATCATGTCTGCTTTTTCCAAAAGTAACTCCTTCACTTTAGTCGCTAATTCTTCCTTCGGACCATCCTCTTCTGTCCATCCAGTTTCCCCTGAATCTAAAGCAATCATTGCTAAATCAAACAACGATATCCGTTCCTGAAAAAATTACATTCAATGTTAGATAATTAGAAAGCAAATTTAATTTGCTTCATCTAAAATACTCACTGAAAATTTGATGACGCCAAAATTTGCAAAATCATAAAGCATTATTTGATAAAAAAGCTCCTCACTGAAAAAAAATTATAACATCAATAATAAATTATACATCAATTTAATTATAAATAAATATATCTTAAATATAACATTTTTGTGATGTGGAACAATTATCTCACGTTAATATTTTGGTATTGCAGATATATAAATTTACTCCACTCTGCACCAAAGTTGAAGTTTGATCGACACAGCCAACAAATGTTAAATTGGCCAAGATATTTCTTAATCCCTCGTGACATTCATCCTCAATTTCCTTACGCAATTTTAAAATACTGGTTAATTTTACTTCATGTTTAAAACTATTTACAGAATATGATTTAAATCGCGTTGTTGATTTCGGAGATTCAACAATAGGAGTACTTTCATCAGTGGATAGTGGATGTTCAGATTGCTCTGCGTTAGATACTGAACTTTCACCTTCTTTCTTATTATCATCCGTATCTTGTAACGTAGTCTGTTCATTTTCTTCTTTTGAGCTTTTCTGTGTGTTGTCAATATTCTGAGTTCCAAAATATTGATACACTTGTTTACGAGCCTTATCAGCTATAATATCTACAGATTTCTCTACTGCAGGACTGTCCACTGTTTTGTCTAAGTCGTGTAAAAATTCTGAAACATCATACACTGTACTTTCCGACTTGTCTTTTTGTACAGAGATATTTGCATTATAAACGTTTTGCGAATTTGATGAAGCTGTAGTTATAGTTTCTAGTATATCGCTCCATTGTGTTGAATTATCTTCGATTGGAATTTCTTCAGCACGAGGTAGTGCAAAATTATGTTCTGTAATACTTAAATTTAAGCTTGAATCTTTCTCTTGATGTTCATTGGCATCAGATTGATTCTCTATATTAATATCATGTGTATTTTTCTCTAATAGAATTTCAGAATTAAGGGATTCAGACTGTATATCATGTGTTGATTTTTCTACTGGAAGATTGCTGTCGTTTTTATCCTGTTTAACAGTAGAATGTATGGTGAAATTAAATTTGTCCAGCTTCTGATCACAAGAATCAGTTCTAATCAATTCTCTAGCATGAATCTTTTTTGATGTATTTAAATTTCCCTTCTTACATTCCGGCAATACTTCTTCCAGAACTTCTTTAGTAATGTCTGTTTTTGGTAACCTGGCTTGCAAATAAAATGTTCTAGATGCACTGTTACCAGCCAGTCTTTCATCTAAAGCGTATTTTATTCTTTCGATTATTGCATCTTCATGAAGAAATCGCACTTCGTGTTTTGTTGGATGTACATTGACATCAATATTTTGTGGATTAATGTCCAAAGATATATAGCACCATGGATGAGCTTTTTTTGGAAGATATACTGAATATATTTCTTCCAACATTCTACGAATAGCTGAAAACATATTTAGGAATTATTAAAATTAAAAAAGAAAAGAAATTAGAATGTGTTGGTTTGTACCATTAAACTTACAGGAGGAATCAACCAATCGATTGTTGATAAATAAAAGCATCATCATTCTTTTGGTTGTATAATTGGGATTTGTCACTAAGCCTTGCATTTTAAATTTATAAGCATCATCATTAAGCTCAACTTCTAATAACTCACGAGCAACTGGATTACCATACAATATCCTTATATTGCTCTGTTTTGTGGAATTATGTGGTGTTCGAACCTAAAGATATAACAGAATAATTATATTATCCTAAAGTATAATTTTTTATTTTCTACATAAATGTATATGAATATGTAAATTTGTCTCACCTGCAAACTTGTTTCACCATGTTTCTTTAATGTAAATCCTACTGTTGGATTATGCACAGCGTATTTCATAACAACCTCTGTAATCTTAGTAAACTCCTCTAATGGATTTGACAAAGCTTTTCTTCGAGTCGCTACGTTATAAAACAGATTCTCTATTGTTATTATAGTACCTTGATTTCCAGCACAAGGTGCTGGAGATGCCTTTAACTTGCTATTAATGTATGATGCTCTGCAATACCATGCAGAAAATATAATTTAAATTATAGCATATCTATATAAAGAGCAAAACTAAATTTTATTATATTTTCTTCATAAAACAGATGTGTTAATTAAACAGGCATACTTGTAGGCACATTTTTCATCTGCTGTTTTAGTTGTAATACTAAGAAGAGCTATATGACTGATACTAGCCAGAGCCTCTCCTCGAAATCCAAATGTTGTAAGCATACTAAGGTCTTCAAATTTTTGCAATTTGCTTGTTGTAAATCTTTCACATACAATATCCATGTCTTCTTTTCGAATACCCGTACCATTATCTTGTATCTAAAGTTAATTTAAAAACGTCAAGCATTAACTTTAAATTTAAATTGCTAAACGTATTTACAATAATTAATCATATTTTAATACTTGTAATAGCTTTAAGCCTCCTTCTTTTGTAGTAATTTGTATATTTGTTGCTTTGGCATCCAAACTGTAACATTAAACGTAAAAACGAATTATATTTATTAATAATATACACAGTAACGATAAATGAATTTGTAGAAACTAACCTATTCTCTATTAATTCTTTCAATGCATTTGCTGGCCTTTGGATTACCTCCCCAGCTGCAATTCTATTCACCACGACTTCATCTAATTTTCTAATTTTTGCTGGGGTACACATATTTCTTGAAATTGTTCTTACAAATTATTAATTGTTCTGAAAGTGAACAAAGAAAGTCACAAGTGTGTTTCATATGTGACACCTGCTATTTTAGTGCTCTGTAAAAATGTTAAAATCCGGAAACATAATATAATTTCGTATATAAATTTAATGTGAGAAGTTTTATATCCAGTAATTATCTTTAAAAATTCTTGAACTTTCAACAAAAGATATTTTATATAAAATTAATTCCCGCCTTATACTTAAATAAAGTTGAAAATTTTACTACCAGTAGTGACTCGTTGCGGCGATTGCAGAATTAAATTTGAGCCATTTTGTATTTTTCCATTGCGATCTTCCAATGTTTTTCGCGATTTATTCTTGGTAAATGATTCACAGGCGAAAAGTTGTGAGTATTTCCCATAAAATATTAATTTAATAATAACATATTGATCATTATCAAGTATATAGATTTCTTTTTTCTGTAATTAACCGATTAAAACTTTTTCTTATAACTTGTTATTTGAACCATTTTCAATATCGATTACATCTTGAATTTCATTCTGCCGAGGCTTAGACAATAATGCTGCTAGTCGGAGGTAGTGCTGATAACGAGTATCATTGATATTTTGGATGGCTAAAAACTATTCTAAAGAGATGACAATAAATCTACAGCAGGGCAGAGACTGTGCTCTCCTGTTTACTGCACTCATCAAAGTTTTCAACTGTACTTTCTATTCTGAGGTAGGAATAGATTGTAAGCTACATAGCTATCAATTGATAGAGATAAGTCTTCAACTAGCATATCCTGTTCTAGATAATAGTTTATTCAATGATTACATTTATTTATTTATGTTGTTTATAAGAAAAATAGATCTTGGTTTACTAGCTAAGTGATGGAAGGTTTTGTATCTCTGCAGACTAAATGTGTTGCCAAGAATATTTTTTTCGTTCAATAAAAATAAAAATAAACTTGAATGAGTTATCTATGTATGATAATACCTGAAGTCGATAATAATATCGTCGATTGGTAAATACATTGATAACTACATATGGTAAATGATTTGTCGATAACTTTACTTCTACATACACTACATATATAAATTATAAGAAAAACTATATTCATAAATACTCAAATATCATACACATGGATTTATTTGTGAATCTTCGCAAACATAAGATTAGAAGCACATTTGTTTCCAGGGCTTAAAGTAACAGACGTACGTTCCTCACAGTTTTTCAGAAGTTAATTTTTTTTATATTACGTACTTGTAAAGTACTTTTTTCGATACGTGATACTCTCATCTGACGTTGATTTTTAATCAACTATTTTTTTTTAATAGACTTTTGCGTTGTATAATGTTCTTGGAAGTAATTTTCCTTACTTTATTTTGTTTCGTTTTGAATGCATCTTGAAATATTTAGACTCGGAATCTAAATGTTTTTTACATATGCATTAACCTTTAAAACGAAAAATTTTATTTGGCATCCATAAATTATGTGTTTTTTTCTCTTTTTATTATCAGGTAACACATGATTAAAGCTAGACAATACAGAAGCACAAAGTTTAATGCACAATCAATTAAACGGAGCATATACGTGTAGTTCGCTATACGCAGGTCTATGCATTGTGATGCGATTGTGCGCGGGTCAAGGTGTTCGAGTGAAAGTACAAAATATCAGCAACCACAGAATAAATCTTTTATAAGAAGCTAGGCGGACGTTTGTATAGAATTATTGCGCCAAACGTGCGATTATGCGAAGGTACAATGTGATGTTATCGTTCCTCAACGCATCTGATAACTGTAACAATTTCCTTTTACCTCAGAAATTGTTTCCCGAAGTACTATGCAGCAGGTCTGTATCTTTCATATACAAATTTTATATTTAATTAATTGATTGATTTATTATTACATTAATTCACGATTGCATTATTGAACTTTTCAAGGACTGCTAAATTTGATGCTTTCAATAAAATCGACGGAGAGTGCAACTTTCAATAATAATATTAATTGTTTCCAAACAATTCGATAGGAATTTAATAAACTTGAATAATTTGGTTGTCCGCTACAATTTCTGTAGAAACCTCATTCTCACATCTGTCCTTTCTCGACATTGCCGCAAGAGAAGCGACATTGTTGCGTAAAGATACGCCGTTTTTGCAACGTCGTGCCAGTGGTGTAGGTCCGATTTGGTTAATAGTTTACAAGCCTGTGATTTTTTTCTGAATAATATCAATTGGTTTAATTAATTATTTAGATTGTCATTACTATTGAATTGATAATGATAAAAATTATGAGAGAAAATCATGTTTTTTATTATTGTAAGAATAAATTTTGCAGTTCTTTATACATATTTTTCCTATATAATTCTATCTTTTATAATGTTAATTGCGTGTTATTAATATTATTGGTTTATAACAATATCTACTTGACATGTCAACACGACATTTTTATATTTCACAGATGCTTTACAAATAAGTCGATATCTCCTGTCATCGTATTTTTTGCAGCATCAGCGACTTTCTAAAGTATGCACGATGTACATAAAATAAACTCTGATATTTGCAAAAAAAAAATTTAAAAAGTAAATAATTTGAAGATTTTGTTTTTAATCTTGCTAAAATAATTTGAAAAAGACTCTATGTATTGTGCAATGATGATGATTCATGTCTTTCCTCACAAAGGAAAAATGTACATTTAATGCTTCTACTTTGATTATGCATGTACTAAAATTGTATACTAATCAAGCATTCATCCATCTAGGAATGATGATTGTTCTGTGAATAATTACGAGCTCTAGAAGCCAAACAGACGAGAAACAGTATGGGAACTTGATCCATGAAGGCAGACTACTCATGGATCAGCAATCATGACTCAGCTTCAGCATCTGCGATTTACCTATACGACAAACTTTCACTATTCATATCTCATTATGCCAGCAGATAGTCATTCAAACAAATCCCCATCTTCCAGATATGCTTGATTGCTCTTGAAACTCGAAGACAAATCGCAGACGTGCGCTTCAGGTAAACGTAAATGTCGTAATACTTTATCAGTTTTTAAGACAGCCGTTTCATGGATTTGAAAAACTTAATATAAGTTTTTTGAGAAAAAAGATTGTATTGCTTGTTATACATCTTGTAAAACGTGTTATACAAGTTTTATGAGATGTGGACAGCAACAAGAAGTGACATCATCTTTTCGCTTGCGAAAATGCGTTCCGAGTACATCTTGATTCGCGAGAGATGTATCAGTGCAGCGGCAGATCAATGACAAGAATATTCTCATTAATCTTGATTATTAAATTTGAGCGCATTAATCTGGTTTACATTCAATGATTGAATTTCTTTTCAAAATTTAAGAAGTGTATTTTTGCATAACTAATTATATGGTTTATTGCTTTATGTTTGCAAGCAATAAAGAGAATTAGCAAGTCGCGTGTCGTAAAATGTTCTTGTGAGTACAAATGCATCATTGATGTACCTTATTGTACGGCATATCATCACGCATACGTGAGTTGTATGTTCGTGGTGACACGTGGTGCGAAAGTGCGTACGGGACTAGGCAGCTCTGATCATTCTATGAGAAACTACTAAGTGACTGCCAGCTTCTATGCGAAGAAGGAAGAGGACTTTCGCTCGTTTGCAACAGGTCGTATTCCTGCACGCAAATTCAAACGCTTGCCAGTTTCTTTCAGCCGCTAGTTTTGTTGCTCTTATTGTACAATCGATTTTCAGTGCGGTAAAAAAAAGCATGTACCGTGCGAATGTGCTGCTAACGGTTCATGCATTGTTCCGGTTTCCAAATGGCAGCAATCTAACTTTTCAACAATGTTTTTTTTTTAGCGAATTATACGAGATATTTATTCGTGGTACAATCTTTGTCTTAAGACACGCAGCAAAGTTATCCTACTCTGCTCTATCATTCTCTATTTTTTTCCCCTCTCTTTGGCAGCAGCGCGGCGTAATGAGATGGGATGCGAGAGGTGAGACGAGACGAAGATGAGCGAGACGGTTTTCAGGTTGGATCGGGGGCCCTCTTCTTGATTTCTGCACAAGCGCAACCAGCCCGCATACCAGTCCAACCATGAAGGAATAGAAAGAAACTGTTCGCCGCGAAATCCAACGAAACCGCGAAAGATATGATGATGTACGTATCAAAATAATCCAGACCACAAAATTAAAAAAAAAAAGATTTATACCGCTATATATCATAACTAAGACATACTTGGCTGATTATTACAATATATAGGCCAACAGAGAGAAGAGAAATCTAACATAAGAATAATAAAACAAACATTTTATATTTTTCAGTATAGCAGTTTTTATATATTACAATAAAATAATATGTTTGATATAAAATTTATGGAACGAAATGTATTGAAATATAAATGGGAAATATTTTTCTGCATTAAAAAGCGAATAAGGATTAGATTTAGTTTTACGAATTAGGATTAGTTTTACGACAATTTATTTACAATGATGAAATAGGCGAAAAGAGGGAAGAGGAAAAAGGAAGAAGGCATATAATTGTTCTTTACTGCGCGGTATTGCAAAATGAATATCTCGACTTGACGGCAACTATGTTACATCGTCGAGATCCGCATTATTATATGCGATATCATAATCCGTTGAGGTTACTCGCAACCGCTGACCTAATTTCCGTTATTCATCGCTCAAGATTTAATTAATGAGATATTCCGCGTGCGGTCCAACTAACGAGACGTGTTATCAACACGACGCGCGCGAGCTAAATCCAGAATACAGAGCTTTGCACAAAAGTAATCACACGTCGCACGTTGCAACATGTCCGCATGACGTTAAACGCGGCTTCAAATGATGCGCTCACTCGGGAAATATTCCACCGTGCCTCAGGCAGGCGTTCCACCGTGCAATGGGGTAATGTGCACGTCGTCGCCGTGATGACATGTTGTAATTGCACGTAATGCAGACAAATTTGTCACATAATTACGACGCGCGTTTGAACACGATGCAACCTGGAAATCCGGAGAGTGTACGCGTGCGCGCGCGCGCGCGCGCTCTTCTTACGTCCACCCCTGCGAAAAAGCATGACAACATATTTATCTTTCCTTCGTAATCTTTCTTCTTATTACTTCTCGATGATGATGTATTAGAAATATTGCTAATTACTAAGCATCTCCACAGGTCGAGGATTGCGAGAGATGGACGCGACGCGATGGGACTTTTACCTGGTCGCGAAAAGCTGAAAAGTCTTTCCTATGAGAGAAAGACAGAGAGAAAGGGACGGGAACGGTGAAGCAAGGCGAGCCGGTGATCGCGTCGTAGTGGGACCAACTAAGTTACCTGGATCGACAACGGATACTTTTCTCAGCAGTAACCATCAAGACACCATGACGACACGATCACTCGCATCGTCTCCAGCGCGACGACCATCTGCGATCGGTCTGATTACCGCGTTTCTTTTTATCGTAACCGCACGTAAGTCCTTACTCGATGAATATCACTCTACTAATTAATTACAGAGAAATGACAGTGTTTCTCGTCCTTTCGCATATAACGATGCATACGACGAAATTATCTTATTGTTAGGATAACAAATAAATCGCAATTTATTGCAGTGCGGTGATTATCGTGAATTATTTGACTTTTTATTTGGATTTAGTTTCGCGTATAACTTCTTGTCGATTAATCTCAAATAATAATATTGCAAAACATTCAAGATCTTATGTTTGATAGGGGTTTTCATTAAACGACGTCCTTGATGAAAAGTGAGGGGATTCAAGATCCCACGGTATTTTTTTTTTTTTTGCATCGAGAATTATCAGGATATTATCTCGGCGAAGTGTGCAAAGTTGCAGAACATAAAGTATGAATAATATTGATATATCTTCAATAAAACTATTATCTCTACATATTTTGTTTGACGTGATGCTGTTGCAAAAATTTAACCGGAAAAGTATTGCAAAAAGTATTTCAATCGCATTATTTGGGGAACTTAGGATATCCGCACGCGATTTTGCAGGCTACCTCGTTGTCCACTCTACTTACCACTAAATCTCTGCGGCTCTTCGCATCCTAGGACGACTTCACGCTCCGCGTTTTTGCGCGTACCATTTTTAGCGCATACTTTAGAAAGCAAGGAGAAATCATAAGATACTAACTTACAATTAGTAATTACTTGATCTAAAAAAGTTAATGTGGGGTTTGTCAGCTTCCTATTTGTAATAAAAAAAGAGAGATAAAGCGCTAAGAAGACTTTACCGGAAAAAGAAGAAGTTCGGTTCTTATAAATAGATTCGATTATTACAATTCTAAGGTACAAATCTCTAAATTCGACGTGTCTGTGTCATAAATTTCGATAGATATTGTGACCAGATATTTTCAGATGGAAATTAAAAGTTTGTTTATAAAAATTTGCAATGTATTCCGCTTTTATCAAGTTTTGATGATAAAGTTTATCAGAATTTGCAAAGATCTAAAAGAGAAGAATTCCACTAAAATAATGATTCTTGGAAAAAATCTACGGTCTTTTAAGTATAAATAATAAAGTTTTGTGAAAATTTGTTATTGCATAATTTCATCTATCTGAACAGTCAAAATGCATCACGCAAAGTTTCATATAATTCGTGTGCTACGTTTATATAAAGATGCGTCTACCTCAAGTTTATAAATAACATCTAAAAGAATTTACATAAAATTAAATGCCGAATCCTCGCGTAATGCGAATCTGTATGCGAAGACAGTGCGACGGATGAAAACGAAAGGGCGATAACACCGCGTCGGCGGACCTCCTGACATTTCCAGGCTTCCAGGAGGTGAAAGCGGGAGGCGGATAACCGTAATTGGCCATCCGATATAATACAAGTTCCGAGTCCGCAATGTCGTAATCGTGTGAATAGTCGTCGTTGGTCCAAAATATTCGTGTCATAAATAATCCCGATTAACGAGATGCGTTACGAGTTATACTGTGGCTGAGAATCTCACTAATACCTATTTCGTCTATCTTTGAATTTACGATTTATTAACTTTCTGTAATTTTTTAAGATATCACATTTCTATGACAATAAATTATACTTATAGAAAACTTGAGTTATAAGAATAATGATTAATATCTTATTGTGATTATTCTATCATTTTGTAAATAATAGGAACTTATTATGACACAGTGATATCATCTTGGCTGCGTTCGGAGAGCGCGCTATCAGCGCTATTGTGTCACTCTATCCTTGTTTTATGTCCAATGAACGATAAAGATAGAATGATGCGATAGCGCTGATAGCGCGCTCCCCGAACACAGCCGTTGTGGTTTGCGTACACGGAAGCAGTAATATTACTCTCTAATATTCCTACATTATTAATATAATTGCCACAGTTTTATTAGTAAAAAGATGAAATTATTAATTAATTGATCGGCGCAGTTATTTCAGAACTAGTCGTTTTTACTTACTAAAAGAGCAGTTTTAATTCCAAAAACTAATTTCTTCTAAATTTGAATGTAAAGTTCAAAATTTGCTTTGTGTGCTGAGTTTTTTTTATAAAAAGTGATTGAGAGAGAGAGAAATCGCTGTGATGCAGGCAACTGCATCACATTCAATTGAATAACATTTATCTTGCAACAATGCGATGCAACATTCCTGCTTCAGACCTTATCAATCCCAACATCTTCGACGCACTGTTGCTGCGTTAGTATCACATTCTGTAATCCGCATTCGTCGAATCCCTCGCGGAAATGCATGCAGCCGTGCGACCTTGATTAATGCGCGCACCGTGCCAATCTTCGCCGTCGTGACGTTTCTGGATAGATGATAGCCGTCTTTCTACGGAATTCTAACGGTATCGGGATGAGTAAAGGGTCCGATTTAACGAGGTAGCCAATGTAACGTAACCAGTGTATCCGAGCCTATAATCTGTCAATGGAAACGCGTGGCCTTCGTTTCACAGAATTACTTTGGTAAACGTCCAGTACAAGCAATACAAATACAAATACACGAATATATAAGCGTCTGTCCGTATCATTTTGATCTCTTGCTGCAAGTAATATCAATTCTCAGATCATTTTTGTATCATTGCAACAGTATCACATGCCAAAAACGGTTTTCGTAGTTTCGAGCAGCAGATTTCTCTTTGGAAGATGCCTCAGAAAGATTCTACGCGATTTAATAGAGAGATCAAATTACCACATTAATTGAAAATAATCAACGTAGCATCGCGAGAGACATTGTCGACGTCAATTATTTAATATTCGAATTGGATTTTTTTTTGTGATTTGATTTCAAGTCTGAATGAACTCTTTTCGTTCAACCCAATATTATATAAGCTCTTGCGACCTAAAAAAGTTAAACAGCGATCTCGGTAAGGATCGTGAGCATTCTTGATGAAATGTCAATCTATCGTGATGGAACACGCCATCGGTGATTCGTTTTGTGAGATGCGTTCGCAGAATCCAAGTTTGCGTACGATGAGTACGAATCGTAACGATCTATACAAGTCACAAGTGCTCCATCAATCGTTGGTCAATTTATTCTCAAAGACGGAGCATCCGTTACCGTTATCCACCGCTCGCCTTACTTGGAAGTGTGTCTATCAGCGGTTCGTGACAACAAATGGAATATATTATTCTAACAAACCCAATAAACTCGCGCACGCATTATTACGTATAATACCGGTTCTCCGTTGAGTTCCTGGAACCACCTGTCGGATGATAACGCGGCTAAATGGTATACGGAGGTGCATGATGTGTATTACATCCTTTTGTCGTTCAAAGAAACTATTTTTACGGTCACTAATTAAATGCGCAAGTCAAACTAAATGCAAAACTGTGTCAAAGATTACGAAATGTGCACAGATATTTGACACAGAAGTTTATTGCGTACAATTTCTTGCACTTTAATTATTTATAATGACTCTGTGTACCACAAGAAGTCTAGAAACATTTTATGGTTTTTCTTGTAACATTTAATAGATAATTATTTTTAGATTTAAAAATTAAAGGAAAAATGAAGAAATACTACTTGCAAGTATGCAACAATTGATGCATATAATATCATATAACACTTGATAAGTGGTGAATCGATTATTCACTTATAGTATCGCACCGTGCGTATTGTTAATTTCACTACAATTATGCTAATCTTCTGCTATTTATCACTTATTGTTCTTGATTAATTGTCCGGATGCAGACAAGCATAAAAAGCGTCTAACGAGTTTGCTAATCGTGAGACTATTACTGGTATACAGAGAGTTGCACTTTGTTGCGTGATATTCTATTCCAGCCAGTACATAATTATGCGCACCGTTTATGTCAATTAGTTACCTAACGATAGTTGACAATTATAAATTTTTTTTTGCGACAGAATTATGTAGCGGAGCGTATTATGGGAAACTGATCAGCAAGCTGTCTGAATTCCATCATGGTGTGAGTGGAGAAGTTTACGCCGTCGACGCAAGGACGTTATTTATCAAGGATTTTACTTACGATGGCGAAGGTCCAGGTTGGTACATTACGTTGCCGCGAATAAACGCGTAACGCGTCCGTCGAATATTTGACAGGACATTAATTTCTGAATTAAATTCCGCGCTTGGTTCTTCCCTTTTTCCTGATTTTTTTATCAATTTCTAAAAATAGGTTAAACAATCAAATTTAATAATAATCTGATTTGATAATAATGAAAATAATTATATCTCTCTCGGATAATTGGAAGATGCAGAAAAACTGCGGAAAAACTTTCCTCCACCGGATAGATTAACCGCGATCAATTTCTGTGCCGGAAAAACTTTCCCGAATCTCTCCAGCACACTCGTGACGCGTTAACACGTTAGCTAGCTGCGCGAGATACTTGTTCCTAATTAATGGCATATCTAGATGCTTATTAGAGCTTCACGATCTGAAACCGTGCAACGTGTTTACTATCTACTCGCTTAGACCCATTTGTTCGCCGTCATTGGCAACAGGAAACTTCCTTGAGAATCTTTCACGAAACTTGTCTATCAGAGATTATTGAGAGAAATGTAAGAAAAATAAAAAGAATTTAGAATATATTTAAACTTTTCTATTTATGAATAAATTATCTTTATAATAAAAAAAAGGAATTCTATTAAACGTCTCGAGTATTTATTTTTGTGATAACAATAAAAATTATAATTAATAATGAGAATCAATATACTAATAATTAGTGCATTACTTTTTCAGCCGCTTTCTTTTACGCTGGTAGCAGCAAAGCTCCTGGTAACAATGGGTTCCGAGTGCGAGACGAACGTGGAACGTAAGTAAAATACATTTGTTGCTGATAAGAAGTGTAATTATCACACAAATTGTTAAATAAAACTTGAGGCGATTTTGGATTTCATCGGAGCTTACCTTTACTCGGCGACGTTAATTTCTCCTTTCGTCTGACAGCACGAACGTCCTTAAGCGGTACCGTAAGAAGGACATCACCCTGACCTTACCGGATGGCAAGACTTTGAACAATATCAAATGGTTTTCGGTTTGGTGCGACGAATTCTCAGTAAGTAACACATACGCGCGCTCATGACCTTGCCCTATGATATCGTACTTGATATTCGTCAGAAAACCGGTATCATTTCTTCGAAGTCCAACTTTCACGTTCGTATACAGATCGTCTGGATATCCGCGTGTCAAGCGAATGATATGCGACATGTACTTGCTTGAAATACGCTTATAGAAACTAGCTTAGAGATATGCATTTGGATTAAATTGTAAATTTAAAGAACTTGCATTAGTTCTCAATGAGATCCTTGATATATTTCAAATTTCTAATTCGTTTCATCTCGTTTGACTGTATTAAATAAAACTCAAAAAAATTTCACTTCCTTGAGAAATATCTGAAAGTAGATCGTAAAGATGTTTACGAACTTATAATTGGATCAATCGAAAATTCACCACTACACATAATTTATATAGCACGGACAGTTTTGTCTCACGAAAGAATTATCTTTGTTTAGGTAAACTTTGGTGACGTCAGGATACCGCGAGGCTTCGATTATCCGAAACCACAGAAGTTAAAAGCGTTAAGCGGTATACACGGCGTCAGTTCGGAACCGGTCGTCATCGTAGACGCTCAAACTCTTCTAATACCCAGCTTTAGTTACGATGGAGAAGCGCCTGGCAAGTTTAAATCACATTAAATTTTTGTACAATTGAAAATATTTTTGACATCCTCTTAAATGATGAACAGTGTTTTGTATAATTTTCTCAGAGAAATTTGTAACTTTATAAATTTATTTATACTGCGCACGTAAGATTGACAAGTAACAAGCCGTAAAACTGTTTTGCAGATGCCAAGTTCTGGGTGGGTGTCGGCCCGTCACCCTCGTCGCAGGGTATTCGCGTACCCGACGAAAATGGAAAAGAGCAGCCGTTGCGTCGTTACAGCCGCAAGACGATCGTTCTGACGTTACCGGATGACCTGACCGTGCACCAACTCGGTCATTTCGGAGTGTGGTGTGAGGCCTTCGCCGTGGACTTCGGTCACGTGCAAATTCCGCAGGCTCTGAATGTACCGCCGTCCTTGAAAATGCTAGGAGTTTCGCCGCAGGTATATTAGACATATTTACACGGCAGGAAAATGGGATAATAAGGAAAATGCATTAACACGTAGCTCGTAGTGCATTGTAATTTGTCATGCAATCTCATATCGACTTATCGAATGGTGATCACGAGTGACGTCGGTCGACTTTTCGACGGTACCGTCTTCGGCTTCCTTCTTCCTTGACATTAACCACTCGACTACAAATGACTTAAAGCACGCAATCCTCGATTTTGCATTCTAATGAATGGAATTCTTGGTGCAATTCTTCAATATTATATTTAATTATAATGACAAATAGATTCCAACTTCGCTTTTTCTTCATCTTTTCGCTTAAATTGAATTTTTCACATTGAAGAGCTCTGAAATAAGAAAAATTGCAATTAGAAGAAAATTAACTCTCTCTTTCGCATTGTCATCGACGCTTGATTCATCCCGCTTGCTCCGCGAACGAATTAATCCGGATTCCTAGAACGGCTTATAGATAAAAATCCTGTCTCTGTCCTTGTGTTGCAGAACGTGCATCGCGGAGGGCAGGGACAGTTGGGGGCACTAACGGGCGCATACGAGATCCCTTCTTTCTCTTCCTCGTCGCCTAGTCCCTTCACTATCTCATTCGCGAGCTCGCTCTCGCAACAACACCAACGTCCGACGACTTATCGGCCGCTTCTCCGCCGTGACGATCAAGTCCAAGTAATTCAAGCCGTGGAGCCACTCGAGCAGCTTCGCCAGGCGCATTCCCCCATTTATCAGGAGCACTATTATCGCACTTCCGCCGAAACGCCGTCGACGTCCTCGTATCGCCAGCCAGCGGTGCGTTCGCACGCCCGCCTAGCCGAGCCGCCGCAAAATTCGTACGCGAGGCTCTTGCATCAATTCCAAGGAGATAGGAGAATCGACACATTCGTCCGTTATTGATCGCGATGCGTCGTGCTATTTAAAAAAAAATAAAAAAAAACGATTTTTATCCCCGAGTCTTATCCCGCGCGAATACAAGGATACTCTCCGCTTATCGCACTACGCTCTCTATTGAATACGTCATTTAGGAAATTTCGAATTTTCCAACATTCCTCTCGAAAGTTTATCAAATCGTTATTTTATTATTATTTTTAGAATGTACATTAATTTTAGAATATCGTATTATTTTATTTATACTAAAGTGTCTTTTTCAAAGAGCCAAACATGAGAGGCATTAAATTAGAGTATCGAAAAAATATTTTAAGAGAATATATGGAATTTTTAATAATTGTGGAAAAATGAGGAATTTCTTAAATATTTATTTGCTTTAATTAATTTTTTATATAAAATTTTACCTTGGGGAATTTTCGTTCTTCTTATATATGTATATATATCTGTGCAAGTGATATATAATATATGTACACGTATAATATAAATGTACATATACATATACGTACACATTCGTTTACGCGCGCATGTCTATATTATATTTTTGATATTTTTGTATGCATTTTCTATACATTTTATGTATTATACATGAAATAAACATATTTTTTACAATTGTAGCTTTGCATATATTTCCAAGCATAATTTTTCGATAAGTTGATAAGAGCTGTCTTCTAACAATACTCAATGTTTTTTTAAGAATTCTTCTAAATATTCAAACTGACTACAGTTTTGTTTTCTCTAAATCTCTACTCTTTTTAGAAATTGAACGTAGAAAAACATATTTAAATAGCAGTTTTAATTGTAATGAACATTCGTGACAACAAAACTAAAAATTATTTTGAGATATTATTGCTGTAAACTCGATTCGCGCAGGTATACGTTGTCAACAGATCTTGATGTATGATTTCAGTCGAAACTTAACTGCGAAGTTCTCGAAGATAGTTTAGCTTTCGAGGTGCGATGGGCCGTAGCCGGCGACAGCATAGTTGTTCAGCTTGTTGCAAAACTTGGTAAGCATCCTGCGAAAAAGCTTCAGTAAAGAATGAAGAAACGTTTGACAAATGCGGTTAAATAGTAATCTAATTAAAGTAGCTTGTTGCATAATAATAATGTTTGTATTGATACTTACAGATGCCGGGCAATATATGTCTTTCGGAGTGTCCGCTGATACGGAGAAGAGCGTTATGATCGGTGGAGACGTCGCCGTAGCTTGGGTCGACAAACAAACGTTGCAAGGATATGCCACTGATTACTTCTTGGACGCGAAATCCCAATGCTCGGGACGCCGAGGCAGCTGTCCGGATAAGCGCATACAGGTATACACGAATGAATAAATTTAACTTTTTGAGAATCCCGGATTTAAAAATGAAGCGAGTAATAAGTTAACGTATTCTATGCGATACAAATGGGTTACACAGAATATGCTGTAATGATAAAGTAATTCCTATACTTTGAAGGAAAACACGGACTCGGTGCGATTATTAAACGCGGCAATGGTGAACGGCTACAGCATCGTCACGTACCAGCGGCCGCTAAAGGCCAGCGACGAATTGGACCGTCCAATACTGACGAATCGATCGCAAGCCATAATCTGGGCCATCGGTCCGCTAAATGAGCGACAAGAAGTCAGTTTTCACAGCAACTATTTGAATACCGATCGATTTATCGACTTTAGTAGGCCACCCGCGTGGAATTGTCCCATGCCCGATCAAGAGCAGACCTCATCTTCTAACGACACTAACGAAACTGCTGGAAGCAGCAATGCTGTGAGTATCGTAATCAAGATATAACCGATTTATTGTATTAGAATTTTTTTCACAAATTTTTTACACATTTCTTCGTAAAAGTAAATAGAAAAAATTTATAGTACGCATATTACCGTTTTTGAAAAATAATGTGTTTAAGTAGCAGTTGGTTGTTACAACGAGAAGACCGCAACGTCAACCGGCGACTCCTGCACCGGCTTCTACGAACGACGCTTGGGACATACCGCCGATTCAGTGCTGGGAACCGGATGATGGTGTTCTCTATGCGCAAATTGGTCCCACTGGAGGCAAACACGGCTATCCGGCCATTACCGGTAAAGAATTGTATCTATAAATAATATGAAAGTCTTTTTCAATTTGAATATAAAAATTTAACGCGAATGTTACGTGATATGATAATTTTGAATATCTGGTATACGTATTTGGGCTTTCACAAGATTGATTAAAATTCGCGTGGCATTTGATCTGTTATGATATAATGCGTGCGAGAAAGTCCCCCCGAACGATTCGCGCTAAGAAAGTCGCATCTTTATTTTCTAAACCGGTCTCTGCTTCACTTTCTCCAGGTCACGTCGGCTGGGGAATCTCTTGGTACATTAACGGATTACTGATACCTGTGATTAATGTGGTTCGGGGCAAAAGATACACTTTCGTCGTAGAAGGAGGCTACGAATCGGAGTATCCGGCGCGTTATCATCCGTTTTATATCACGGATGATCCGATAGGCGGTTACCAGCACAAGACACCCGAAGAGAAAGCGGTAAATCTTCTTTGCATATAAAACATTGCTAAAAAAAAGAATTTTAGTCAGCTTTGCCTTGATTTAATATTATGCAGAAAAAGAACTAATAAATACATGTTGCCGTACAATTTTGATTAACCTTTTTTATCATGTACTTATTGTCGGATTAAACATTAGCGGTTTTTTTTTTATCTTGGTTTGTCTGATCTCGACAGAAAGTGAAAATATTTGCTGGTGTGCGCCGGCAACGCAACAATGTTATCCCCACAGGCGTTGGTCGCCTCTGCAATTGGATACACGATCAGAATAAACCAGAAGCAGACGACTTTGCGACTTTTGGAGGTTTTCAGCGCACTCTGACCCTCGAATGCGATCACGGTGAGCCCGGTATCGTGGAATGGACGCCCGATGAAAATACGCCAGACACAGTGTATTATCAGGTAATCAAGCAACCGTGCCGCGTATTGATGCAATAAATGAAAATGCTATAAGAATAGCAACAGGAAGAAATTGTACTTCTAATATGTGTGGATTCTATTCTATTTTATATTACAATACTTTGAATTGTACTAATTTTACAAGATTTTACACGCGTTTTCCAGTGCTTCAGTCACCGTTATCTAGGCTGGAAGATCAACGTTCTGGACAGCTGCGACAACCCTGACGAGGCATCTTCGGCGGCCAGTGAGAAGCACGAAGTGTACGCGGCACCGCCGAAGGGCCATCAAGCGGCGAGTCAGGATATGGAATACGGTGCCAGCGTAGCCATAACGAGCAAGGTAATGCCACCGGTGGAGTTTCTTCATCAACAGCATGCTCATCATTCTCATCGCGAATACAGTCATCGTTATCCTCATCGTCATTCAGCGACTAACCCCGCTGGCAAGTTAAACGTTTCATATCACCGCCATCCGCAGCTACTAACGAACGCAGCCAATAACAAATTTGATCGCTTGCAATCATCATCATCGTCGTCGTCGTCGTCGTCCGAGAAATCGTCGTACGATGACGCGACCAACATGATCACGCCTCATCGTTCCTACGAGGGGCGTCCAAAGGATCACATTGACGAAGACGCTTCACAACAGCAACAACAGCAACAACAGGACCAAATGACCGCTCATGAACAATCATCATCCCTTTATACCGATCATCTGGAGCTCGCGCGGGAGATTCCGCATCAAACTTCTGCCACTAACCAGCAATTGTCTAACCTCGTTGCAGATCACCAACGACCGTCATTGATTCACGGAACCAAGTTCCCCTACGTAGCGACGATCGGCGGCAATGCGTACTCCCGAGCGCCGCATTATTACCCGAGCAATCACCACGTTCGCCTTCAGCTTCCTCTGCCTTTTCCTCGTTATCATCAACATCAGCCCGAACCGCCAAGGACCCAACTGATGATCATCCGCCGTCCGGTGCCACTAACACGCAATCCGATGTTGCAGACGTTGCAGGCCGCTACAAACGCACTGTCACTGCCGTTCTCATTCCCCTTCTCATTTTCCTTCTCGTCGTCGCCGCGGCCGATCCTCATTGAGCGCAAGAAATCCATATACCGGCCGCTACCGATCACGAGCACGTTGAAAGTCAGCACCGACAAATCGGTGTCCGTTGCCAGTCCGCCGTTTGAGAAATTTACCGCGAAGATCGACGCAAAGTCACGCGCGAAACTTGAGGCGAAAGTAGGATCGGAGGATATCTCCGACAACCTCATGAGTTCTTCACGAACGGTATTGAAGCCGGCGCGCAACACCGGCTTCGATCCCGACTCCATCGTCATCGAGGGTGGTTTCAAGCCGATCATTAGGAACGTCGTCGATAGAGAGCCGGATGTCGCGCAGAAAAGAATTTCGATGGAAGACGCATGGCAGGACGAAGTGTTTCGAAAGACCTCGGATTATCAAACGATCGACGAGTTCTCACCCGTTTTCGTACCGTCGTCGCCGGTGACATCCGTGATCGGTGACGACGATCGGAAACAGCGCAAGAAAACGTCGCAGCTCGCGCGCTTCTCGTCGCAGCTGGATGACCTCGACGATATGGAGACGGCGGCCGATATCAGATTGGACACTTACTACTTGCCGCCGATCGGGAAAACTAGGCCGGAGCAGCTACCGCCTTCGTCCTCCGGTGTGTTGATTACTTACGACGGCAAGAAACTGAAGGATTCCATCAGTCTGACTAGATCCATCACCGACATCGATCACCGTAGCAAGGGCCGGCTCACCTCGGACATCCTTAGCAGAACGCCGCAATTCGGTACGTTCCAGGGCGAACTTCCGCCGCTGATCCCCGGAGAGATACGCGCCAACAGCTCGACGTACGGCAGAAAGCACCAACTCCTGCCGAAAACAAGTACGCGGCTCACATTGGTGGAGCGGTCGAAGAGATCGCCGATGTCCAGCGTGGATTTTCAGCGGGACAGTTTGAGCAATTACGAAGATAATCGAGAACGCGAGCGGATCGACGCGGTCAGCGGTAGCGGAGACACACGCCTCGGCGGCTTCGGATGGATTATGCTAATCACAACGGCGGCGTATCTGGCAATTTGAAGGATCGCGATGACAACTATCATCCGCTGAAGGTAAATTGCGTCCTCCACGGAAAGCCAGAAGAATTTGAGGCGTTGATCGTCTCGCGCGTGGCTCGCGCGGTATACAATTGTTCGGAAATAATGAACAGTATAGTCCAACCGTGTTAACACCCCGGGGGAAGGCATTACTAACCACGAGAAAATCACTGGTTTCCTATACAGTAGTACAATCTGCCTGTCAGCTCGCGCCTCGCGTCTGGTATCTCCGTTTTCCCCATCTGCTTTCATCGTGTTCTTCGCATAACGACTGCGCTCTAACTATCCAGGTAAATAGTTTTTTTTTTTTAGACAACCGAATTTCAAGTAGAGGAAAAAAGAGATAATTTTAGCCATGAGATATTGTCGTTCATTAACATTTACACCGTGATTGCATTTCTGACGAAAATCGCAACGATTGAAATTAGAGCATTTTAATTCAACAATTATGGTGGTGTTAAAAAGTCAATCATAGCGTAAACATTAATAAGGGATAAATGTATCCCATGGTTGAAACGACCTCTTTTTCTTTTACATGAAAATATAGTAGACGTTTTTTATTCCTAGACATTTTTATGATTTTTTAGGAAATGAGTTTTTTAAATATTTACTATTCATATATATATTTGCAAGCGTAAAAGTATCTTTTTATATCCTTTATTATCTTTTTCTGTATTAGAGAGTGGATATTAGATCCGGTATTAGATTAAGAAGTGCAATCCATGTTTAGTATCGAAATTCTAGAGTATATATAGAGAAATATATATAACATTTGAATCACTATACTTTCTAATATTATATATAAAAAGTTATGCCGGCTTACGACTGGCACGGGAGGCGTTTGAAGTAACAGGTATTTGTTGAATTTTGCTGGCATATTTGTAAATAAGTTAAAGCAATTGTTAATAAAGGTAATCTTGACACAAGTTTTCAAGATGTTCTACGTATTGTCCTATCATAAAACTTTTTGGCACAAATTTAAAAATACTTATCCATAATAAAATACAATAAGACGAGATGCGTGCGAATGCGATATCAAGCACCGTTTTATTGCATAGAATAAAAAACAAATCTTACAAAACAATCAACACGCAATGTTAAAGTCGTGCCAGCGCACGAAAATAATAATAACAGCGTACCTGTCATCATTAATAACGCAGAGCCATTTGTCACACCAGTTGTTATAAACGAGGAAAAATGATAATTCGCACGCATGATCTTCGACAAAGCGCATAATCTGTTGTCCATCGTGTTCGCGATAATTCGTACTTACACTTTTGCGTAATGCTACACACGGATTCCGTTTAAGTACGAGGAAGAAAAATAGAAATTATCACTTGTGTAAAAATTATTCTCCAAAGTCTTATCAACCTGCAAAAATGTAAGCATAAAACACACACACGCGTACCCAAGCACATCTATATCCACACGCATTTCCTGCACGTTCATTAGCGTATACTGTTCACGATGCAAAAATTGCGCTTTGTAATTTGTGTTTGATCATGCGAGTCCTGTCGATATTACGTGTAGTTTCAATTAGCAATCTCAGTCATTGCAACATCGTATCATAATGTCAGAAACCAAAAAACGATATCTTTCTTTCACAATTTGCAATATTAATGAAAAAGTTTTTACAATATCGGTTTTATGATTCACCAAAAACCTTGGGACAGAAATAATTGTGTTTTAATTCATAAGTAGTCATAAAAGTAAAAGTTGATTTTTGCGGAAAGTATACAAGATGTTCACAAGAGGAACATATTGAGATTAAACATTTACATGTGTGAAAGAAGAATGTTTTAAATACATTTTACAAGCCTATCCATGAACAGGGTCATATAACATATAAAACAGTCCTTTTATTTCCATGTACATCACAAAATGCGTAACTTTTCGCTGCTGACATAATTTAATTGATGACTAATCGAAAAGGTATGTATAGGTAGATAGAACACATATCAAACGGCTAAACGATAGAACACTTCAAACGCGAGGATTACTATTTTTAATACATATAATCGACAATATATTTACATGTATATATATATTACAGAATACGTTACGCCTTATTAATCATACAAATATAATGATAGGTTTGAACACTCGATTATTATTTCTACAATTTCCGTTAATATACAGATCTTACACCCGCAAGACGTACTCTTCTCCTCGGTGATAAAATTCATTCTTATACTATTCTAAATAATATTGCATATTGTTGCCGTATACTATTGCATATATAAATCGGTCGATTTAATTAGGATTTCATTCCGTATTGTGTTCCGACTTTTCAACATATTAGCTACGAATACATTTGTAAAACATATCACACCACCTCTCGAAAAAGCAACGGGGAAGAGTGTTTTTCGGATGAATAAATGTTATAATTTTACCATGCTGAAATTTTAACTTAAGTACCACATGATTACAAAAATATCTATTGTATTAGCATTGTGGTTCTTTTGTGAAATAAAGATTGAAATATTCATATAAATTTTATATATATATATACATCGATCAAAATAAGATTTTTCTCATTATGTTATTCTTGAAAAGACTCGCAATATAGTCTCAAGTTCACTTGTTTGATCATCATTTTCAAATCTTTTCACGTAATAAAAAGCGTCCCTATAGTGTATTTATCTCTTAATACACAATGAGTTCATAACATAATTGTTAAATTTTTTATTCATTATAATCTATGAATTAATGCTTTGCATAAAAAATAATATTGGATAGGTATACATGTAAAGTAAGAAATAAAAGGGTGTTCCGCATTTTCTACTATTAGCGACAATTTTATTAGGCGTTTTATTTATTATATATAATAATGTTAGTTATATTAATCACTTTGAGAACAAAATTTTGATGATTTAAGAAGATTACGATAGAGCTTTAATACAATACCCCAATTCAAGACAAGTAAAGATGTAATCAAAATACTTTTTAAACACATTTAGAGATACAGCATATAGATATATACAGAGTGTTTAATGTATTTCTACACAAAAATGTTAAAAAAAATAAATAGCTTTCGACAAACGGAGCTTTAAAGATGAAATAAAAAATATTTGTTTCAGCTTTTCTTAACAAAAAGAATTTTTTTCTCCGCCAAGAACTGCAAATTGATCAAAGAATCTGTCATTAGAAGTGCAGTAGAAGCGAAACACTCTGTATATAAGTTAAGAAAAAAATATAATTACCTAAAAATATATATTAGAAGTATAATATTATACAATGCATATATAAGAAATAAACACTATAATAAATGTTTTACAATAAAATTCAAAGAATTAATTATCTTCTTTTCTCTTTTTTAATCAAAATTTATAAAATTAGATTTATTCTTGGATTGCAAATATTCAATATTTGCGATCAATACTGCACAGTGAATCATAACGAATGAATACTTAATTGGAAGTTTATCTCACTTGTCTTTGTCCATGTCCAAATATGCTTGTATAATACTACTTAAGCTAATAAATAAAAGCAGTGGTTTTTTTAATCAAGAGTATATAAATATCGTTAGATTTGATGCATTTTTCATGAAATCAAAAATCAGACTTTTTTTTCGAAAGCATATTTAAAGAATCCAAGTGATATTAACTAGTTGAAAAATTAAAAGTCACTAGTTAGACGGATAGATTGTTTGGCAAGATTGTTTCTATTAAATAATTGACTCATCTTTTGATATGAATATTCTTCATGTTGATATCTGTTAATGTGTACAAACTTAATTGTCCAGATTATTTATAAATGTATATCATGTATCTTACAGTTGCACAATAAAAATTGAAATATCATGCTCTAATTACTTATGCTTTATATATTCATGATTAAATGTTCGTATATGTATATATCAAGTAAAAATAATATAATTAACAAAAAAAAAAAAAGATTCATCGCACAGTCAGCATGATCTTATACACAGAGTGGCAAAGTATACTTACCTATCTATCAAGAGACGAATTAATGGAAAATAACCAAGTGTCTAAAGTATTTGTCAATTTAGCTAAACTACCGGCTGATGCCAGACGATTTTACCGCTAAGACAGCCGGATACGAGCAAATAGTGTTTGGGTGAGAATTTCGTGCTGACCACAATATCGGAATGACCAATGTGCGTCGCTAGCTCGTGAAGCTGCACGGACTCGTTGGCGGGCGGGACGCAATTGGACAACTCGGCGCAGTTGTTCGAGAACGCTAATAACCGTACTCCGTAACCGAATGGTGAGCATATCAGTCTACCGTCGGCCGAGAAGCACAATTCTTTAATATACCCGGAGCCAACGTTAGGCTCCTCGATGTAGTGCGTCAACCTGGGTGTGTTCTGATGAATCTTGTGATTCCTCGGTATCGCGTACATGGGCTTCTGACTTTGCCGATTCGGTAGGCTCTGCACCCGCGTACGATCGCCAATTATTACTACCGTGTGGGAGGATCGAGGTATATTTACGCTGACGCCGTTATTCGATCTGGGCAACCAGTCTCGCCTTTCGGCACCGGGATAAAACTCCCTCTCTCGTTCGCGACGATTTCTGGCTTCTCTGATCGCCACGAGCGCTTCCCACACGTCGCTCGAGCTGACGTGCAATTCCACATTGCCGGTGGAAAAGTTGTCGATCACATTGCGTCGTCGCAAGTCGTTGAGTTGAGATTGCAGCCTGGGAGTTCTATACTCTCGCGCATTCTCCCGATCTCTGTCGTCAGCTGACGCATCGTGCGTCGAATCGTTATTATCGTTTACATGTCGATTCTCCGATCTATCATCGTTGTGAATCGTATTTACTCTTGAATCGGCAGCGGAGCTCGTACCTGAATTCACTTCGAGCATGTCGAAGTTTGTTCTCACCGAATTTCTATCCGCCCGCGGATTTCTCGACTGAGAACGTAGAGTCCGCACTTGCCAGTTTGTCCTCGACGATCTAACTGATGACGGCGCGGCGTCCGCGGATACATGGATAGGTGGCTCGAATGAGTTTGATCTCATATCCGACACGTCGTGTACTATTCGGGTGCGATTTGAACTTTCTATTACTAGGGAAGACGTGATACCCGAACTCGACGGCTGCGACTGCGGAAAGTCCTCAAACTCTTCCATGTTTAAACTCGTTAAACGGCCCTCCTCTCCCTCATTCACGTGTTCCACATTGCTAGACGTTTCGCGTTCTTGTATGTCATGAATGCAGGTCCACTGTAAATGAAACGAAACATCAATGAAATTTACTGGTCATACATGATTATAATGCAATAAACTATTGAATCCATCAAACCGACCTCTGATTTTTCACCGCTACTGACATTTCTCGATAAGGCGCACCATCCCTGTGGATGAACTTGTAAACTGGATATTACCTCAGCATCGTCGCCTATAGGAAAGTCGGTGAGGAACTCAACTCTGTTGTGAGTACGATTTTGAGCAAAAAGATGCGTGAAACTTGCGGCAACTGGTATAGTAGTTTGAGATAATTGCATTAATCTGTACATATTTGGCTGGAAAAATAAAAGACAAGAGTGATTTAATATAATCATGTTTATAATATGAAACGTTCAATTTAAGTAAATAAAAGATGAAGAAGTGTTATCTACCTTGAATCCAGCCAAATCCTGACTTAGTGTACTAAGCTTAAGATTGTGTATTACAATGAGATATCCCGACGTAGTGCATATTAACATTTTGCTAGTATCGGGAGTAAGTCTTGTTCGCATTAATCCATTTGTGTGAAATACACGCGTATACACAAAACTATTCTCTGTAAAGCTGCAGAACAAAATTATCATCACAATTATACAGCTGTATAGATACAAGAGAACAAATTATTATGTTAATCAAATATTGCTTGCCTATTAATATCCCAAGTATATATGCTACCATCAAATCCACTAGTTAATAACAGACTATCACTTGGACTATATTCTATGTTTTTAACCCAATTAGAGTGTCCCTGAAGAGTCCTTATCCTTTGTTTTAAATTCCTGGCATCCCATAAAGCAACCGTACTGTCATCAGAACATGTAGCAAACATACGTTGATCCAGGAATCTAATATCATGATGAACAATGTCATGTTACATGGTCCGTGTCCTTTTGTGATTTTCTTTATAATTTTAAGAAATTCATCCTACAAACCTTACGCAATTGACGCAATCATTATGAGCATTGTCAATGGCATGTATTAATTTTCTACATAATGGGTCAAACATTAAAATACTTTTCTTCTCACATGCTGCCAGCAAGAGAGACCTGTAATATCAAACGCATAATGAGATATAGCTATGATTTCAAGATCTTAATGTTGTGGATGAGGATGTTTTCAAGGATATGTGTTAAGAAATACCCGATTTACTAACCCATCTGGCGAATACTCCAAATTAAATACACCGCCGTGTCTCGCAGCGGTTAAATTATCCCCATGATCCCACGAAGTAATAGGCTGTATAGAAGAGTAAAGAGTCTTGTGAAAGTCATCGTTGTGGCCCAACGGAAACTTTACACCCAACTCGCGTTGCCTCAACCAAAGGCTGTTTGGCGTTTGCTTGATCCGTATCTTCGGCATTTCAGCCAGGTGTTAATTTCAACCGCATCCAATTGAACGTATCCGAAGACAAAATCAAGAGCTCGCAAACAGCGTCAGAAAGTTTTAATTCAAATTAAATCCAACGACAGCTTCGTCGAGACTTGGTGATCTATCACCCAATGTATTTCGGAATTTGTCGATTGCTAATTTTCCGCAACGATTCTTCGCAATCGTCGTTCAGTCAGAATTTCACCTACTCTTTAATGCAAATTCATATTTCACAGAAAATCGAAAATTTTGACGACGATAATGGTTCAAGGTTCAATGTGACTAGGTTAAGTACGAAATACTATGCGCGAGATTACACGTGACTTTTCGCGCACATCACCGCTTGTGTTTGTGTGTTGCGGCACAATTGCGACGTCGGGTAAAAGTGACAACTGGGAATTGTACTTGCACGTCGTCGTCGTCGTCGTCGAAGGCTCAGATAAAAGGTTCAAATCAATTTTAAAAATCTGACATAATACAGATCAGCGCCATCTTCGCTGATCATCGCCTGTCATCGGCATCGAGAAACACATGACGTGACATTAGCTGCGTTTAGATGAACAAATGCTCGGTACACATGGCAGCTAGTTAGTAGATTAAAGATTACCAAATCTGATTGGTGTTACACTCTAGATCTGCGAATCAAATCTGCCAATCATTAATTGCTTAGGGTAAATTTGTGTAAACGCATAATGCAGAACCGACCAATCACATATTAAATATTTGATATTAAATTTTATAGCGTTTTCAAGCGAACGGATTTTGATCCATCTCGGATCCATTAATCACTATTTTCCTATGAATTCAAGTCTTTTATTGGCGGAGACGATACAATGGGTGCGTTCAGGGAGACGCTATTAGCGCTATTTGCGTCATTCTATCTTTATCGCTCATTAGACATAAAACAGGGATAGAATGACACAATAGCGCTGATAGCGTGCTCCTCGAACGCACCCAATGACGACAAGTTTAGGTCGATAAAAATTCGTTTACTTGAAAACGCTATTGGATAATCTTCAATCTTCAATGCGTAGTCTGATACGGGCTTTACTGTTTCTGTTCAATTTTATTTAAATATAACCATTGTGTGTTGGCGTAAAGAGTAATAATACAATTGAATTATTTTTGCATCTTCTAGAAAACACAAAAAAGACAAGAGACAATTTGGACTCTACGTTTGAGAAAAGCGTTAAAAATGGAAATAAGATGGAATAAAGAATCTATACGTAATTTATTTAATCACACAACGGAATACATAATAAATAACATTTTAAGGTATAGCCTATTTCATTGTCAATATTTTTCGTACATTTATTTTTTAATTATTACATGAACACTAGGTACAGCTTTTATTAGATGTTATAAATATTTATTAACTCAAGGATAGTATACGCGCGCGTATATTATAGACTATTTCTATTATTATATATTTTTAATTATTAGTGTTTCAGAGAAAATTATAATAATAACATAATTATTGGATTAACAATAATAATTAAAAAAAGTATTTATAATTTTTATGATACCATGCTATAAATGCATATCATATGTTCTTAATAGAAATATTTTATAAAGCGTATATATTTTGATAATATAATTGTTCACAACACCAGTCAACAATATCAATTAACTATAATAAAATATACAATTACAATATAAATTTAAGATAAAATTTGTCACAATAACAAAGTTATTTTGCACACAAAAGTGTTAAACCTAAAAGTAGAATGGTTAATCAAAGTATAGTACTGTGAAATTACTTATTCTTCATCAGCTATAATATTTGTATCAAATTTTAGACCGGTTCCATACAAATGCTTTTCGGTCCATTCGTCGAATCGTTGAGCAAGATCTTCCGACATGTAATTTGTCCAGTCACCAATTTTGCCTTTTCTGATAAACTTGAAATTCGGGTCATCTGTTGATGCACTTCCGTTTAGTAACATTTCCATGTTCATCGATGGGTTTGTTGCCATTTTTGTAAATTTCAGGTGTTCGCGTAATCCATTGATTTGCTCATCAGTCACACTCTTACCCAGAAACTCTGCTGCTCTCTTGATCACTGCTATTTGATCCTGAAAAGCATAATGCACGTTTCAGTAAAAAATCCATGAAGATATATTTTAAAAACAGACGTGTTTTCTGTACTTTACCCGTTTCATTTCTTCGTATTTCAAAAATAATATGTTATCGTGATCTCTCATCTTCCAAAAAGGTAGGACATTTCCCCAAAACGGGCTCATCGGAGCTAAACAAACATTATTTTGTAAATTTCATTTTAATTCTAATTTTTATTTATACATTCTATAGATAATGTCGTTTTAAGAAAGTCATCACAAAATTCACATTAATTTACAACATGCAGACATCTCGATTTAAATAACATGAGATAATAAATTACCAATTGTTACTAATTGCATTTTTAACTAATGACATTTTTTAAAATAAAATAAGCTTCTACGATTGTTTTTTGCATAAAAAATTGATAAATAATTATTTGTTATTAATAGTGATTTTTTTTTTAGGAAGATGGATTACTCAACACACCACTATCTTGTAGCACTAACTCTGCGAAGTCGTCGAAGTTTCCTTTCATGCCGTGGAACATTCTTAAGTAATGGTAAAAACTGACGCAGGTATCTTTTGGATTTCTTGCGACGTAAATCACCTGCAAAATATCGACCCGTCACTAAAGAAAGGTATAAAAAAGTGTACGTCGTGCTTGCGCTACTTTTCTTCACCTTAGGCTTCTTCTCGAGAAGTTGTTTTGGTAATAAATCCCACGGTAAGTGAGATTTAATATATCGCGGTCTTGGCATGTTTGTTATGTTTTCAATGCTGTCGCCCAGTTTTTTAAACCACTCGTCATAATCTCCATTAATCATAACAGCTGAACCTCTGTCGAAAAGAGAAATTCAGAAAAAGATTTGGTTGGTTTCTTGCAATTGACAATGAAACAACTTTAAGCTGTGTGTGGATATCATTAAACTATTTTTAATTTTAATTTTCAACATGCAGGCATTTTAATTTGCGTGATATAAAATAATAAGCTGTCGACAGTGATTAGATGGATTTTATGACATTTTTTAACAATAAAATAAAGGTTTTTAATCAATTATATTATTAGTTTGTAAATTGACTTACTCGAGCAAAGGACTTCGCAGGAGAATAAGCGTGCGAGCTTTTTCGTAATCAAAATCATGTCCAATACACCATACCATTTCCTGTATCCAGTGACTGCCTAGAAAACAATTTTACAATATCAGAAAACAATTTGAAAAATAGAGATTTAATAATACAATCAACACAAAATTAACAATTTCTTTTGATTCTGTAAGCTGTGCGAAAAGGTTTTTTTTCTTTTTAAGAATTATATACTGTACAACTATATTTATTAAAAAATGAGTTTTAAAATATTCACCAGTACGAGGGTACGAGACCATCCAGACGTCGTCTTCGTACACTGTGAAATCGCGTATCTTTTGCGCATAAAAAATAAACTTCGGCGGCAATAAACAACGGCTAGGCTGTACTCTTAGAAAACTGGGCGTTAATTGGAACATCTCGTCCAATTTCTTTCCATTCTCATCGTCTACCGTCGAAAATACGAATGATTGTTTATCCACTAAAACAAAAAATATTAATTCAGCGATTAATTGAAGAAAAAGGCGCGCGGATAATCGCAATCGCAATCACTTTGCGTTTAACACTTACTTGCTTCCGAGTTGAACAAATATGATTGATCATGCAAATACAATGCGGATTAAATGCAAATACGCTCTACACACTTGGGTGCTGTCACATGTACGACTTGCAGAGGAATGAACGTACTCTCGGTTGTTCGAATTCCATGGACCACTACTGAGACTCGTGGGTTACTTTTTACTGGTCCTGTTCCTTCTTCCTGTTTACTTTCAATAACTTTCGTACTTTCATACTGGTCAAATAAATAAATTTGCCCACCTGTAATCAACGTGAAAGCATATATTTTTCAACCATTTTTGCACAAATAAAAGTAACCATGTTTAAATATTAAAGTTGAATTTGAGTGCAAGTATGAATCAGTTCACTGATGTTAGAGCAAGAATATTTATTATTTTTATATTTTTATTTTAAAATCAACACTATATAATATGTATATATATAAAACAAATGTGTCAATTTTGTTTTAGACCTTCTCTGGAAATGCTCGTTAGAGTCAAAATATTTGCCTTTAAGTTTACATCAAATTTATATATTAATTTTTTGTATATATTTTTATAATAAGGACCATATAATAAGGTCTTATATCAGATTTAATAGTTGTAAGGTAAGGTAAGAGAGAAAGTATTTAAGCATCTGATGCATTCCTTGCACGTATTTAAATTATTTGTAGTATTATGCACTTTCTCGCGCATTTCTGTCAGATTTCACCTTCAGAGAAAGTTACCTGCATTCTTATCGAAAGTCAACACACTTTACGTGTATAAGTATGTCACGCTTATTTTCGATAACGGGTTGTGTGTGTGTGTGTTTTTTGTTTGAGTATGTATTGTTACATCGTAACATAAAACATTTTTTAGCCAGCTTATAGAGAAACGCATAGATTATATTTCTCCTTTCTCTTTTTTTTCTTCAGCATTTTTGTTCTTCTAATTTTTAATTGCTGTATATGTATGTGTCAATATATATTTATATCTTTTTATATTTATATCCAAAAATTTGCTTTTTTCTTTGCACAAATACATAATAGTAATTAAAAAATTAGAACAAGAAGTGCTGATGAAAAGTAGAGAGAGAAATTTATGTAATAGTATATTAAATATATGTATATATAATTATTTATAATTAATGTATATATTAATATATGCTTTATTTTCTTTGTTTAAAATTGAATCAAGCGCATGTGCGAAATCTTTTTCAGCTACACTTTGTTATACTTCTTGCACTCAAAATAAAATAGATGTAAAATCCGGAGTTTAAGAGGGAAAGAGAAAAGCGAGGAAATGTGCAAGAGGTGCAGCTCTACGAAAACCAGATCCAGGAACTGTGCTGCGCATACGCACGAATTCCTAATCACGTGGTTTATTGATTGCCGTCTGTTATTTAGCTAAAGTTACTTCATGCAATGCATTTGTATCATTTTTGTTTGTTCGCGGATAGCCATTCATCACGAGTAAGTTTTAGTTTAGATTCGGTTCTCGCGAGTGATTCGTTCATATCGAAGGTCCGCACGACTGTTTACGCGGAACAATTATGCGTTTTCTTTGTGGCACAGGTTTGGAGGTTGTATTTCATTCGTTTTATGCGCACACGCCATATACACCGATTGTATACACATATGTATCACAAGTTTAGTACGAATGTGGGCGGTATCAAACATTTATGAGTATGTATATGCACATATATGTGCGATACAATTCTTACTCTTGAATTTTTATAATAAAAATCTTGTGGGTGCATGTGTTCGGAGAAAAATCTCAGCAGTCAATTTTATTGTTTACTCGTCTTGTGTGTTATGTTTTGAATATAAAAGGAGAACTGTCTTGTTGAGAGTTAAAACAAGTATTTTACTGAGTTGTAATATTCAATTTTATTATTACAATAGTTAATTTTGATAAATGTTGCACTTGTGTAAGTTTCTTATAACCATTTTGATATTTATTTAATTGACGTTTTTAATATTTTGCTGTCATAACAGAAATGAAATTTTTTTTGGGTGAGAGAGCAAAAGTAGAAGTCAGTCAGAAAGTGTATTAAAACATGTGATATATACACAATTTGTGAATATTGGTATATGCGTATGAATAAAATGCAATCTCTAAAACAGATTCTAGAAAAAGAAAGTGCAAGTTTAAAAGGAATTCTTTTCAGGTTCATGAACTAGAAAGAAAGAGACATATTTGAATCGCTTATGGAAGCGGGCAATGTGGATTAGTTATAGTCATCACTGGAACTTTTCCATGGATTCATTATTTCATGAACTTATACATGTGTGCAAATACGTGGCACCAGGCGCGCAATTAACTTATGGCCTGAGAAATCGTTTAGAAAGATTCAAGAGAAAAGAACGAAAAGAGATTGTGTCTCGTATGAAAGATGGCTGTGCTCCTTTGTTCATTGCTTGCAAGAGAGGCCATGTGGAGATTGTAGAATACCTCATAACAAAGTGTGACGCAGATATTGAACAAAGAGGAAAATATGAAGTACCGGACGATAGGTCAGTTCACTGTGCTACTCCATTGTGGTGTGCAGCAGTATCTGGAAATTTAGAAGTTATTAAATGCCTTATATCTCATGGAGCTGACGTCAATGCAGTTTCTGATTCTGGATCTACTCCTGTTAGATCTGCATGCTTCATGACACATATGGGTAATATATTATATATTATTTATTAACATGCAATTGAAGAAGACAAAAGAGAGTGGTGATGTAATTAATAAAAGAAAGTAATTAGAATGTTTTTATCTAATTGATCAATGCTTACATGCAAATTAATCAAGTATGTTACAAAATTCTAATTTTTGAGTCATGAAATCAAATCAGTATAAAAATATAATCACATGTAGGTCTAGGTCAGATTTATGTGTGCCAAGATTTACTTACGCCACCATGTATTCTTTTATAATGCTTAATAGTCTTAACAAAGTTTGATATGTTCATTAAACATTTCTAAGAAATGAATTGATCAAGTTTAATGAATCTAGCAAACATGTGGTTACAGAATGATTTTCTGAATATATTGAATTTTAATTCAGATATTGTTTCTTATTTGGTGGAAAATGGTGCCGATATATTAAAAGCAAATTATAATGGTGGGACGTGTTTGATAAATTCTGTACAAAGTGTGGAATTGTGTACTTTTCTTTTGGAACACGGCGCGGATGTGAACGCTACCGATATTCAGAACAAAACTGCTTTGCATTATGCCATTCAGGAGCACAGACTTCACACTACCAAACTGCTCTTAGAATACAATGCAGATCCTCATCTTAGATCACGATATAACGATGATGCCCTCCAGACTGCTTGCCTTAAAGGAGCTATTGAGATATTCGAGTACTTAGGTAAGAATTCAATATATATAATTATCCATCTTCCCTTTTTTTTATGATAAAAAGCACAAGTGCTCTTCTACTGTCTGACTAAAATCACAATGTATCTTATGATGTAGTGAAAAACGTATCGTATTCTCCGGAAAGACTGGCGGACGCAAACGAGTTGATGGGATCTACATTTTTTGACGATCACAATGCTACGAACATGGCGTTACAATATTGGAAAGCAGGGATGATCCTTAGAATGGCCAACTCACATGACGGAGTGCCTTTGCCAAAGAGACCTGTGTTACCAAAACGCGAGACATACAAAAATACCACAGAGTTTTCCACTTTGGACGAGTTAAGCTCCATTTCGTTCGATTTAGATGCGATAAGAATACAGAGTTTGTTAATATGTGAAAGAGTATTAGGTCCACATCACAAGGATACTCTTTTTCGGCTCATGTTTAGAGGCGCGTCATATGCGGACGCGTTAAGGTAAACATTCGTTGACAGTTTTTCCAAGATATATTTTATTACAAATATTTCACATATATTCTTCTTTCAGATATCAAAATTGTATAGATTTATGGCATCGAGCATTAGAAATTAGAGTTGAAAAGGATTCGGTATGTAAGACATATTGACATCTTAAAAATAAAAGTAACGAGATAGAAGAAAAATTTGTATTTTACCACTTATATTCAACAAATTAATTCTATCTGTTTTTCTACAGATCTTGTATGCAGATACTTGTTTTACCGCACAAGCTCTAGTAAGACTTATGGTAGATCTAAATGAAAAAACGTTGGAAGTGATGGATCATAATCATGTAAATCGGGAACCGAAATTTTGCGATGTAGTAGCAGTATTCAAATTACTCTCCAGCCAACTGATGGACGCGAGAGAATTGCTGGAGGTGTGTGTAAATGATACTTTCTTTACTAGATATATAATTTATTTGTGAGACATTTAATTATATAATGCATTGATATGCATACGAATTGATTACATGAATGTGAATATTACAGAAACGCCCAGTGCATAAGAGACAAAGAGACAGTTATGAACGTATCCTGAAATGCGTGACGCATCTTATTTACTTACTAGTAGAAACAGTGAGTTCTGACAAAGAGAAAGCTTTAATGCACGAACTAGTCTGTGGGTTAGTGAAAAAAAATCCAAGATCTGTTTATACAGAAGACACGCTTCTTCATCTTTGTGTTTCTAGTTTAAATACAATTAATTCTAGTTATTTTACCTCTGCCGATGATATACACGTGAGTATAAATTTTGGCTTGTATGTTATTTATATTGCATAATAAATAAGTAATTTTATTTTTAATATAAATTTTTCTTTGTGAGGCCTAAAAGAGATTCTACACTCTATTTGATAAAAATTTGAAGTTTTAGAATTGAGTAAACTTGAAATTAAAGATTCTGTTATCTATTTTCATTTTTGACATATTTGTCTTTTCAGACAATTTTTCCACGTCTGGAAGTTGTTAAATTGCTGTTGGACTGCGGAGCGTATGTCGATGCCAGGAACATATTGCGGTCAACGCCATTACATATAGCAAGTAACACATATAACTTCGACAACCCTGTAAGTACTTTTTAAAATATATTTTCTAAAATTTTATAAATTACAATAGGCTTACACGAAGAATGTTTTTTTTAAACAGCTGATAAAATTATTATTGGATCATGGCGCACACTTAGATACGCCAAATAGGGCAGGAGATACACCAGCGCGACTGATATCTTCTAATCCATTAAGTAACGTAAATATTCTTAAATATACTACCCTTCAGTGTCAGGCCGCGCAAGCCGTTTGTAAATATGGAATCAGTAGTGCAGAGTTGCCTATTACATTACGTTATTTCTTGGAACTACATAGAGAATGATGATATAATAATAATAGTAAAACAAAAATATATTTTCAAATAATTATTGGGTCCGTATTCAGAACGACTTCATAAGTATTTTGTCATAATTCCAAAATATATGACAATATTAAAAAATTTATGTTTAATAACAAATGATGTATATATTCATAGTTAGTTAATACTAATTTTAAGAGCAAATTATAATAAATAAAAAACACGTAGTGAAAATGTGTAGTGAATACTGATGTCGAAATTTCAATTATAAAGAAAGTACTATTTTCAGAGTATTAACTCTTATTACGTACGATCTAAATTATATACGCAACGGCACGCATGCTTAAAGTATCAAAATATAAAAAAAGACTGAATAAAAAGAGAATGTTTCTATATAACTAATTTTTTCAATTAGATACTTTGCAATATATATAACATCATTTTTCATACTTCTGCACAATGTTTTACGTAATTTGATTGATAAATATCTATTAAAAAATTTTTGCTGTCTTAGACAATTAAAGTATTGCAAAATAATGTGGATACTTAAAAGGGCCTGAGAATTTAAAAATGATGAAAAAATCATGTTACATTTAAAAAATTATGATTTAAAAATAGTACAAAAAACTTTAAGATACTATTCTATTTTTTTTTCCTTCATGCTTTTTCTTATCTAATAATTTTTTATTGGCACAAATATTCATATATAAAATATTTACCGAATCAAAGACAAAAGGTAGAGAGAAGTGACTTTAGCGCAAATCGAAAATCACATCTTTCAAATCTGTTTTATATTAATAGTTATTAATAAGCATATTTGCCTCTAATTAATACGCTGTTTATATCTAAGAGGGGAAAAAAGATAGAGAAACTTGACAATAATGTTTTTATATGTCACAATGTGATTGGTTTTTTAATATTGAAATGTTCAAAAATTCGTATTTTATAAAAAATGCGCGCATTTATATTTATGAAGTAAGAAGATTTATTTCAGTATGTTATATAATTTAATGATTTACCTCTAATTTTTGCAATTTATCGGGCCCTTTTAAGTAAAATATTCATATTCAAAATTGTTTTACGCATACTGCGCTGCCTACAAAATGAAAGAAGAACAGCGAACGTTAGCGCAATTATGTTTTTTCACGTAAATATTAAAGATTTTTCTGGTATTTTCTTTTTGCAGGATCCTTTAAAAAAAGATATTACAAATATTAGAAAAGAGAAGAACCCCAGTCAACAAAATGTTAGCAGCCTGCTGGCAGTTTGCGAGTAGATTCACTTAGAACTTGGTAGCAAATTCCGTGCCATCTGTGTCCGCATTAAGCTCGTGTTCTGTCGGCAGATCTGTCGATAGGTTGACAGCAGATTGGCGGCAGAAAACGAGCAGGATCTGCGCAGTGTAATTTGGTGTCAGATTGTCGGCAGAAATCGAGCAGAACCTGCCGTCACAATTTAAATGGAATAGCGGCATTTAAATGCTTCATTACAATTTTACATTTCTCGTTTCGCTTATTAAAAGTAGTAAATGACATATGCAAAGTATATAATATATATTTGCTTTATTGGGACAAAAAAATACTTATGTTTTAATAAATTTATTAGGCAAAGTTTCGAAATCACTGCAATATCGGGTCAACTCGCAGCGCATTTTCAATTTCAAAAATCAGTTTAATATTCTGAAATCAGTTTAATATTTTTATGGGGATTGTATCAGATTATTGTATTAAACTGATAAGCTTCATTAAGCCACTGGCCACACTTTATATGCACTGTAGATGAATTTTGAGTACGAGTTTATATATGAAGAAACACACCGCATAGCGGCAAACAACATCAAATTGCACTGCGCAGATTTTACTCGATTTCTGCCGCCAATCTGACATCAAACTGCATTACACAGATCCTGCTCGATTTCTGCCGTCAATCTGATATCAAACTGCGTTGCGCAGGTCCTGCTCGGTTTCTGCCGCCAATCTGCTGTAATAATTCCGAGCAAATCCTACTCGATTTCTGCTACTGATCTGCTGTCAAATTATGTCAGCAGGTTTTGTAACATTTCTGCTGACATTCTGCTATCATCTGATGTAACAGGTTTTGTATACAATCTGCAGTCTTTCTGCTGACAAAAATTTGTAGCAGACGTTTGGCAATATCTGTTCGAACAGACTTTGCTGACTGGGACGTTATCTAAATATATATTAATTTATTAATTAAGCTAATCATTTCTCAAAATATTTAAAAAATGTCAAAACGTGTTATTATTGTGTACGGTGCTTTTTAGAAATACATTTTCTTTAATGGAAACGAGTCGCATAATATTCATTTATGAAAATGAATAATATTCCATTGATCAGTGGATTCTATTTTTCTAGCTATTGATATATAGGAATTGTAATAGAGTGCCTATTAATACTATTGGATGTTGATAAGTAGCACTGCCATTTGAATATCAGTGTGCGAATGCAGCACCATATTCTGCAGCAATCTAATGCACTTAAATTTTTCATTTTTGGCTAATTATCTTGCTCTGTCTTAGCTTCCTCATATATCTTGCCGCAGTAGAAATTTTTGAGTCTTTACAGCTTTGAAGCGTGAAACAAACCAAGATATCTGCAATTGAATTAAGAAGGAAATTGGTCAAATGATCGTAGATGCCATAGAGAGTTACTTGTCAACATCCAAATTTTAATTATTACATAATTTTTTTCTTCTGACTTTATCTCATATTTATTTTTAAGTACACTTTATTTAAATTTACTTGATATTTTATGTGAAAGTTATAATGATTATATATATGTATACTTTATTTATTATATATATGTACTTTGAAGCGCTGAAAATATTAATGGAAGTCAAATCACACAATGTTGGTCATGAGAAATGCAATGTTAAAATTATTATAGCTATAAAACTGCACTAATAAAGTGATACAGAGAGACATTAATATGGAATTGTGTGTGCGCGCGCGTGTGTGTGTTTAGATTACAACAAAAGTTGATTTGTCTTCTTTGTATTTCAGCATTTTAAAAGTATAAAAATATAAAAAGAGAAAAATTATATATACCACATAATATTAACAAAGCAAACAGCGATATCTCTTCACCACTCTTGTATAAGAATTTATAAATTCTTACTATATTATTAAATGTATGTGTAAGATTCATGTGTAAGATTTTCACAAGTGTTTATATTTATAAAAGTGATAAAACATTACGATTTATTGTACATACATATATATACACTACCGCTCATTAATTTCAATACACCCCAGCTTTGTTGATTTCTCTGTAAAGAATGAACGTGATACGTATATTTTGTACAGAAATGAGTCCACCTGCTGTTAAAAACACTCAGCACTCACATGCATCGTATTTAAACATTATTTATATAAAAATTTTTGAAAACTAGTTTTCGAAGAAACGAAATTAACAGCCGGATAATGTCAGATTCCTGGAAATAAACAAAATACGTGCGCAAAGTTACGAGGTTCTCGTAGTGATCAGATACACGCCCAATGCTGTTTTGAAACCCATTTATCAACACATACGCAGTGAAAGGGCTCCGGTGTTCGCCTTGTACTGTGATACTGTGAAAACTTGTGAAAATGTGTAAAGTGGTCTCGTAAATGGCTTCCAAGAAGGAGTTATCAATCGAAAAGCGATCTGCCATAGTCGCTTTGAGAAATGCAGGACATAGTTTGCGTGAAATTGCTCGCCTGGAGAAGGTTTCTCTTGGTGGTGTGCAGTGTACCCTCAAGAGATTTGGGTGGTGTATTGAAATTAATGAGCGGTAGTGTAAATAATGCACACAAGAATCTCTCAGTTGATAAAATTGCGACAAATGCCGCTATACATACATGACAATTGAAGAAAACGATATGTTCTCATACGATTCCAATATGGTCCATGTGTAAAGTTTGATACTTTCTAACATTTAAATCATTATAATTAGCACACCCTCTTTAAGTATATAAATATTAGACATATACTTATATCAATCTTCTCACTGTTCAATAACAAACACGATGTCCGACATAGCACATATCTAATGTATGTTGTCTTTTATATGCTCACATATATATCCTATCAAACGGTATACAAAATAAAAGAATATTGCATAAAAAGATAATTAATTGACGTTTAATATCCTTTTACGCTCCCATATGTTCGAGTTTTCTTTTAAAATGATACAATTTTCCTGGTTCCGTGATTGTTTTATTTTTCGTAGAAATCAAAACAGAGACCATACTGTAAAATTGCTCCTGCTATTGTAACTCGTTATTAAATTATGTAAATATGTAACGAATGCAACTTGTAGGAACTATCATACTAGATTCTTAATTCTCCCACCAAAATAGTCTGCTTTGTATACATGCCATCGAGATATACATACTAATCCAGAGCAGGGATCGACAATATGTTAAAAATGAGCACGTAAGCGTCTAAAGTTGCTCAATTTGCGAGCCACTCAACGCATTTTTACGTAAGTTGAAAGATATTTGGTACCATAAATACGTTATCATATTTTATATCTAACTTTATAATAGATAAAAAAGCACAGTCACAATTGGAATTAATAACGATAATTTATACGTGATTGCAGCGTTTTTCGTATAAGAATCAACTACGTGAATCTTCCATCCCATGTTCGGGTGCGTAAACGATTGATAGTAAACAAGGTCAGGCCACGACGAGTTTGGATTCACTATCAAGGTTCCACCATCTCCTACAGATGAAGAAAAAAAAGAATATGAAAGAATTGCTTTTCTAATTATCGTGTTCAAACGGTGAGTGTCGGAAACAATTAGTTTAAATTTAAAACGAGAAAACGAGAAACAGCTTTTACCTTGCTCGCAGACCTGTATGAGAGTCCTGTTAAATTTCTTAAATGACGGAAAATTATCGTCCAGTCTTCTGTCCCGACCATTATGCTTGCTTAAACAAAGCGGGCCGACTGAAAAGCAACAACTCGGATCAAAAAATAGCGGGAGAATATGTATGTCCAAAGTTTCACATGTGTCTACCAACCTGCGGTCGGTCGTGGTCGACCTCTTCTAGTCAACTCAACGCCAGCCAACACTCTAACTTTACTTTGCGCAAGATCGCTGAGTGTATCGTATCCTCCGTGAGGCTCATCGGTTATAATCAATGGATGGTAGAGGTTTGCGCTGTGCGGATTGTTTCCGCCGTGAACGCGAAAACTGTACGTTAAACCTCGGCGCAGATAAAGCTCTGGTATCAGCGCACCTTCGATGTACCACGCAAGACCCACCGACGGTTTCCCTGCGAATAAATTTCATGAGGCATGTCGTAAAAGGTAAATATGATTGCTATTTAAATTTTTTATACCTGTGATTCCTTGATATCCTCTTTTTCCACCGGAAGGTCCGATAGTTGCTTTGAAAGTTCTCACGCTTTTGTCGAAGATTTCGGTTTTCTGCCAAGGTTCCCTGAAAAAAAGAGCAAGATTATTAGTTGCATGAAACAAAATTAAGATGACTCTTAACTTTGTTAAATTGTTTCATCTTACCTTTCTGCGAATTTATCGTTACTCTCTGTGAAGTCGATGCAAGTATTCTCCGGTTCTTTGCGATTCAACTCGAGCGCCACATCGCTCCTCTGATACAAATCGTGAAAGCTTGGTTCGTTATTAATTTTATCGAGTCTGCCTAGAGCCCAAACCACGTACACAGGTCTGTCCGTAAGAAATTCCTTGTCTCCGGGATCGGCTGAATAAAAATGAAAATGTACAATGAGCGTTTGTATAGAATGGCTAGATTTATGCACGCAGTCACATGACTCACACGAAATAAGTGTACGTCTGTATGTGATGATGTTGATGCCATTTTCTCTCACTGCAGTATAGAGTTGATTGCTATCCAAACCGCCGAGGAGCTCGTCTCTGCAAACGCCTTTGTACTGACCGAGAACTTTCCCACACTGTTGCCGTTAATAATTAAAAGTCGTTAATATGTCTTTTTTTCTCTTCTCAGGGAATTAAGTTATTCAAGTAAAAATACACACTGGCGCCTTTGCTGTGATATTATAGTCCGTAGCATATCCACGGGTCTCGTCCATGTACGCGACGGCTACGTCCGCACCTTCCATTCGGCTGGAATCCTCCGAGCCAGACAAACCGAACGCCATGTATTCATCCTCAGCTGGAAACAGCCGGAAATTAGCCAAACTTCTTGATATTTCAACATATATTTCGTAAGAATAATCCGAATGGCTATACGTACCGACTTGACCTGCCAGTTGGATAGTAATTTGTGGGCCAAAGATTTCCCAGGCGACTTGAAATCTCTTGTGCAACTGGACGCAATTCGGAAGAGAGTCGCTTTGCTTGATAACTTTCATTAACGACGGTGGTACGTTGAGTCCGTCGGGTATAATGACAGAGCCGTAGTTCGATTTAGTTTTCACATCGTAAACACTCAACCAATCTATATTGAAGATAGTCATGTCACCCGGCAGCTCCAATATCACGTCTTCATTGTTATACGCTCTGAGAGAATTCAAGCTAAGAAGAAAACGCATATATATTTGAAAACGTAACTTTAAATAAATATATTAGCTAGGAATTGCGCGTGTTTTCCGTGCAATTATAATTTCTCGTTATTTCTCTTACTATCCGTATTCGTCAGGTACTTTCTGGCCTTTGCTAGATGGTTGTGGACCAAGACCGACCCAAAAATACGTGTCCGCGCCTTGCCCATCGTAGATGAATTGCGGTATGCTGATAGTTTTTGAGTCCAGAATCACTACAGGCTCTGACGAAATATTATGAGATCTTTTCGACAGCTGGGATATCTTCTGAGGCGCGGGTGGCTCAAATTCTTCCGGAATGTACACATCACCGAAGGTATTCTAAAATTGGAAAAGATTTTAACACGCGTTTAACAATGCATTGATAAAAAATATCAATAGAAATAATATATGATGTGACAGACATTAGATATAGAATAAATATTTAATGTTAATTATGATACCTGACTCGATAGGTCGTATATCGCGAACCACTTGATATCTGTAATTTTCTTGTTATCTGGCAGAGTCAATGTGAAATCCTTGTTGAAGTACCGGTCCAATATATTTGTCCTGAAAAAGGAGCAATGGTGTTAAAGCTCCGTAATTTATTTCTGAATTTAAGATTGAAAAAAAATATTAATAATTAATAAAATGAAATATAGCTTACTTGCCCCACTCATCAGGGACGATGAATCCTTGCGGACCTGGTCTGTTCGATGCACCTGCCCAGAAAAACGTATCAGCGCCATTGCCGTCATAATTAAAGGACGTCAGCAGCAAGGTATATTGATCAACTGCCCAAACATCGCCAGAGACTTGATGATGATACGGATTTAACTTCCCCAGATATTTTCCTTTGTATTCTCCATTATCTTCTTGCGCATAAACTGTTGCGATACGTAATTATTATTCCATAATATATAAATTATAATTGTAGTATATAATATATTCTCAATAAAGCATTGATATAGAATATATATTAATTGTAATTATCTATTCTAATCACTTTATTTATATTTATTTTGATCAAATATGCACTGCAGTATAATCTAGTTTATTTTAGAATACGATTGTCTGATAAACTCTTTCCGAATATTCAAATTTTAAGCTCTGGATTTCTGTTCGTTGTTCGCATGGAGTTGCGCATTCATTGAAGACTTTAATGCTGGGTAATGCAATGTCTTTGATATTCCAGCGATTAATTTCGAAGACTTCTCTGAGATTCTGTCTATTTTTTTTTCTTTGAATGAATTTTTGCATGATAAACACAGATATATCACTGAGAGAAATAATTACCGTAAGAAAAGAGCAAACATCCTAAAAACGTCACGAGAGCACTCGTTTCCTTCGTTCTCATGACATCTGCCATCGCTTCATCTTCCTTACGGGTGCTCGAAAACGTATCGCTAACGTTTATCTAAAGATCACAAAATCGCACACAGCAAGAAACTGACGGAACGAACAGATGATCGGTGAATTGTATAAAACTGTAGGAATCCACTGCTCATAATCAAGCAACTCGAACTAAATTCGTGAATGATGAATCGTACGCGATAGTATAACGACAGAAACGAATAACGGTGATTTGTATATAAATTCCGTATATTGCGATGAATTTCCACGCTCTTGTTGACGCACCGTTGCTTCTCGCGGTGGAAACGAACGGAAACGCGACTAGAAAGCTAAATCGGCCTTCGCGGGATGAGGTTTGCTCACACACCACTACATTCTCCGGAGAGAAAGTGCGCTCGCCTGTGCTGCGGGGAACCAATCGACGGAGATAAAACAAATCCGTGGACAGCGGTCACTGTCGCGCCGCTGGAATCCAGTTCGCCAGCAATGGCGAGGACGATGAGCCGGATGTCCTTCCGATGAAACATTGATTAGGTATTTCATACTTTTCGTTCCTTCCGGGAATGAAGAATTGAGGTTTCTAAGAATCGTTTTGGTTCTACACTTCAAAAATGTGAATAAAATAATATTAAAAAGTTACGGACTGTGTGAAAATGACGAAATAATAAAAGGAAAGAAATAAAGCACAAATTCTTAATTATATCCTCTTGGAGAGTACATATATTTTAAGAATTTATTAGCACATTTTATATTTCATATGTAATAAAAAACATTACGGTATACTATAAGATTTTCAGGTACTACGTAATAACTATGCTTCTTATTTACTTTTGATTGATGGTATGAATCGATATGTTTCCCTACGTGAAAATGATCTTATAAATGCATACCAAATAATGAATTATTATGCTCGAGTCCTACGTGTAAAATCGATATTTATAGCTTACAAAAGACAAAGAGTAAATCAGATCACGTCTAAAAGATATATTCCCGTATCTCTAATGTATAAAACATGTAAAAAGATTCTATACTTTTTTGTACTATTTAGTCATGTCGTTTGCATTCATAAAGACGAATTCGAGAAAATTCTTAATGAAGTGTGTCACTTCAACATATTAAGTATAAAATCAAATCTTTTTTTTTTTACTATCTGAGAAATATTCGATAATCATAAATAGATCGTATAAACTTGATTACTAATGTGCAATTTTACTGAAGAGTACACACAATATTATAATATAAATTTTAACACAACTATCTGAGGTAACAGAAGTAATATATAAAATACGTATCTCTATTCTTTAAGAAATGCAATGTTTCAGAAATGCAATCTTTCTCGCCGCCTACCTGAGGCATAAAATATATAGTAATACGCATAAAAATTAAAGTAAATATATATATAATATTAATTATCTCTTGGAATTTGTTAAAATATGCAATTTTTTTCAGTTTATATATCAAACGTCGCGATTTAACTCATTCTTAGAACATAATACTTTAAAAGAGCTCTATAGAAAATTTCATTAGAGACAATTTATGACAAGAAACAGAAAGCATTCGCAGTGTCGTAAAAATATGACACAGCTTACAAGTTAATTAAAATATCGTACAATCAAACATACGAGATATTTGTTTCAGAAATTATATACAGTAACAAAATCCATGAGATAATTTTTTTGTCATGTAGATATTTGCGAAAATAAAAAGGCACTCTACACAAGTAGGCTAATGATTCTACAAATTCGAGATAACGCTAATGCTCTGAGACAAATCTACTTGACCCCTCAGAACCTTCTGTTGCAATCTCTTGCAAAAAATTTTTGCCATAAGCTTATTTCGACGCGTCTCCTCTTGTCGTTCCTGTTGTCGTCGTTTGAATCGCACTTCGTTCAATCGGAGATAACGTTTACGTAATCGCTCCTTCATTTCCTCATCGCTAATTTTCCGTTGCACGACAACTATACATGTACACGGCAAAGTAAGTATATTAGTAAAAGATATAAATAACAATTGGCAAGCTAGTTTTGTAAATGTAACAAAATTTAGATTGTCTCACCTGTTGGCTTCCGTATTGGTGTAGATTTAATAATATTAGACGTGCTAGCCATTGCCAACAACTGTATCCGTTTTTCTTTCCTTAACTCCCGCAGTTGGCATATTTCCGATAAATACTGTCTCCGTGTTTCCGCATTGCCCACAAATTCGGGATTGTTTCTGGATAAATAATCCTGAAATCAATTTAATTATTCATTAATCTAAAAAAACTGCAGTATCATCTATTCTCTTCAGGATCAGATTTCTTTATTTAAAATGTGTTTAATATTAATTTATTATTAAGTACAATAAATATTCGTATTTAGTTGCAAACAAAAATTTCAAATCTCATTAAATTTTTACCTGCAATGTATTTATTTGATGAACAGCTTTACTGGAATTATTCTTTTTTATAATATCGCAAGGACAGGCATCGGATTTTGCTGCGTTGGAAGGTTGCTTGAAAACTTTTGGCGTACAATCCGGAGTTTTACTCTTCGAGGCGTTTTCTTTTGTAAACGATAATTCATACGCAACAGCTTTAGGATACGTCTGCGGGCATCCACAATTTCTACTATTTTGATACATGGCACCGCACCCGCGACAATGTTTGCAATTTCTCTCGGTCTTATTAACATTAGTGCACAGTTTTCCCTTGACGCTATCTTTCGCTTGATTACTAGTGCAGGAGCAAGCCTCATCACAATTGCATTTTAATGTATTTTGTACTTTACGTTGTTGAATCGTGTCACTATCTTGCGAACTATCGGAATACGTCTGTGTTTGTACTTGATGCTCCGCTATTTTGGAGCGACGTTCAAAATGGCATAATCCATTAGTGTCGATTTTGCCATTCGAACGACATTTACACGATGTTTCGGCCGTGGTTTCCGGATCTCGGCATGCGGCACAATCACTCGTGCAATCACAAATTTTCCCTGCATCATTTTGTTCATTATAGTTGAGTGCACGTTTGGTCCGATTTTCCGCACGATTTTGTCGCAGCTTGCCAACAACAGCTCTTCTGTTCGCATCGTTGACAACAATATTGTCACACTCACAAGCATACTCTTGACCGTCTTCGGAGAAATTTTCATGTGTGCAGGAGAGATTCTTTTGACACACATCACAACTACGAATGGCATTACTAACGTCTACAGCAGGCTTCTGCTTGGAACACAACTGGCATGTCGTAAATACTGGTCGCTTGTGACATTCGGTCCGCTTGGCTTCGGCGGCACTCGAGCCACACTTATCGTTAACGGATGGACAAACACCGCGAGTACAATTGCATTTTGATTTTGACGCGTTGATTTGATTTTTAGCCTCTTTTTTCTGCTGGCTGCTGTTACTTTGCGACGTGTGGTGGCAAATAGACTCCGTCGCGCTATTGTCGCTCGCGTAATTCGTTTGCGTCTGTTGCGAAGCAATCGGTGCCTCTCCCTGAAAGCTTCGCAATCTGATCGAAGCGTCGGACGAATTCTGATTGCATCGCGTGCACACGTGCTGCACGATTTGGCCGGTGTGCGTTTGGCACGACTGATCTCTGCATTTAGCGCTATTCTGATAATGCGCGAACGGCTTTTGAGAGTTGATGCCTTTCGCATCGTACGTATCCGACTCCGCCGTCAACGGCGTGGACGGTATCTCTCGACATAGCGTTTGCACGCCAACAGCGACATGCTTCGCTGCGGAGGTCCGCATTCTGGACGCAGATACAATCTCCCCTCCGGTTTTCGAATACGCACTAGCCGCACTGCTGGCCGTTTGTGTGCAGCTGTTACGTTTCATGATCCTCTGAATTATTGGTCGATCCGCAGTTTCGCACGTCGCCAAGTTGCAATGAGACGACCACGGTTCGTTAATAGAATCCTCTCGCAGATCGGATGTACTCCTGAAAGTACACGATTGAACGATGTGAAATTATGACATACAGATTATAAGAATTTTCTATCTTACTTGTTTACGCCGTCTGCGTGCTGTTCCCGTCTAAATACCGCCGCTTGCTTCGATTTCAGATTCGCTGGCTTAGTTTTTCTCGGCGACGATTTTGATCTTTCTAATCGTCTGGGCTGTTCTAGCAATCTAACAAATAAAATACAATCAAAATTAAAATATATGTGCGCTAATGAACATTATATTTTATGAGAAGCAAAACACTACGCTTCGACACGCGATAGTTGAGCTTTTTATAAAAATTTAAAATCAGTTAGATTAATTAGAAAATAATGCGAAACATACTTTTTCAAATTAGAAAGGTGGCTGATTTCATTTGTGATCCAGGTCAGCTGATTTCTCTTCTCCATTTCGGCATAATTGATGAGCTTCGAATCACCGGATTCGGACATGCTGCACTTCTTTAATTCAAATTGCCTCTCCGACGACGTGGTCGGCAGTCTCCAGTCGGTATTGTTATCCGTATTGTTATTGGACTCAACAGGCGTCCTTCTGTTGTTCACGACGGCGTCCAGTAAAATTCTATTATGATCCGGAAGTAAACTGTTCGTCGTGGTCGACTCCCTGTGCGGCAATTTGCAGTTCTCTTTGAAACAAAATATGTCGTTCACTTTAGCATTCTTATGAGTGCGTTGAGGCACAAAACACTCGGAGCTCTCGCTTTTGTCCGGATCCGTCGGAGTGTTGCTGCTCTGCTGACAGTCGTCCGTTCTCAATCCTAATCGTGCTTTTCTGCCATCCATCTCCGTTCTATCCGTATGTCGATCGAACTTGTCACTGTTACTGCTCTCCAGAGCGACTTCCTTTATAACGTCGCTGGTGGTTCCTACGGATTTCTGCATAGATATATCCTTCTTCCGCAGATTCCACTCGTCCGATGATTCGGTGGTGCTATGCTTGTTCGTTAGAGCCTGAAGCAACTCGGTTCTGTAAACTTTGTTCCTGGCGTCATCCGGATTCCAAGGCACGTTGTCTTCCAAGTTATGCTCGATTTTATCGTCCGTGTATTTCGCGGTTACAAGCCGTTTAATTACATGTTGTATCAGTCTCTTCTTGACTTGCTTGTCGCACTTATTAGCGTCGACAAGACTCTTCAGGATGTTCACACTTCTTTCCAAATCTCGCACCAAGCTGTCCGAGTCACCCCAGAGCTTCTCGTTTATGCTGGAACTGCTGTTCGGCAACGTCGAATTCGATCTACCGGTGTCCGAAGAAACGTGGCCATCCCTTTCGTTTGAAACGTTCGCGTAAGTGTGCCCTGGGAAGTATTCGAAACTGTTGGCTCTTCCGGACACGTTTTCCGTCTCATCGGGCTGCGGCGTTATCGAAGTCGATGCGTTTTGCGAAACGTCTGAGCTACTCCGGCGCCTTTGATCCTCCTTCGCGCTCGCACTGGCTTCGGCGTCGCCCGCAGGACACACAGAGTCGCATTTTCGTGGATTTTTAACTTTATATGTACCTTTGGACTTTTTTAAGATAGAATGTATCGTCGTTTGAACGTTAGGGTCTTTCTCCGTTAACGACGATTTGTTTTCCTCAAGATCGGAGACTTGAACGGCAACGGATTCCTGGGCGCATACTTCCAGACTCGTTTGAATTATTTTGTCGCAAGTGGCAGGCTTATTCACGACAGTGGCAATGGAAGATGAAGAATTGAAGATTAGGGGCGCTACAGCTTTCTTCTCCTTAGAGTATAAAATCAACTCGCTCTGACTTCTCTTCAAGGAGGATTTCGACGACGACGCAGGTAACGTATTCATCGAGATGCTTTTCTTCAATGGCGAGCTCGGTATGCGTACAATTTCTTTACGCTTATTCACACTCCTTTTTTCCAGCGTCGAATACTTCATCAGTGGCACTTTAAACGTGGTCGACGATGTCGGCGTATCAAAATTGTGCACTTCGTGCTTTGTAGGTTTTACTATAGCCTTCGGCTGTACGGCGTCGTTCGAAACGTATCTTTCCTGGGACTTTATGTCATCTCCCGTAATAATGCCTGGCAAATGGTTTTTGACGATAGGCGTTATCTCTATTTCGCTCTCTGATCCTGACGCATTTCCAATCAATGGTGTGGAATTTGCGTTAGGAGCTGCCGATGATTTTCCACCGCTCTGCGACACTGTATTTTTCCCAGACTGCATCCCGGATTCAGTGGTACCTTCTGGATCTAATCGCAAAGCGGCGGAGCATCCTCGTGCCAAAGCCATACGTTCTATAGTACTTAACTTTTTGTCGTTTTGCTTATTATGAGCGAGCGAATTGAAATAACCGACATCTGCGCCGCTGTCCCACTCCAGTGGCTTGTAAGATGCTACGCTGGAAGTTGGAGAGGATAATTTTCTGTCGTTTATTTCTGGAAACTTGTCCGGACTCTCATTCTTATCCTCGTGTATTGTTTCCGGCGTATGCTTGAGATCAGGTGATGATGTCTGGAGATCAGTCAATGGTTGAACGTACCTGGATGAAGCATCCGCATTAGATGATTGTCCGATTAATGGAGGTCTTACCCACCTGCGTCTTTCTCTTGGGACGTAAGACTTCAAATTATACTCTTCTCCTATACAATCTTGTCTATTCGATGAACCCACTTCAGCGCTTAATTCGTACACACTGTAATAGTACTTAACAGCTTCCTGTGGGGTACTCGACACGGGTAGCGAAAAATACTGATCCAGACTGGAGTCTCGAGAATACTTGTGATAATACTCCATTACCTGTGCTGAGAGACTCTTCTTGGCTAGATTCGCCGTGAATCTTGACGGCAGTTCTGCCGTAGTCGTCGGAGAGTGGCACGAAACGTGATTGTGTCGGTTGCATTTTTCGTGTATTTGCGTCAGACGCGCTGGCTCATCCAAGTTTTCAACATCTCTCAAACAACGGCCCTCGCAACTCGATTCCGAATCGTATTCCATACTAGCTGTTTACGAAGCATCCTCTTCGGTTACCAAGTTCCACACGCGCTTTGTAGTAGTTATGTAAAAATCCTATCTTTTCAATATATATAACGAACGACGATCGAAAGAATGCTAGACATATTTATTTCACTGTAATATTCACGATCGTTCAGGCGTTGCGTATTATTAATGACAACGACTTATAGGTTATGATATAAATGCGCGTCACTTGACGCTTGAAGCATTTACGTTAGCGTAGCAGTTCGAAGAGATTTATATCTCACTTTTTTCGTATGTTTCTATAATGAACGACGATAATATCTGTTTTTATCATGCGCTTCGTTTCACAATGACAATTACAACTGTTTACGTTACACAACGATTCAAATCAAATTTGTGTTTACATCTGCTACACCGACCAAGTGCTATTAAAGATTGACAGCCCTAGGTGAAATTTTGTGTACTATTAATGGGGGTCCGGGGGGTTTGAAGGTAATCGAAAAGCACTAACGTTATCAATTAATGATAACTATTTATTACCTACAGAAAGTATTTACTGTACCATTTAGCGGTAAAACGTTACTCCGTAAAACGTTCAAGTTTTAAGTTTACTGTCGCTAGATGACTAATATTTTTTTTATAACCTCAAAATTTGCTCTGATGGATTGTGTATGACATATTTTGAAAATACACAGATTCAAGAAATTAAAAATATTCGAATATGTACATAATTCTGAGGTTACCACTACGGAAATTGTCAGAAGCTTCATTCTTGGATACGTATTCTTATTTTAAAAGTTACATGTAAATTTATATCCTGATAAGCAAGCTATTCTGAAAAGTGAGAACTTTAAATAAATATAATTTAACATTATTCACTTGCATTGCGTTGTATCAGCAAATAAGATACTTCAGCGGAGATCAAAAATATTAATATAATGTTTTCCATTTGGCGAACGTTGCGTTTTGGTGCACGTTTGTCGTGTGCCCAATATTCTGCACACCGTTCGATTATGTGTAAATCGAATGGTGCCGGAGTATTCCATCATAATCGTTTCATTCACGAATGTAGTAATGAACGTAAGGAATTAGGTAAATTAGAAGGAAAAATGAAACTGATGTTTACATGTAAAAAATGCCAGACGAGGAACAGCAAGTTGATATCAAAGTTAGCGTATAATAAAGGAGTAATAATAGTAACATGCACCGGTTGTAAGAACAATCATCTCATCGCTGATAATTTAGGATGGTTTTCAGAAATAAATCAGAAAATAAATATTGAGAAACTTATGGCGTTGAAGGGAGAAACTGTACGAAAGATATTAAATGACAGAGAGGGCTATTTTGAAGCAGTGCTCAATGAAGAGTTCAAGTTACACCAAAAAAATGCTAGTGAGACAATAAACTCAAACAATATGGAGGAAGATTCTGATAAAATTAAACAAGTTGAGATGTTAAAAGAAAGTTGATATTTTACTTGAAAACTGAGCTATTCCTTGAACAAGAGTACAAGAATTATCATGTAGGCAAGTATAGTGTTTTTTAAATTTATTATATAATTTGTGCATGTCTGTAATATAAAATTGACAAATATATGGAAATTGCTTTAAAATATACAATGCATACAAATAATAAATCTGATGTATTTATATTTAGATAAAAGTATTGTTACAATGATTGAAATATATATAACAGGAAATATATTTTATGGTAAAACATGATAAGAAAATTTATATAAACATTAATGTCGACATTTTCAAAGAAGTACATAAAAAGATATACATGTAAACCATTGCACATAGCTTCTAAACTGTTTTTATGTACTTCTGATAATATATCGGATAAAAATACATACAGGTAGTTTTACAATATTGTTTCTAAAAAATAGTTTTACCATGCATCTGTTTTTAATATATTTCAGAATTCGTTAATTGACGCAGTTCTTTTCAATAATCATCTATATATTACTCGGATACTCAATAATATTCCTACCAATGGCAGACTACTTGTTTGGCACAAGGGACATATTATTACAAACGACTTTTTAACAAGTTCTTAAAATTGTTATGATACTTTATGTACAATTTTGGAAAAAGCTTTGTGCAAATAAAAAAATATATTATATATATAAAAGGTAATTATTTACTTCTATACACCACTATCATTATTGCATATGATTTGAATTCAGTAAATCATTAAAATCAAGTATTGCCTGTCTATAAATATGTACAATATTTTTTTTACATAAAGATATCAATAAGTATAAAAGATTTCAAGCAATAAAAAATGCACAATTTCTTGAATTTTAATATTTTGGATTATTCCAGTTTAAAAAATAATGTGATTTTCAGAAAATTAATATCTCCATAAAGGCAATAATTGATATGAAATACTAGTTTATCCAATAGTGATGATCGATTAATCATCTCTTTATAAAAGTATTTTGTATTTACATATTTATATCAAAGATTTTCACTATTTAAATAGACGAATTTGTATCGTGTTTGAATGTAGATTAAAAATGTTGCTTATTTTAAAAATACAAAAATTAACAAATACAATATCAATGAGTTATCCGTATTATAATAATAGTTGTAGTACAATAATAAAAAATTAATAGTAGTAAAATAAAATTGCAATCATATAATATGATCAAAATCATAAATTATAATCATATGTATGTATCATAATTTCTAAGTACACCAATACATATATCAGATATCAAAATAGAATCCAACGCACGTGTGTGCGCGCGTTTTAAATAATTTTGCATCAATTTAGCATTATTAAAATTAATTTCGTTTACTTAAGGCACTATACACATATTGTCGTAAATCAGTCAAATGTATTTTGATAAAAATTCATCACTTTGAGCTTTTCTACTCAATACTAATATAGAATAATTCAAGATATTCTCTCATAAAAAGGCACAAGTGCGTTTATGGAATTTTTTATGTTAAAACTTTCATATATCTACAATATATGTAACGATATTTATAATAAGACTAGTGTCTGTATAAATGATAGATATAGATAGAAAATAAAAATACACGAAAGAAATAATACAAAAAAGATGATATTGCATCACTTTTATCATTTTGCAATATGCTAAGATTTTTAGAATGCAAAGCAAGAAATGTTTTTATTCGCGGCACGCGGCACAGACTAGCATATAGTTCGTATCCTTATAATTAATTACAAAATTAAAATATTATAAAAGATAAGAATTTCTGAAATATAAATTTGAAAAATTACATGGTCATAATACTTGGAATCGATGGTTAAACGTTTGAGTGTTCTACACCCTTTTTGGTTTCGATACAATCGCATATTCGCTGTTGTTGAAAACTTTATGCTGCAGACTACCCGCGGCATTAACAGCGGAAGCTGTCTCGGAATGATCCTGTTTCTTCCGGATAATTCCGTAACCAAGATGACTGTCATCCGCTAATCTAACCGCGGACATGTCTTCAACGATATCGTAATTGGACCACGCCGGATTAACGAGATTAGAACTTTCTCCATGAGATATGTTGGAATGTATGCTTTGCGAAGAATTCGTATACTTATACGTAGATTTTTGACTAAGTTTCGCGGAGCCAAAGTGTTCTAATTTATCATAATCTGATTCATTGTCGATATTTTGTATTACCGACGAATTTTGGAATGGCGTATCGTGATTCCGCATTGGCATCATGATTTCATATTGCAAATCGTCGTTGTCGTCGTCTTCATCTCTTTCACTCGGTAAACTTGAATTTATCCTTTCGGTATGATGCACACTGTCGACGCCGTGAGTTTTCCAAGCGTCATTCCTAATTTCTACTATGTCGTACGGATGTTTTTCTTCGCTCTCGGACATGACACTTTCGACACTTTTGTGAGATAATTCCGGCGAATTAGCTTGACTCAAAGTTTTATATTCTCCGCACGTAGGCAAATCTAGGAATTCCGAGTCAGCATTTTTCTTTTCCAACAGATTAGCAAAGATGTACTTTCGCGGCGGTTTGGCAGGTTTGGACTTGTTTGTCGATCTACTCGAGTCCGTACTCGAGGACGAAGTTAATGGCTTCTGAGAATTCTGCGATGTGGAAAACTCAATGTCAATTAAGTTGCTAGAACTGTTTGGAGAGGGGGGTAAAGCCGCTCTGGAGCCAGCTTCCATCGACAGAGCTGCGTGGTATTGAGTGTCGTTGCACTCTATGCTTGGATTACTCTCTTCGTTCAATAACTTCTTCATCGATCTCATCTTAGCGTACATGCATCGAAAGATCTCTTGCTGGCTACTGTGTTCCAAGCGGAACGAACCTTCGCCAGATTCACATTTTCTTCCAGCCTCGAAGATGAACTTTCCATCCCTGTATCCGTATCTTCTGATGTACCTGTATGGCCATGTGAACAGAACAATGTCACCGTCCATTAATTTCATGTCCACGGCAGCAACTACCAATGTATAGTTTCTCGCTTCCAGTCCGCATCGTTTGGATGCATCAGTTTCCACAACTTTCACAGAGAATACACCTTCTCCACTCGTGCAATACAGATCGTTGTTTTCCTCTAGTTGATTTGACACATCCTTGAAGGCGACCAATTGAAATACTGAAATCCAGCGTGTCATATCCATTTCAGAATAACAGCCGAAATAGTGTATTCCTGATTTAGTTACCACCTGTGTGAAACAAATATAGGAATGTTAGTCTTTAGTCAAGAATATGTTAACAAGAGAAGTCTAATGCAGAAACAAAAGAAAGAATTAAACACTTACAGTAAAAACATGTGACTGATTGCTAGGTGCAATTTTTATACAGGCGTCTAGTGTGATGATGCGTGGAGAGTGGGACTGTAATATTGCTTCTTCTTGGTTGTCATAGATCTCAACGCGTTTGATCCCATAGTTGCTCGTTCTGAAAATCTGGCAGTATCGCTTATGCCATGTTTTCTGGAAATATAAATGAACAAAATGAAAAACTGTCCAACATTTGTACAGTTAATTAAAATCTATGTTCCTATTTCCACATGTGTCGGCTTGAAATTTTCTTGTCACAGGCAGATAATATACGAGAATATATTTGAACGCTTTATACATACAAAATATGAGTCACTTCTTAAAATATTTTTTAAATCACTATTTAAAAAATACGTGAGAAAAATCATAGACGCGTGCGCATGTGCTTGTATCATGCATACTTGCGATTGTATACACCTGTTGCAGATCGCACGAAATGCAACGAAGGAGTGTGAAAAAAAATGAGGGAAGGAGAGGACAAACAGCCGTTCGCCGATGATGTGTTCGCGATATCGCATATCAACGTGATGCGTTTCACGTTTATCATCGTGTGAAACCAACCTTGAGCTGGCCTAGCATTCCCTGCGGCGGTAACAGCAGTATTCCCTGCATCAAAGGCTCCTCGGGTTCCATTGCTGGCGCGATCGAACATCGGCTCGGGATCGTTTAGACGAGATATTCCTTTCGGCGAACTCTTTGTTTCCGCGGCGAGGAAAGCGAAAAATAACAAATAATTTTCACACGTTTACTGCGCGACTCTTTCGTCTCTCTTATCACTTCCTAGGCACCAGAGCTGAAAATATGGTCTTCTCTTTCTTTCTCACACCATACACTCTCTCTCTCTCTCTCTCTCTCTCTCCCTTTCTCTCTTTTTCTCTCTCGTGCGTGTTGCGAACTGACAGCTTACGGCACAGCGAGATTCAGCCCATGGTAACGTAAAACGCTTGACATTTCACGCGGACACATCCGTTAACGCGCACCATCGTTCGCCGTGAACACGAACGAGACCGTAGCGGCACTCCGTATGCTGATGTGCAATGCACGTATGCGTTTCATATGTACGACATTCGCGTTACACGCTGCGCGTAGCATAGCTCCCGACGCGCACCGACACGTTCGCAATCTACTGTCCCCGCGTTGTTCCGGATGCACGAGCGCGCGATAGGCGCCGCACGGACTGCACACGCACACGCACGATGTCGTTCGGATCGCCGGCGACGCGCGATAGCCCTGTGGGTTAACCAAATTCCGGATTAGAGAGAAGGAGAAACGATTCTTTCGCAAAAAAAAAATTAGGAGCAGGCGGTTTTTCAGGACATCATCATCTGATTCACAAACATTTGTAAATCATCTTAAAAAAAAAACTCCTCCATCGAATAATAATGAATACAAGATGTTTAAATGGTGAGTAATTAATTTTTAAATTCTTGCGAAAAGAGATTTTGAGAATACTCTGTTCCTGATTTAGTATTCCCAATGTATAAGTATTTACAGTAAAATACAAACAATGGGTAATGTTCTTATCACACGCTAACATCGGAGAGAAGTGGTAGACCGCAAAAACATTCATAACCTTTTCCGCCTCGCCTTTCGCCTTCCGCCGTGAGATATCGAACAATTACGCGCAATATAATAACACTAAATATTCAAAAATTTTTTTTAAGTATTTAGTTTTATTATATTATCTGCAAAGTTATTCGATATATACTCAAAAGTCCTGGTTTAACTAACTGTACTGTAGTAATACGATTTTTTAATATATTTACATAATTTATGTAATAACTATATAGAGTTACGTACATTAACATAAATAATTTCAGACGCGATGTAAATATTGCCTAACATTTCACAATGTTGCTTACATTTTAAAGAAATTCTGCTATAACACATGAGATTGATTTATGTGATATGGGTTATAAATTTAATTTGTTTAGTCTACTTTCTAGAATTTCTAGGATTTCTAGGATTTCTAGAATCACAAAAATCTCAGGAATTTTAGAATTTTAAAAACTAGATAATCAAATTCTTCAAAATTTACAATAATTATTTGAAATCTGCAATAATTATTATCAAATATTGGTAAACAAAAGTATTTACTAAGGAAAGAGAAATTTTTTATCCTTTCAATACGAAATAACGACTGAAAAATGATTTGAATTAACTAGTACTCGGCTAAAAAAGAACCAATCGACTGCAACAATTCTTGCAATGATTCCTCAACGTAATCTTATTTCGCTCATGTAAGCCAATGATATATTCTGTTCAAGTTCGCGATGAGATTCGATCGCTCCTCAATAAGTTATTAAAGAATTGACCTTTTTCCCTCAATACAAGTTACTTGCGAATCGGGGTACGCTCAGTTCACGATTGCGTTCTGATCGTGCTCGACCAAGCGGTTAATGCGGATAATAATGAATCGGCGAAAATAATGAACTTATATATCATTGAACGATGTCCTTCCTTATAAATCAACCGTCCGATGTGTCGAACATCAATACAATCTGTCGATGAACATGATTTCCTTCCTTCTTCTCGCGTGGATCCTAAATTCGGGTGACGCTTTTAATGACTTTCCATCGCTGATAACTGCCAATGCCTCGATGGGTACAAATAACTTTTTTGTGAGTATAATTTTCACATCGTAACATAACATAACAAGAAAATTATTTTTGGATCAGCGATCGTTATCGACAAAAGTTTCTTTGATAATAAAATTGAGTATCGCGATACCGTAAGAAACATTGTCGACTTCATCACGAATGTCACAAACGAAGAGGCGCATATGAGTGATATTAATATGCACATTTTTCGCGACACAAACGTAAATAATCTTCGAGGTAAGTTGCGCTAGATAGATCTCCAATATTCGAATATATTATATAATATTTTTTTTACGTACAAAGATTACACAGTGCTTTTATCGGTGGCAACGTGCTATCAAACGTGGAGTCTGCATGATGTAGCGCGTAAGGAAGAGCTCGTGCATTTAGCCATAACAAGTATGTGATTCAATAAAAGATTCGCGGCAGAATATACATTCGAATAGCGAATCGTTTAATTATAGTTCGTGACTAAGATGTTGCCTGCAAATATCGCGTTATCTGTACATTCGAATTTTGTTATCTCTCTACTGTCGTACGCATTAGAACGCATGATATCACATGACACGTTTTATTTGATTTGAATCAGACTCATCTGTATAATTTTATAAAAGTTTTAGTATTATACTTAATTACATAATACAATAAATTATATGAAATATTATTTTATATCGTTTATTTGAAGATCAAGATTGTCCACGGTTTTCGGACTCCGAAGGCGTGATCATTCCTTTGATACCAATGGGTGACGAATTATCTCAGATTTTTTTCGATATAAGAACAGCGGACGCGTTGTTCTGGAACAGTGTCAACATATTACACGATGACACATTCGGTGACACAATTTATAAGCATTAATCATTTTTCTCTTTGCGTTTTCCGTTCAATCATTTTCTCAACATTCTCGCTAAAACTTTTAAAATAACGAATTGCAGATAAAAACACAATCAGCAGAGTCACAAAAGCTATATCGACAGCATTACCGAACAAGAAATTTAACTTGGTCTCCCGGTCGTTGTTCGTTTTTAAGCATGCTAATTCCGATCGCAGCAGAAGATACTATATAAAAGACATGCTTGAGACTTTTCATGTGGAACAATTGGGAAAATGTTTTCTCATAATCGTCACGATAGACGCAGCGGCTGATGTTATGGAAGTTGTAAGATATGTATTTTGATAAAGCTTCTTTGCCATTATTTATTCGCGCTTATTTGAAGAACTCAAAGCGGGAGTTGATTCATTTTTTAGCATAGAGTTATTTCTAATACAGATTATGAATTTACTTGAAATGCAATTTATTTTTTAAAGTAAATCTTATAAATTTCATCTACTTTTGCTCTAAAAGTTCTAAGTTTGGTTTCATATTATTTGATATCACATCCATATCCGAAGGCAAAGACATTGGATATGGTTCAGCCTGACAGCCAGTGGTTGTACATCATCACTGACAGCGTAATACGAAATTCTACGAATATCACCACTTTCATCGACTTATTGACGGAAGGCAGTAATGTGGCTTTCATTTATAACGCAACGGACAGCGACGCATATTGCAATGTAATTTATTTAATCGTTCTGTCTCATTGTGCAAATTTTAACCGCTAGAATGATAAACACATAATTTAGATCTCATGCAATATCATTAAAGTGTATTTTTTTGAACAGTCTCTTTGCAAGAAAGATTCCGTAACATTTTTACATGACTTTTTCTTTTGCTACGTATTTTTTGAAAAGAAACCAAATTATCTTTCAGGTCACTTTAATGTGTCATGTCCAGGAATTAATTGCGGCTTTGTCAAATGCTTTGAAATTATCATTGATGACCGAAATGGAGTTGTATAATCGCATGAGCGAGGAGGAGTTCGAACTTATTCGCTTAAACAAGAACGAACGACGTCAAGAAATTTTGAAAAATATCAAAGTTTGTATCATCGTGTATTTTGTATTGTTTAAAAATTGATAGTGTACGAGTGATTATTTACAAATGTGGTTCTTTCCTCAGTAATTTAGGTACAGGTGGATTTATTTATAAAAATCAGGCACAAATTTTTATATTTTTCAATATTATTGCATCTTTTTAAAGAGATTCTTATTTTCTCTAAAAAGTTAGCTTGTCGACATTTGCGAGAAATCGCATCTATATTGAGATTCATTCTTCTTGACGGAAATTTTATACGTGCTCAACTATTTCCTGCAGATAAAACTTGTCGAGGACACTTTTGCAACTGGCGGCACTTGCGGTAAATGCTTATTTTGGCGATTTGCCTCGGCCATAACATGGGGCAATTTTTTCATTCATGGAAAAACTAGCGCGCATCTGATAAATTCGGGAACGTGGATTCCCACTCTCGGTGTGAATTTGACGGATGCCATTTTTCCGCACATTGTGCACGGATTTCGAGGGATTAACTTGCCGATTGCTACGTATCACGTAAGTAAATTTTTCTTTGTGCAATTGCAAACGAAATAATCGCATTCTTTCAGAATCCACCGTGGCAAACCATCTCGTTGACCAATACCGGTGAGAAAGAATACGGCGGATTGGTTTTCGACGTTATAAGATATTTGGGAAAGAAATTGAACTTTACGTACACGGTGCACAGCCCGCGGAGCAATCGGACTGTTAAGTTTATTCGCAATGAAAGTGATATCGAAGTGGTAAGGCTAGATATAACAGTGTTTATGTGTTTGATTAAGAAATATGAAAAGATTAACATATATAAATCATCAGTATGCTTGATGTATAATTTAAAAATTGTCTTACAATAATTAACGTACAATAAGATTAAATTATCAAAAGAGACAAATTTGTTTCTTGGGAAATGTTTTAGTGTTAAAGCTTGATTGTAATGTGGGGATGAGGCCCTTCTTCTTTCTCCCAGACAAATCTAAAATATCGAAATAGAAACTAAGCTACATATAAATTTATTTTACGACAGTACAAGGACTCTTACGATATGAAACTTGAAATTTGCCTAACGAATATGTAGAAATCCGGTTCTTTGCAGTGTCTGATAAGTGCGTTTTAAATGTTACAAAGGTGTTAACATCAACAACGAGAAAAATACCACCAGAAATAGTAGATATGGTTGCTGAGAAGAAGGTTCTTCTTGCAGCCTGCGCGTACACCGTGAACGATCGCGGAAGAGGAAAGATCAATTTCACTCTACCAATCTTCATGCAGACATATAGTTTCTTGACCGCGAAGCCGGGTCAACTTTCCAGAGCGTTGCTGTTCACCGCGCCCTTCACTAAAGAGGTGACTTGTACAATTCCGCGCACTTTTATATTTATGATCGATAACGGTCGCTAGAACAATAATATTATTTCGTGTGAAATGGAAACTCTAAAAAATTTTATTATCAACACAAACCGAATGGAAATTACAATCAAATCTGTGAAACGGCATATTAACAGCTTCTCGCAATGATGAACTCGATCTATTTCACGCGCTTGTGCACATGCACGTCTTCAAGCGGGCTAGTTTTGCTTCCAGACGTGGGCCTGCTTGGCAGCATCAATTATTATAATGGGCCCGATCTTGTACCTGATTCACAAGTACAGTCCAAGCAGTACGAGAACATCGGGACTTAACTCCCCCTGGCAATGCATATGGTACGTCTACGGGGCTCTTCTTCAACAAGGTAGCGTCACTCACTTTTGAAAGCGCTATTTTTATTTCGTCACACAAAGTGTTCGAGTTCTATCAAACCACTTTTTATCCATAATTTTATTATGAACTTTTTAATTCTCGAACTATTGATCCTTCGATAATGTCGCCGGACAAAATCGTTCGTATTGTATTTAGAAGAGAAAAGAAATTTTTAGAAAAATGCGACGAAAAGATGTTTTTAGGTGGAATGTACTTACCCCATTCCGATAGCGCCCGCTTGCTCGTCGGCGTTTGGTGGTTGGTCGTGATGGTTTTGGTAGCAACCTATTCCGGAAGTTTGGTCGCGTTTCTGACATTCCCGAATATGGACACTGCCATCTTGACTGTGGACGATCTTATCGCTCACAAAAGCCAATTAACTTGGGGCTTCCCTAACGGCAGTTTTCTCGAGGAGTATCTGAAAAATGCCGAAGAGGAGAAATACCATATTTTGCTGGAGCGATCTATAATTCATAACACGACGCAAGAGGCGGAAGTGATCAAGAAAGTAAAGGCGGGGAAACACGTGCTAATCGATTGGCGAAGCACATTAATGTAATTTTATATAATATAAGATATACATTTAAATGAGAAACACCTATCTCCTTCGTTACTTTAAATTTTGCAAAAAAGTTTCCCAAGAAAACGCAATTTTATTTGAATTAAATTGTCGTCTGTCACGAATACTGCAATTATCTTTTTATGAAGAATTTTATAATGCATTTGCAAAAAATGAAGACAGTTAGGTGCTCTTATTTAAACACTTTATTTTTTATATACATATATCATTGTAGAAGACTTATTAGCACATCCGATAAGAATGACGATAATGATATATTGCTCGAGCAGGTTTGCGATGAGAAGCGATCTGTTATTAACTGATGGGTGCTCCTTTTCTTTAAGCACGGATGAATTTATGGACGAGCCCATAGCGATGATTATAGCGCAGGATAGCCCTTATGTAAAGATTATCAACACAGAGTAAGCTAATTAATTAATTTTATTATCAAATTTTTATTTTTTTGGTTTGTTTTGTTTTAGCCATTTGATTATCAAGTTTTATGTCGAACTTATATTTAATAATAATTTCATTTTTTTAAACATTTGTCGTTTTCATCCATTTTTCTCTAATAACACGTAAATTGTATTGAAACTTTTTAATTCTCTTGAATTTTTTTGCGAGTTGTTATACACATACAAATTATTATTTACATATGAATCATTATTTATGCACATTTATGTCAAAAACAGAATCACATCTTAACTTGGGAGCCGTTATTGTGTCACAATTCGGAAATAATATCCTTACGAATCTACCATTTAGCAAGAATCAACCTTGTCATTTAGGTTGCATCGCATGCACGAGTCTGGATTAATGAACAAGTGGATAGGAGAGCAAATACCGATGAAAGACAAATGCTCGGATAGTTCCACCAATCAAGGCGTAGAGGAACGCAAAGTAAACGTAACGGATATGCAAGGCATATTCTTTGTGCTTTTCATGGGTAACGTGTTTTTGCGAGCACACAGAAGAGTATAATAACACCTTGTGAATAAGCGATTTCTTGTTTTGTTTCTTTCAGGCGTGGCTGGATCAATATTACTTTTGTGCTGCGAGTTTTACTGTCACTGGCGCAAAGTATCGAAGCGACGCAGGTTACAGCCTTTTCTTTCTTGAGATTCATCGTGAAGATGGATTTGAACGCTTTTACTTCCCGTGAAATAGCTTCGACGCTGTAGAATTTCTGCATGCTATCAGATTTTATTACCGTTTATCGTCCAGAGTTAATTACAGAGATTATTCTGCCGAGAATGTAGCGATTTTTTCAGCAGAATGTAACAGTCATTTAATTATAAAATGTACCAATGCAATATAGTTTTTCTTTGGCACAAATTCTTTTGTAATGATAATAATTTATTGATTTTAAAAACTTTTAGAACTTTAGAAGGTTTGCAAATGGATATTTGTACAAAGTATACATTTTTATCTCCTTGATAAAATCATACATGCTTGATCTCTGAAGCAGAATCAACTAAGTCGTAATTATACGGCATAGAATTATGAAAACAATATTAATTATAAGATATTTTTAAATACACTATATATGTTCTCTGTAGTGAACATTTTTCAGACGCACAAAGTTGAGTAATTTTCAAACCGCTGAAGCTCGGCGAAAAATCATCGCGAATATCAATCAACAGCGATTTGAAAATTGGTCAATTTTAAGCGTCTGAACATCTCGACGCGGCAGAGCAGTGCGGCCGATTACCTAAGTGCGCGCCATTAATACGCACGATGCTGTATTATTGCTCGCGAACGGATGCTGATCACTCAAAGTTGATTGAAACTGGATTCAATCGAATATCAGTCATCGTCAACTTGTCAATTTTGAAATGAGTAGTTCCGGTCTGATGCGCGCGTTTAAAACATTCCGTGAACGACATGGTAAATATCGCGGAGAGATAGAAGAAAATTAGCCGCTTCGATCGGCCGGCAGGCTCCGCTCGGTATAAGTAATAATCGGTTTCGAGATGCAACGTGATGGAATGGAACGAGATGAGAAGAAGCCGATTACTCTCGGCGTTCGCGCGCGGCTTATTATTTGTGCGACGGATTCTGGATTTCACACATTTAGCAATTATTCGCATGAATCACGGTGTGCGTATATACGTGCGATAAAAGTCACGGAGAGATATTACATAACGCTTTATTCGCGGCGATCCTCCCACTTGGATCAGTCGAGAGTAGATCTTCACTTCGCCTTCACTACGCGTGCCGCCGGCCGCTACTACCGTTATCGGGCGCGATATCCGCATATTTTCGAAGATTTGTCGGCGAGAGAGGATAGATGCACGATCGCTGATTGCCGATCGGCAGAGGAGAGAGGAATTTTCATCTCGCTCGATTATCGTATCGTGAATGGAGTCGGTGTACCAGTGAATGGCATATAAAGCGATATAAATATAAAAATATCTTGTCGAAACCGATAGCACTATAGTGTTAATTTTTAATTATTATTAATTCAAGTAAATTTTTATCAGAGTCTATAATTTTTTTCGTATAATATTGCTCTTTTTTGATATAAAAATAATTTTAAATATTTAAAGCTTTTTTAACGTTCAAAAGGATAAAGAAAACTGTCTGTAATATGAAAAGAAGTAAAGTTCTATTTCATTATTATATCAAAAATAATCAAAAGTTCTAATAGATGGGTATAAGACTGGTTTTAATTTTATATGCAAACTATAAAATACACAATTTTTTGCACAAAGCTAACAACTTCAAAAATGACATTTGTTTGGAAGGAATAGTTATACGAGAAAATAATATTTTCGTTTAATGAAGAGATTAAATTATTCAATATTGTACGTATCGTATGCATACATATTTCCACATTCTACAGCAATATTTGAAATAAATCAACGTAAATACTATTAAACATACATGCATCGTATTTGAGAAACTTTATGTCGAAAGCGGAGGATATTAGCTTTTTAAAAGATGCAGAAGAACAGCAAGAAAAGAGGAATTGACCGGCGGCAAAGGCGGGAAGCTATGTGCGCAATTTAACGGGGATTACGACCTTAACCACTTAAGAAGTCGCGGCGGTAATCGACGGGCCCCAAGCGCGCGAGCCCGGAGCGGACCTCGCGAGCGGGCCTTGAGTGCGGGTCTTAATCGGACCTCGGGGCCCGACGAGCTAGTGGCTTAGCCTAGCGTGTTCCGACGTGAGCCAGTTCCGACGTAGAGCGCGAGCGACCAAGGCTTAATCCTAATAGAACCGGCTGGGATCGCATCGCGGACTCCAGCTCGGCGCAACGATCGAAGTATCGGAGAAGGAAATCAGCAACCGGAAACGATGGGCCGACCATTGCACTGGATCATAATATTGCAGTGTATGTAAGGTCGTTTTGATTATTTTGCTATTTTGCACGAGGTGCTCCGATCAAGTGAACGCACAAGCCCAATGAATTTGAAAATCAAAGCTTTCTATCGGGAATAGAAAAAGATTGCAGAAGAGTTGCGGAATTAATTCTTCTTACTGATCTATTTAATTCGCGCAATGTACTTTTACTATGAATTGCAGAAAATAAAAGCAGAATTATTTTACTTTATTATTCGGACGAAAGTATTAATTATCAAAATGACAAGAAACGATTAAATTGAATAAGAAAATTGTCCAAGTTGCGATTGTGAGACAAATGCCATGCAATGTTGTTCGAAAAGATCTTTTAATTTAACTGGTTGCAAAAATAATTGGAAATTGAGAAATATTTAATTTTGTTGCAGCAGTATCGTCCGTCTTGGCTTACAGGTACGATTGGTATCGCGCAAATACGCAGCGTCCAGTCGATGTAGTCACTGATGTTGTCAACGATCTTGGAGTGAAGATTCTTCAGCAATATTCAGCACATGGAAACGTGGCGTTCTCGCCCACGGGGATTGCTTTCGTACTGGCAGCGTTGTACGAGGGATCCGCCGGTCGTGGAAGACAACAAATTGTCGAAATCATGGGACTACCTAATCGGGACGTTACCAGAATCGGTTTCAGGGATATTCATCGGCGATTGAGAGTAAGACGCAAATAGACCTTAACAGTGTCTTAACGATATTTGAGCAATGCTCCAATTTTGTAGACGTTTATATGTCTTTTAAACATCTTTCAAACGCCGTTTGTCATTTTTTATTATATCTCAAAGCTCAATCGATTTAATGTCGCGTAAACAAGTTGCGTAATTTGATTTTTTTTACTGATTTAATTTCTTGAGTATGATTGCTATAAACTTTGATTCAATTTAGAACTGATTAGTCATGAAATTACATTGATGTTGATTTGAAGAGTTACCTTAACGCTGATGGCTTCCTGGGCGGTCTGACGCTAAGCAAAGAGAACACCAGACTTCGTCCGGAATATGAAGATATTCTGAGATTTTACGGCTTCGATCTGTCGAGTATCGAGCAAGAAGCGAACGTCACCGTCAGCATGAGCGACTCATCAACCAAACTTCCAATGCCGCTCCCGGTTGCGCCGGACACGACGACGATATTGACGGATACCGCCACGACGCTTTTTTCGGCTGGTGCGGAAACAACAGTCGCTTCATCGACCGTCACGATACCGGCGAATGTCGACCTGCAAACGACATCAATTACAAGTTCTAGAATAGATGCCCAAAATATACTGCCGACGCAGTCGACAAATTTCCTACCTGCGGTCACTTCCGGCGAAAGTGCTCAACCACCGTCTTCAACTGTTGATCCGAAAAGTGTCGTGGATTCACCGAATACCGTTACGCCAGCGATAAACACCGAATCACCACCAACAACAGCCGTGAACAGTCCAACGAACGCGGTAACTATGATCGATGTTGTGGACAATCAGAATCCACAGACTCCTCCAACAGTCGGTGTTAGTGAAGCTGGAACAAATGAAACTGTAGCCAATATCATTTCTAATACAAACGCCATGGGAAATCTAGAAAATACACTTTCAAACGCATTGGCAACTTCAAACGCGAGTATTCAAGAATCGATGGATTCAGGAGTGACGATGGCAGTTGTAACTGATGCTAGTGAGACAATATCGATGGCTACCGAGGTACCATCAACTCTCGTTTCAAACACCGAGCTATCGATGACGACAAATACACCAAATTTATCGACTACGGCTACCGCAAGCGTGAGTACCGAAGTATCGATGACTACGAGTACAATTATTTCCAACATGATACTCGCTAATGCGTCCACCACCACGAATTTGCCAATTTCTGTGACGCCGATGATTTTAAATAATGGGAACGCAATTAATTCGATTAACGGAACAATGATCGATAACAGTATTATTTCGCAACCAAATACGGAGATATCTATGTCGACGGATACACCGACGGGAAATATTCCAGGAATGACTGCTATGAATGATCTTACGACAACACCAGTGATTAATGTTGATGGCAATGCCATGTTAGTCAGTTCTGCAGTAGGAAACGAAGATAACTCCGCGATTGCAAATTCCACGATGAATAATCGGACAGTTGTAAATTCTACGATAAATTCTATGACAAATAATGAAACCGTCGTCGCATCTCCGATAGATGAAAATATTGTTTCGATGAACCGGAAGAAGAAAGTGGCTGAGAGTGAAGCCATTAAATCGGAATCAAATCTGAAAAATATAATGAACGATAATAATGAGTCAACAGATGGATTACCGAGTCTTCGTAAACGCAGAAGTCCACGTGGATATTTTTCTAGTTATCCAGGTACGATCAATTATCGAACTTTCTCTGTGTATAAATTTAACATTTGTTACAAATTAAATTATAATATGTACAGAGATTTGTATTCTTTTCTTACTTGGTCTGAAAAAAAAATTCTAATAGAAATTATCGTTTGTATATTTGGGAAAAAATTTTCCTTTGAATAATAATGGGATTTGGATTATTATTTTTTTAGACGAAGGCATCTGGATGCAGGATTTAGAGATTTGGAAATCCTATAATACACTGAATCCAGGTGAATCCTCCGATGAAGATTCCGCAACAGAAATATCGTTTTTGGTGAACGGTTGCGATATTTCTTCGGTTTCGGCTTCGAGTTATATCGCTGTGCTGCCTTTCGCGTACCTTCCATCGTTGCACGCTGTAGCACTCGAGTTTCCTTTGGACGTAAGTCTAAACAAAGAATAAAACTCTGTTATAGTATTTTCAGAACTTGAGAAAATTAATTCAAACTTAATTTTTCAATTTTTACTTTTTTTAAGTCCTTAGAAAAATTGAAAAATGAATTAATTGCGTAGTTTTAGCCATAATTTGAAATTTAGATTGAAGCTTAGTTTAATAGAAGTACAATTGTGTGAATGTATAATGAATGTATAATGAACGTTTCCTTCTCAAAATATTCAAGGATCCCCGGTATAACATCATACTTCTTATGCCGACGGATAAAACGGACACGCATCGACTGGCGAGAGATCTCAGCGGGAAACCATTGAGATCGTTGAGGAAGCGATTACAACCTACTTGGGTCAGGGCCACTATACCTTCCTTCATGCTGCGTGGTTTCGTCACATTGACGTCATTTTTGCAAAGGGTAAGTGGATAATACGTCATCTTCTTCGATATCAACGCCCCTATCAATGCCAAACGCTGGGCAAGCAACTAACCGCTAACCCACATTTACTTCAAGGTTTCAAAAATAATTAGTAAACAGTTTCCCCAAAAAATCTGAAAAATTTTTATAAATGTAAGTCGAACATAGTCATAAACTATTATTTTGTTTGCTCGTTTATATGTTTTTTAATATTCTTTCTTATAGTATCTGTACAAAGGAGTATTTCCTAATAGTATTTCATTTCACGAGTTGAGAAAGATTGATATTAAGAGAAAAAAATAAGATCATTGCGTGACACATGCGTGACTCGTGCATATCTGCGCGAATATTTGCGTCGAGATTAGCGTTACGGATGATGATTTTCCTTTCGTCGCTTCGTTTCTTCCACAGTTGGGAATCTTGGATGTGTTTGAGCCGAGAGCGGCCGATTTATCACCTATGACATCCGATCTCGGCGTGTACGCCCGAGATGTGCAGCAGAGTATAGGGGTCAATATAAGGAATTATATGAAACCCGACCGGACCCATTCTCGTGAGTCGTCTAATATCGTTCCACCTCGAAGGGACTATTATCGATACCTACCTCCAGGTTCTTTTACTCTCTTACGCTTTTCATGCACTATCGCACTCTCCTTTCAATTATCCTGGTAACGGTAACCATTTTCCACACATGTAATTGCATCCTTCGTTCCTTAATGCGGACGTCCTGAATTTAAGAGCCCAATTTATATAATTTCGCACGTTACGTGTATAATTTTTAGCGTTTATAGTATTCCGTCATTCTTTAATTATATATTTTACTTTGTTCGTTTCGCGCAGCTTGTAAATTGCTTCCCTTGCTTATAAATATATTATAAGTACAGTAAGTACAGTACTATCAAGATGAACTGAGCATTCAGATATCCGTTCATAAACCAAGCTCACGCGAACTCGATTTATTTATAAATAATATCGACAAAATTTATTCATTAACATTTTTTTACTTAATCTGATTATATTGTTACTTGTTATTTTATTACATCCTGTAGCTTTTGATACTATCACTCGTTCGTACATCATTGTCATACAACTTTATATAAATAATCAAAAGAGTTAATTTATTTTAATTAACGCTCAAAATTATCTAGTATTCTGCTACGTTTCGAGTAATACATTAATTATTTAAATACATACGAGTGATTTCATTTGTTGGCGGAGGAACGAATAGCGACGCCTCGGTTCTCAAGCCGCATCGGAGATAATGTTTCGAAGAAATAATTACGCTGACGCAATGTCCGGTATTAACGAGTGAAATTGCAAAGACCCGGGTATGTATAGCTCGAGTGCTCTCCAGAAATGTACACATAATTTGTAAACAACGGTGACAACAATATACTCCTCTACGCGTCATGAACATGCGTCTGACGATGACTGCCCATTACTACTGGCGCGTACTTGGTTCGTTTCTTTTCTTTTTTTTTCTGTCCTTTTCACTTCCGCGCTTAATCCATTGTCGCTCCTTTTCTCACGTTCCGCTAAATTTTTATTACTTAACGTTGTCATCGTTAACGACAAGTGTGCAAGCGGTCGTTTCCTTGCTTTCAAGCAATGTCCCGAAGCTGCCATGCGTTTCGGAAATTACAGAATGAAGAAATAATTAAAAACAGGTGTTGAATCATTAATTAAGCCGTTCGACCCTCGTGATAATTATGTTTAGCATTAATGAAATATTTCTTCGGAACATTATACAATTACAAATAATTGCAATTTTTTAATTTCCGTTTTAAAAAAAAATCGATAGTTTAACTAGATTAGACATTTTTCTAAGAATGTATATATTTTTGGAAATTTTATTTAATTTGTAGAGTAAATTGTCAGAAACTGTTTGTAGCATCGTGAGACGCATTGTACAACATGTCCTTTACGCGAGATTGTAACGCAACAAATCTATTTATTTTCCATTTTCTCATCACTGAGCAGGACGATTGATTACTGTTGGAAATGTTCTCAGTATTGTTGCTCAGTTCATTGAATTTAATTGCTGATATCCTGCTTGAGAAAGTCCGCAAAGGAAGTTAATAAAAAGACCTTGTACCATCTCTTTTTACATTCACCAAGGATTTCTGAATCGCTGTGGCGTTGCGAATGTTTCTGAGGATTGTTTTTTTTTGGCTACTATTCTTTCTTCAAAAAATAATGATTGAGGTGTTTGAACTCCGCAATTTGACCCTCTCACAATTCGCCTATAATTTTATAAGTTTACAAGATTGATAAATTTTGATTGATAAATTTTTTTAGGTAACGGTCTGTTCGAGAGAGCCGGGCCCGTGCCTTTTACAGCTTTGCATCCTTTTCTTTATTTCATCGTCGATACGGAGACTTCGGTGAGTCTGATTGCAGGTCGAGTGAATGACCCGCTGAACTCGAGAATTCTGTAGGGATGTAGTGATGTAGTGATGCTGAAGGTTTAAATAAACACTCGTTTATTTGGCGATACTTATAAATAGTTTTATACTTTATAATCTAGACTTCTCCTCCTAGCTTGCACACAACTTAATACACGCAATTAACATTGTGCTCTGTACAAACTCCTATTTGTAAATAAAGAAGTATAAAGATAAGAGGCAGTGTAGTTTGAAATGTGCAAGATTGAGCATTAGGAAGAATATTCCGAGTTATCTCGCGTTGCAGAGTAAAGGGCAAACATTTGTATAATATATCTCACTAATTGACAACAGCAGATACTTATCGTGCATTTGCTGCGAAAATTACGAAGGTAAACATTCTTATAGATATTAAATTTCGCATTTACACTGATTTTTCACTGGCATAACTTCTCATCAGTTTTAGATAAATTCGTTTAATTTACAGTGAAGTTGCTTGACATTAAAAATAATTGTTTTTGTAACAAACTTGTGAATGTGTAATATGTTTGAATTGTAATTTCTTCGCAGTGCGCATCATATTATTCGTATATTCGAAGCACAAAAAAATGTTAAGAATAACAATATAGCCCCTTTAATCTGTCGGACTATTCTTTCGATCTCTTTATTACAATTCAGACTTTCCTCGGTTGCTTAACTACAACCTTAGCAAATATATATTATTTCCTTACTTAGACTTTTATATAAATACAGAGTTGAGTGCGTGCTGCTACAATGCACGGGATTTCGCATACGTCGCTAGTATATGTATTCGATGATTCGATGATGCTCTGATTCCAACTCTTATAGTGTGGAGTACCTCTTTATTATATAACAATCACGATGCTATTTCGTGAGTGGCAGTGTAAATGCAAATAAATAGATGCAAATGATACAGAAAACACATTCTCATCGGTGAGAAAACGATCTAGGCTGAATCACGTGTTATATTTCGATATCGCGCGACACGATATCACGAATCATTTATCCGCGTATGGATCTTGCTAGATTTTGAGTATTTCTTCGTTCTTGCGTTATCGCGACTTTCGTACGGCGGATCAGGTGACGTTCTTCAAAATCCACGGCACGAACTTGGAGATTCGCGTGCAGACGCCTGGTAAATTGGCCTCCGCGCATCCGATACCCCAGGATATGATACCAGCCAGGAAGTACCTGCCGTCCTTCCCTCGCACCTGAAGAGGACCTCCGGAGTCGCCCTGCGTAACGTGGAAATATAAAGATATTGCAAAACAAGTATTGTAATTTGTCAGTCGCACGCTATACCTGACACGAATCTTGCCCACCGGTCTCGTAACCGGCGCAGAGGAAAATATCTGGTATGAACTCGTGTCGGCCGGCTCTTAAGAACATCGACTTGCACCTATCGTTGCTCACTATCGGCACAGAGACCTTGAAGGGAGACAACAGTATATAACATGCAATAATATAGGGCTTTGGAATGCGCATGATCTATTATTCAGCTCTATCATATAATTTATAAATATTTTACAAGATGAAACACACATGTAATTTGACATAAATTATGTTGTAGAAAATACTTTTGATAAATGAGGGAGAAAAAGAGAGTGAATTTGTGCGTGTGAGAAGGAAAAAATTACTTAAACAGATAAACGAAAAAAGTGCGCGCATAGTTATCGTTAATAATTAACGTTTCGAAGTAAGTCAGAGTCACAAATTTATGAAATTGATATAAGTAAATATAAGAAAAAAATTGTGCAACGTCAAGCGACAGGATTACCTCCTGCAGCACGGTGGGTAGTGTTCCGCCCTCGCTCAGCCTTCCCCAGCCCGTGACCGTCGCGTTCTCGCCGATCAGAAGATCGTCCGTGGCCGGCAGGCAGATAGGCGAGATGTGCGCGGCGAAGGTCAGCGCGCTCTCGAGTCGCACCAACGCCAGGTCGTACTCGTACGTGAAGAAATTGTACTTGGGATGCACGACCTTCTTGGCGACGCCGCGTTCCACATACGGCAGCCGTTCCTGGATCGACGAGAAGTCGTACTCGCCGACTCGTATCCGGATTTGCGATGTCAATAAACTGGAACAAACGGCGTTTAATGACGCCTGAAAGGGACGAATATCTCGAGAGGACAAAAGAATGACAACTCACTCATCGACGCAGTGGCCCGCTGTGGCGATCCAGTTCTCGTTGAGTACCGCTCCGCCGCACCGATGAGTACTCGAGAAGCCGAAGAAGGAGGTGCGACGCACGGACACCTGCCAAGGCCAGCGGCCGAACGGCGCATCCTTGCCGCCGACAATTCTCGTTTCCGGCCGCGGAAACAGCGGCGGCACGCCGCATTGCATATTCTTGCTTTCGTCGGCCGCTGCTACCGTCATCACCGAACCTGTCGCTTTCTCGCTCACCGTTTCGGTACTCGACGCTTCTGATTTAGTGGTCACGCTCGTGGTACTACTCGCGATACTCGCGCTGGTCGCCGTCGTGCTGCCCGTAGTCGTTGTCATCGTCGCCATCGCGGTCGTCGGGCTGGTTGTAACGCTGGTGAAAGAGGACGTCAATGCGGACGACGTCGTGCTTAACGTTGTGGTTTTCTTCGTCGGTCGCGGCCTAGTTGACGTCTCCAAGTGGGACGTTGTTATGTAATGCGCCGAACCCAGCGGCTTCTGGTACTCGGTGCTCTACAAAATATTCAATTGTGATATCAAAAATGAAAAATTGTATAAGTATATTTAATAAATACGGATATATTTAATTAAATACGAGAGAGATTGTTAATCGTGAAAACTTACTTGCGGCTCGGTCGGCTTGAAGTTCGGTCGCGGTGGAAAGTTTTCCGGACCGTTCTGAAGAAGACTAGGACTATCCGTCCAATGCGGTTTCATGGACGGTCTAGGCGGCGTCCAGTTGTTGGACCAGAAATGAGAATTTGTGCTTGAAGACGGTATTCTCACGGTCTCCGATACAGTAATCGCAGTTGTCGGTTTGGACGACGACGAGGACGAAGATGACGAGGGCGAAGAGAATGATGTTGACACTAAGGATAACGACGACGGTTTCTGTTTAGTGACGAACGCCGGTTCTGTAGTTACTTGCCAATGAGAGGTTTGTGGTACGGATCCGGCTGCGCTAGAATAAAAGACAAACTTTAAGTTAGGTCCGATACGTAACAATCGTATTTAACGGCTAATTATGGTAATATTATTAATATTTTCGTGATAATTGTAAACAAAAATTTATAAAATTTGTTTCACAGCAGAATTTGTAGAGAAAAATTTATGCCCAGTATTTCTCTATGCAGTCTACTGACTGCAACGATTAGTATAGATTTTAAAGACAAGTTGCATACCTGGTGGAAGGCTGTTTGACGTACATCGGTCTGACGGTCGTCGTCGTTGTCATTGACGATGACGTTTTCGTGGCCCAAGTGCTCGGTTTCGAGATAAAATTCGGTCTATGATCTGCCTGATTGCTTATCGAAACTGGTCGATAAGTGGTCGTCTTGATAGAGAAGAACGGCTTAGAGAAATCCGTTGACGACGGTTTCGATTGCGGCTTGGTAGCCCAATGCGGCCGTTCGGTGTGTATAAAATTCAGACTTGGATGCGACTCTTTCGCCGTTTCCTAGCGGAAAATCGATATTTCATTAAATTTGATGCCTATATCGCGTGGAAAACAGCGGCTATTGTCAACCACAATATTTCGCCGTAACATAAAACAGTTAAAGGAATATTTTTAAAAAATTTTATTTATTATTGTATTCTCAGTTGATTTCCAAAAATCGAAGAAAGAAATGCTTATCAATGTAAGACAATGATAATATATTTGTAACTTACGTTTTACTTTTATGTAAAGTACGTTCTTCTATTGCAGTTGTTTTCATTTTTAGAATAAATAAAACAAAATCTAGATGTGATATAAAAATTTAATACACTCTAGACGTAGTAATCATTGTAATCTCGATTGAGTTAGAAATGAAAAATTAATATTCTTCCTTACATTCTCAATGACGGAATTGACGTTCGGTCGATTGATCGTTTCTTGCACATTGAGATCTGTATCCTCGGTTTTGCTGTCATCGGGCCTCGACTCGGATGGCCTTTGACTGTTCGGTTTTCCTGGTTTGCTCAGCTTGTTCGGTTTGTTCGACTCTGCGATTTCATCATCGGCATGTTCCTTTCCTGGCAATCGCACGATTAACGTGTTATGAGTCTCTTTATCCTTGAAGCCCGGTTGGCTTTGCACGGATGACGGTCTCTCTGTGTTCGCTGGTCTGGTCTTCTGATGACCTTCGTGATGATTCCCGGGTCTCTTCGTTCCCTGCGGCCTACTTCCCGCCCACGTGCTCAACGACACGGAGGACACTGCCGGAGTTTGCTGCCTATTGACGTCATGCTCGGACGTTGGTTTGGCGTGCGGTCTTTTTTGCAAAGGTCTCGCCCCATGCGAGAACGGTTTCATTGGCCTGGTCGAGCTTCCGGTGGAACCGTGAGATTCTGAGAATTGATGAACACTTGGTTTCACGGTGCTCGGCGTTATCCAGGAGAAACTCGAGAGGGAGGTCGACGGCAGTCTGGTAGTCCCGTTCGCGGCTGACTCCGCCTGGGGTAATGTCGGTCTTAAGGCACCCGTTGGACTGTTGTGCTGCTGCTGATGATGATGAGACGCATTTATCGTGTTCACCGTCGTGTTGTGAACGCAGCAACTACCGAACATGAAGCTGTCCACGCACACGCCCACGTGCGTGCCTTCGGATTTGATGCACTCCCACACGAACATGCACGTGCCTTCCTTGCCCTCGGAACCGGGCACTCTGCAGGGCTTCGGACTGATTTTGTAACCTGTGCGCAAACGTGCCAAGATCGGCTATTCCAGAATTATATTTTTTAACGACAACAATAAACTTCAAGCTTTCCATCGATATTATTCAAAGACTAATATCTTTTATCTCGTTTGAATCGCTCAATGTTAAAAGGACATAATTATCAAAGCTATCTAATTAGCTAGTTGATAAAGGATTTTATATAAAATTTAACGCATTTTTATTTTCGATAGTTGCTTGTATTATTTTCTGAAAATTAGTCGGAGAAATTTCCTTTCGACATTTGCGATTTGTTTACTCTTCCCACGCGCATTCGCTGTTAAATATCGGGCTGTTCAATCTCGCATCTTTATTATGCACATTCCTCACGTCAGATCCGAAACAGCGCGCGTGCGACGTTAAATGCGTGATGAAAGTGCGCGAACGTTGTCATCATACTGTCGGCAAATCTAACGACTGGTAATTTTATGAAAATTCGTCTTTCTATGCGTGCCGTAGAAAGAAAGAAAAAACGTTCGAAGGAAACATGCTCTCGAAATTACACACATTAAATTTGACTGATGTACCGAAGTATGACGTCGCGTGACGTGTCCTGTCGCACGGATAGGTCATACCACCTGATCGACAATTAGACTGTCTTCCCGCGCGTTGCGCACGTTGACGTCTATCTCGCCGCCGTCAAGTTCGGTGAAAGTGTACCACTTGTCGAAGAACACGTGAGGTATCGTGTAAAAAAAATGAAACTTAATTACTGGAAGAGGAGTACGTAGACCCGGGGCCCCCGAGTCATTAACCGAGTCACGGTAAGACGTGAATTACGATCGCAGCGATGCGGTCTTCACGGCGAGTCGCTTTCTCCGTTAGAAACACGATCGTGTCAGCTTGCAGCGCGCGCTTGCATTACGTATATAAAGGGAAGCGGCTAGATTGAGGAAAAAAATTTCATCACCGAGCGCATCTGTATGTATGAAGTCTGATATCGAAAAATTGACATGTAATTGTTCCGCTCTTGATATCGGCCGGAGGTCTCGTTACGAAAATTATATATTGTGAAAGTTACGTTAATATTACGCTGCTATAGAGTGTCCCAAAATTCGCGGATATCATTTACTAATTTAGAGCTAATTTTTTTTTTAAATTTCGAGGCGTTGATAGTCCTTTTGGATGTTTTTTTAAAGTAATTTCGCGAATGTCCTTTTGAATGTCCAACTGATTCTTTGATTAATTTTTAATTTTTTAATTAGCCGAATTTTTATCGGCGAAAACTTTGAAATACCAATTGTTTATAAGCGATTGAGAAAAGAAAAGTTTTCGCTAATTATCGCAAATTTCCAGGAGGACAAATAAGTATCATGATTTAACGGGAATTCTGTCGTTAAAAGAATGCTTGCGAATTTTGGGAACACCCCGTATATATATTCCAATTTGTTGACCATTATCCTGATTGCGCACGGAGCGTGTATGACCCGATTTGCAATTCGCTCATATTTTCTTCTCCGCATCATCACGCCGGCAAGGATCACAGTCTGCCTGCGCGCATGCCAATTATCTGGGAGAGGTTAAAAAATGATAGATAAAGAAGCCTCTCCTTCGAAGAGGGTGAGAAGAAGGAGAGGAGATTCGTTCGAAAGAAAAAAGAAAGTAGCCGGCTTCTTTCGCTTTTCTTTTCTCACGCTCGAGCACGACCGACTGCACCTTGACCGAGTTCTCTTTCCAATTAAGCGTTATACATTTAAGAGGAACCTTTGGGTATGAGAGGGAGAAAGACACTACAAATATACCGAAGGGAGGACAGCAGTGAGAAGAAAACGGAGAAGATGAGACGAAGAAAAATGGCAGCTGCACGAAAGTACACACTGCGTCAATAATGCCTTAGCACATAAAATTGCACCAATTTCGGACAATTTCGAACTGCACGCATTACAAATAATGACTTTCCTGCGTATGATTATAAAAATTTTAAATTATATTTTTATCGATTGATCTTTTATTTTTTAGCGTATGACCTATTCTTTTTTTTTAATATTACGTTGCAAACACACAGTTCTGAATTATGATATATTTGAACACGAGCGTTTAAAGTGTGTTATCTCGAGTCCCGAGGTACAACTTTTTTTTATGTTAAGGCATTTGTAACATTGTGCGAACATACGGAAGTAACGAAGGTGCGCGCGATGGCAAAGACAACGGTGCCGAAAGGCGTGCGGCGCGCGCGCTACAAAGCCGATGTACCGAACGGCGTGCGTTTAAATCACCAAAAAGGAATATTACTGACTGTGACCTCGATTCAGCGTGCTGAGAGACCTGGCGATGCCCGACCACCAGAGAATCGTGGCCACGTAACCGATCCACCGCATCCTGATCCCTGCAAAGAAGAACGTCGTGATTATTCTGTCTGACCAGTGCGGTCGGTGATTACTTATCCACGCGTCACGTGTCAATTTGGAGCAATATTCCCGAGAACGCGTAAATCTCGCAAAGTCACGCGAGTCGCGTGTAATACGGAGAGCGGCGGTTAGTTCGCTCCGCAGTTCTGCTACATTGCAAATTTTGTAATTCTATCCGAAGCTGTGTGCCGGAGGAGCACATGCGAGAGTTTACTTTTTCGTCTCATGCCTATTGTCTATTGTTCGCCTGCGTGCACTCTCTTTTCTAGTTCACTTTCCCGTTTGCCGACGCACGTTTCTCAAATTAACCCTTTCAGAAAGTGAGAAAGATGAACGAGACGTACTTCGTCCCACGCAGCGCGCTGTTTCTCTCATTTTCAGTGAAACTACGAACAAGTAAATCATAAGCGCGTTGCAGAGATCACGCAACTTAAGTATCATAATTCCTGTAAACGTATCTTCAAGCGACGGCGTTCAATTTACATAATATTATTACCTACATGGGGAAATCATGGAATACTAAATGCGTGTTCCATATTCTCACGGCGCGAATTTGCTTTCGGTGCCGCCGTTTTGAAAGAGCGATGAGATGCAAGAAGGCAAAAGTGACGGGATAAAATAGAACTTGCACATTTAATATTAACATTATCGCCATGTTTAATAAAAGAATTGTTTAAAGTTTGAAAGGAATTGACAAATTCCTGACAGATTTACCTGTGGTCAATTATATACCTATATATTATTGTTTTTTATTTTCATAAAGTTCTCTTACTTAGTTTATTTTAATTTTATTTAATTTTTAAATGTAAATAAATTTGATTTAATATACTTTTTAATTATAAAGTATGTGGATTCCATAAACATCGGGTTTTGCCCTCTATAAACCAGATATTTCAAGCATCGTGCAAAACATTCTTCATTTCTAGTCTATCGTTTTGTTGGCGACGATCCGACATCGACGCTGGCATCCCAATGCGACAGGTGTATCAAACGCGCGCTAAGATGTACCGCGCGAGGAACAAAAAAGCAACCCTGGACCGACTTGTCACCGAATTCTGGGTTCGCATTCCAGGTCATTGATGCAGCTCGCTTTCGAATGTTCGATCGGGGATACCATCATCTCGAGGTTGTCTCGTCTCTTTCAGCGAAATTATCTTTTCCGATGCTACATGTTCGGAATATTTTTTGTATTCTTATAAATTGTATACGATACATTGCACATCGAATTTTTTATTCAAATAAAAAAGGAGTTTAAAAATATGTAAAAATTGGGACGTTTATTATAAATTTTTTTGCAAAATTATTTAGATATTTTTACTTGTATATTTTTTCTTAATTTAAACAATTAGTTTATCTTGTATAAAATTCAATTTCTTATAATTTTCTTGGAGGCAACTGTTTGTTGAATGTGGAAATTTTAGGATGCAACTCTATCGAACTCACCCTGTCTTGCGTAACTTTTGCGGATATACTCGTAAAAATCTCATACAGATACACACACGTTTTGAATAACTTTCTAGAGAAAGAATATCTAGAGAAACTAGATGCGCGAGTCGGATTTGCTGGCAAATGACTATTTCTTTCCTGTCAGATATCCGTATATCCACGATACATATCATACATACGTAAGCACGCGATAAAAACTTATCAAGATTTTTCCTCATCAAAACAGGCTGCTCATGTGCAAACGTAAGAAATTTTTGTCTGTTGCAATATTTTAATAATATTATTTTAACGTCACATATCATCATACTTAATTAAATAAATTATGCATATATTTAGAGAAGAATAATGTAGATTTTGAACGCTGAATAATACATATGAATAAAAATTGAGCCTTTCGAAGCCGACAAATCGTAAAATCGGGTCTATGAAGTCTATTCTGCATGCCTGAGACGATGTCCGCATCGGAGGCCGCTCTGGGACAAGGTCAAGAAGCAGAATATAGAACTGTCGCTAGCTGGCTTCTCTTGCTGCACCGGTAGCTGCGGTCGCTGCCACTTGAGGCAGAACATGTACCAAGGACGAGCAAGAAGAAGTGCCGGATGACCTAGTGATCGCGGATTTCAAATAGCGTTTATCGATCTTCTTCAGGGCTGACACCGCTAGAGTCGTATAATGTATACAAAAAGTGTCATCGATAGCGGATCACCTATTAGCCGCAAGAAAAACGCCTTGATACATCCAAGATTTCACGTATAACGCAGAAGAAAGTATGTAATTTATGAATTAATATTTCCAGTAATTAAATTTCTAGCAAAAAATGTGTACAGCGAGTAAAATTTCTTTTAATTTCTAGGTGTATTTTTACGCGCATAACTTAGTAATAATAATTTTTTAGTTACTTAAGTTTTTTCATGTTAGATTTAAATTTATGCGCTACTCTCCACAAAAAATGAAAGATACTTTCTAGACCGCACAAACTTTGCTGATATTTTATGCAATATACTTTTCTTGATTGTGCCAAACAATTATTCCATCTTGTATAAAATAAAATTGTTTGTAATTTCCTTGAAAAAGACTGTCTTCGCTTTATATGTAGATTCAAGTCATAAAACTGTGCTGCTTGTCAAGCTTCGAGATGTTTTTACATCTATTTTCGTACTGCTATTAATGAAATGTACGAACGTTAATCGTCGCGTTTGATTTACAACCACGTTTGTCAAATTTGCATTTGTCTCGTTTATTTAAAATATAAGAAAAGTGAGATATGAGTTTTTTTATTTTTAATCACTCAATTTCTATATGATCTTAGTCATATATTTACTAACATCGAATTAAAAAGCGAATCGGCCAAGTGTTGGGTCCATTAGCATTCATGACCGTGACAAGATTTCGTAATGCCCACAGGATCTCTCGTCTGTTGACTTCCCAGTTTCCAGCCACGTGCCACAGAACGCGTGAGATGTGTACACGAGTATTTGAAAGAGACACTGTATATCCTATAAGTTAAGCGTGACTCTTTACGCTTTATGCTGGAGTACGCACTAACATTAATATACCGCAAAATGCAGACAATTTCTATAAAATTTTATAATGTTACATTTGCAAGTTTGCATCATAAATAATTATTGTACTTTTCGTTAATGTGAGATAAAAAATAATTAATTGAATAACGCGACAGATTAGCGTAATAGATGCAAAATAGTACACGGTAATAACTCGAGTACTTAATAATCAGCATGTGTGTGGGAGCAATTCAATAAACTGCAATGTACAAGATTATGCGACAAATGAGGTCGAATCCAGTAAAAACGACACGAGCCTCGTAAGAACCAGGTAAGAACACGTCTATTGTGTGTTTAAAGTTATTTCGCGTCTACGAGCTCGTCGAGAAAAACCATCTCCTATGCGATAATCGCGTTCCCAACGCACGTCACCTTCCAAAGAAATATTCCGTAACGACTAGCGGGTCATCATAGTTACTAGTCTTCTCTCATTTCTTCTTAATCGTTCTCATCCGACAGCAGATGGATCTCAAGATTCTCGTTCGTAACAAGTTCGTGCGAACTATTTGAGTTCCGTTCGGCCGTACGGCCGCATTATAAATAAATGCCAAAAAGAGTTTCATACCGCATCTCTCGAGAAAGACGTAAAAAGAAAAAAAAAGCACTAATATTCTTTATACTTCGCGGTATCTGCAGTAATTTGAAGCTTTTCTCTTTTGCATAAACTAAACTTCACATAATTGAGATAATTCAATAGGAAACATTGTTACATTAATTTTATATCGATGCCACAATTTTTAGATCGTATTTACTATTTTTCCAATATTTTTCTTATTGCTTGAAATTGGTGTGAAACCGCTGAAAATATTCTCTAGAAATAATTTGCTCGTGGCAAAGGATCTAAGGAGCGCGTTATCGCGGTGATTTTATTTCGATTGTTACGGGTGAACGGTCATCAACGCGACGAAATAAAATCGCAACAGCGAGTAGTGAACGCGGATTCAGGAAAATTTCTCACCGACCTTTCTGCTTTATGCATACGTTTTACCACGTGAATTGGGTTTTGCACGCGGCGCTTTAATCTTCGAGTAATTTAATTTATGTCTTTCCTGGTACACGTTTGAGCGGCGATAGCGGGTTTAATGAGTGGGCGTAACAGTTCTCGCAGGAAATGGACGATGATTAGGGGGAGTAACAGAATACGAGAGTACGCTTCATGACTGCGATATTTGGTTCTTGTTCCGGTGCATTGCCACCGGAAAGGTTTCGCGAGACAGCCGACTTTTCGGTGGAAACGCGATCACGATCATTGAGATTATGCCTCCATGCCGGCACAACAGCAATACTTTCCGCATACGTTCCTGCAGACAATCGCAGCGTAACGCTAGCGATCAATGCATCGATGGTAGCAGTGATGGTGCGCGAATTGGAGCAAATCGGAACGACGGGAAACGTTCGTTGGGACGAGTCTCTTTTACTTGGCGCAAAGAGTAAAAGAGTTGAGCATACGATAAACCGATTACCGATGTTTACCCAACACACGGCGAATTACGACGAGGAATAAATACAGCATTGCGGTACGTATTAACACGCACGTAGCGGTGTTACATTTTACGGAGCAGTAAAAAGCGTCCTCATTGTCGGCGCGACGATATACACGCGACATGTCGTGACGTGGGTGGATGCGCTCGTTTATCCGTCCGATACCAGGATGCGCTTCCATAATCCAAGGTCTAAGCATCCCGTTGCACGGAGGAAGCCGACCGAGGAGCCGAGCGCTACCAGTCTGATAAAAGCACACGAGGAGGAGACGAACGGTCGCGCCACGCCACTCCGCACCGCGCCGCGCCGTGCTACTGCCAGGTGTACCGGTCCAAGTCCTGACGATGCCGGTCGGATTCGATCAGACTGCGATCCGACTCTGCTGCGCGAAAAAAAAACGAAATTTCGCAAGTTATCGATGTTGATTCTTCCGGAAAGCTCGATCGTGTCAACGACGAAATTGAATTTTGCGTACGCTCAAATTTTGAGGCACTTAAAGTTAAAATAGATAAAATTTGAATAATAAATATGGAAAAAATTAATAATTTGTAAAGTCGATTTTAAAGATCCAGTTAAATAAATAAAGAATTACCGAGTCTTCAGAGAAAAATTGAAATCTAAATAAAAATAAACTAATTAAAAAGAAAGTTATCGCGATACGATTGTATGATGAAATATAGTTACAACGATAATATGTAATAAGGAATGCTCGTTAAAACCTTTGGCATGAAAAGAAAAAAGATATCTACAGTAAGTAGTGTGGAAAGGATCTGTAAACAAGTCGTTTGTGCTAAAGAGAAACCTGTTGTCGTTGCGACGCCCGTAAATTGGGCGATGAATGACGGACGGACGTGGTGATGGACGTCGAGCGAGTATTCCGGAAGTATGACAACGGTAATGGATAACTGGAAATCGCCACCTCGCCATCGACACCACGGAACATACACAGTCTTATACGCGCGCGCGCGCGCGCGCGTGCAGTCTCGGAGATAGTCGAGAATATCGCGGTTCCCGACCAAAGTCACGTTCGGCATCGTGACGGTATTTGAACCGAGATCATAGCAGCTGCACATAGAGATCACAGCAGCCGTAACGCTTTAGCGCCTTCCGATCATATTATGGTCGGCCGTAATACGACTTTTTGCTGCGAACTTGATATGGACAAGTCGAATATATCGCCGCAAGTTTTCATCAGCTTTGCAGAAACTTGATTGCGGATTGTACATCTAATATTACGATAATAAACACCGTGTTTGGCGATCATACCGGTTGCCTCATTTAATCTGATCTTGATGAAACGTGTAATTTTCTCAATAATTGCTTGCATGTTAATGAGTTACGCGGTCAATATCATGTAGTAATAATTGATTAGCTATCAAAGTCTATAACTCTATTAACTCTTTAAGTAGTTTGTTTAAATAGCGCTGTGTCAAAAAGTAATCTTTATAACATATTTATTATGCTCTTTTGATAAAACACTAATAACTTAAATTCCACAAAAATTAAATAATCACAAGATAGAATCTTGCTTAAAATCGTTGTATAATGCATCAAGAGAAATCTCAAAGAATTAATTAATAGTCTCCGCAATTTTTCAATGTAGCAACGTAAGGTAGTAATAAAATTTCTCTATAATATATTAATATTACAGGGTAATAGTATTACGGTTCGCAGAAAATGAGGCGAGCGCGCAACTGTTTTAATTAAGTTAATTATATTCTAATAAGAAATGCTTATTGTGTTAATTATAATTCACGTTAAACTAATTAATATTTATGAGGCGGAAGCGGTACCTGGATCGCTCTCGGACCAGGCTGGTCCGCGATTCGAAAATCCACGGAGTCCTCGTAATCACTTCATCCGCGCTCACTTCGAATCAACGAGGTATCCTCGTGACTCATCTCGTACCCCGGTACACAACGATAGCCGCATGGGTTTCCGACGGTCACGGCATGGTCGCACGATGGGGAAACCACCATCGTGATTCACCGTGATTCACGATGTGGATCAACGAAATTCTACGGCGCCGCTCTTCGGGACCGATTCGCCCGAAAGTCAGTTCTCCATCTTGATGGAACCAACCGTGCGCGCGACTTGGGGATTCGATATAAACTCGTTAATAAAGTTACGCAAATTTGCGCGGATTCGAGGCTGAATTACGATGATCGTCCGTCAAATAATAAGTTCCCGAGATGAGTGACTCGCGCTCGTCGCATCGAAACGTCATCGATTCGCTTGACCGCCGTTGCACTGTGTTAAATTAGAAACGCACGATTCAGTCATCGGAAAAAAAAGATTCAACGGTGAGACTGAATTTTTCTACAACATTTCGATTTATAAATAGCCGTCGTAAACCTCAGGAAACTACCGTTTTTTTTTCGAATTAATTCGTTAATATCACAGCTGACGGTCCTCCGAATTATTCGGCGCACTCGTTCGACTAGCAAGCAGTTTCGATTCATCGGTCCGATCGCGATCGCGATTCAACAGCGTCGATTTGGATGACCATTTCGAGTTCGGCTGGGAGAAGTGAAACGCGCGTGCAATGGCAAATTGACGAATACGAGCGAATAACAGGGACAGGAAATTCGATCGCCGCGCGATGCTTCTTGCGAGCGGAATAGCGGATAGATCGGAACCGAACGGTTGAGGTTTACCCGTGACGGACGCCGGGCTGGTACTGAACGGCTTAACCGGTATATACAACCACTGACCGTCATCATCGCAGCCATCACCGGTCTCTCCCTCTCGTTCTTTCTCTCTACTCCTGTTTTCTCTCCCTCCTTTCTCTCTCTTTCACGTTCTTTCTCTTTTCCTCCCCCCTTCCCCTTTCTCTCTCCTCTCTCTCTCTCTCTCTCTCTCTCTCTCTCTCTCTCTCTCTCTCTCGTTCGCCGTCTTCTTTGCGCCGAGCTATCCTCCACGTCCTCGTCCACCGCTAACTATTATCGCCACCGTCACTCGACCTTCTTCCAACGTATATCTGCTATGTAGCAGCATCGCCTTCGGGATATTATTCAAGGTTACCGGTGAAAATCTGTCAAAATCGGGCGCGCGCGCTCATCGCGCTCGCGAGTTCATGAGGATACGGGAATCGAGTAACGTTTTTGATCGATTACGGATAAAGGCTAACGGAGGAACAGATAGCGGAACGCCTGATATCGCGCGATATCGGTCGGCGCGCGTACCGGGAAGAAGGAAGGGTGGTTCAAAAAGTTCTTACATTACTTTCAGCTTCCGCTCCGCTACCGTTATGCCACCGCTGAAGGGAAAGGAATTGTTTTCGCTATTATGATAGTTATAGTCCGATACCATACACGACAGTCGTGGCAGAACGGCATGTCGCGTGACTTGTGTGAGTTTTCACGTGATTATTTCCTTCACGAATGTTATGATGCATCGCTGTGCACTATTTTCATATTTTTCCAACATTTCTTAATAATATTAAGAAAAAAAAATTAAAAGATACTGTAATGATGTAAATTTCTTATCCTGCCTCTCGTGCATTTATTACGAGATTTGTATGTTTGTAAACTAAAGCGCATAATTCAAAACAATCATGGTAAAAAAAAAAAATAATCTAAAAGAGCGACGGATTGCAATATAGGAAATATTGATCGTGAGACCGATTTCGGAAACGCGGACGTGCGCGAGGCACCGTTTTCCTCATTCCGTCCGAAGACTGTAGAAATCTCAGCTGTGCGGCGTGGCAAGAAACGAGAATGCGGCGCGAGTCGATGGGGCGAACGGGCGCAGAAAATACGGTTTCGAAGGAGATGGGAAGCGGGATGATGAAGAGGAAATTGAGAAACTAAGTAAGTGCGATTGCACACAAGGAATCGTGCATGAAGATTCTATAATTCGTCGTTAATTTGTCGCTTCGGATAGAGCGCACCGCGGTCACGTACGCCGGTAGCGTTATCCGTGCCGAGAGCAATGAGATTCTTGCAGAATAGGATTCGAAAATTGCGGAGCAATTTTATTAATCGTTACATTGCACTTATGTGCTTGAGGTATTATTTCAATGAGCGGCTCATTATTAGCGCTGCACGATTTCTATTTAAGAATAGACAATCGTTAAAACTATGATGCCGTGAAAACAAGAATTGTTACATTTATTGAGAGATATAAATTGTTATATAATACGAAATAAAAATATAAATTTTATAAAAAGTAAAATTATATTATAGACAAATAAGAACCAAGCACAATTGATGATGTGAAATTAATTAGTTTAGTAGCAAAAATATTTGCCTGAAAAATGAAAGATTCGGATTAATTTCCTGACATAGTTACTTGCATCCCAATATTGTTCTCTTTCTTCCTCTGTTTTTCTTTCCAGTAATTTGTGGATAATAAGATATCTGAAACTAGGGATCGACAATCTCGCTGCTTCTTAATATGGATCGAGAAAGAAGAACCAAACCACGTCTATTAAAGTGAAATTCAGGTAGAGCTCTATACATTTTTTATTTACTGCTATCATAACTACTGCTTATTAAATCTATAAAATCTTAAAGCAATCTTTAATTTGTTCAAAGTATTATTTAAATATATCACAGATTTACAAAAGCAAGTTGTAGAGACTGCGCAAGATTAATTTTGCGCACTTAGAACTCTACTCGAATTTCACGTTAATAAATCATTTTTCAGTTCAGATTTTCATATTAAAAATGCGAAAAGAAAAATTGTTAATTACGATCGATGAGGCGTTAACGATTGACGTATACGTTACACTGAAAATATATGTTGGAAATTGATAATATCTCGGGATAATGAAATCTGTTGATCATATAATGCGATACCGGTAACATTACCGAAAACAGAGAACCAGAAGATATCGGAGTTGAACTTCCATCAAAAGAGAGAATTGTGAAAATTTTCAGTAGCTGTTAATCCTCGGGCAACGTTCAGTATCCTCGATTACCGCGTCGATTACCGCGTCGTGGTGTAGATAGCATACCAACGGAAATTCCTTTAACTAGTGCGAGATACGAGCTGTCATCTTATTGGAACAATATCGCAGGATCATATCGGAGGATCGGCATTATCAGCGCTTTGATTTGTCTCTGTTCTAAGTACAATATAATCCGTAATTAATATTCTTTTTGTCTAAACGTTATTTGTATGAATCTAACATCAATTTTGGATCAAAGAATTGTTCATTTAAATATTATTTTGAATGGTAAAATTTGATGTCCCGTCTCTCTCTTGCACAACTAATCATAGTTATAATACTAGAATCGAGTTTTGTAAATATAAGTAGTCACGAGTTGCATTTTAGTTAGGTCCTGGTTGGCGGTCACCAACGGTGTCTGACACGGCACGGAAAGTTCAGGTCACCGATGCCCGCTGTGGCACGTGTGAACGTGTTAAACAAGTTTAACTCCCTTGTGCTCCTTCTTTTTACAACACATTTCATAACGCGCTCTTGCATTGCGTAGAAATACGATGCAAGAACTTTGCATTCCATGCCGTACTTCTAGATGTAATGTATGCCAGCGTGATCTTACGCGTTTCCTCATCGTTAACGAATAACGCGAGCATTGGCATGAAATATACAAAGCGGCGGCTGGTGTTGTTGAGGAATGTCGTCTATTAACTAATGAACCAGTTGTAATTGTTTGAATTTTCGATCAGTCGATACCCGTTTGTAGGCTGATCCGCTCGTGTAAGCACAGAGGCAACACCAGTCGAGCGTAAGTACAGATTAGCGGTAACTCTCTCGGACGCACGGCGCGCCGCGGAGCAATAGCCGTGTCCCATTCAAGTAAAGGCCAGTTTACACGCGGTTTCCTCACCGTCGTATCCCTACCTGCATTAAGCATAGACGCGAGCCTGAATAAGAAGGAAGAGGAATGGAACAAGTGGCCGATACTCGCGTTTTCTTTGACGGATAGCAAGAAACATTATATTCGCGCGCCAAATCATAGGATATATTATGTTAAATTACTGACAGGTAAAGTAACATATGATGGGTGCCGATGTGTCATTATGTGTACATTAGGAATGTTGATTTCACATGCGCGATTAGGCAAAGTCGACTATGCAATATGAAACTTTTGCCATTTTTAAAAAATTTATAATTTTGTTGCGCAAAATTTGTACTCTAGTTTGATTAAGATGGATTTGCAATTATTACACTGTTAAGATAAGACTTTGTATATTTTTTTATGTAACATATGCAACACGCATAGAGTTCAATTTTATTTATCAAAAAAATCTGATTTAATGACGCGTACAGTATCATTTTTATCTTCATCGTTTGAAGAATATCGTATTACTAAAAGCATCTCTCAGAAATTTTCAAGGTTTAAAATAATAATGATTTATGCAGATCATTAAAGAATTATTTGAAGACGTAATTACGTCGTGACGTGAGAAAAACACAAGTGATCGGTCAATGATGGGACTATTAACTGAGAAGTGATTTCCACAGTGAATCAATTGCAGACCAACGGGCTTAAATAAGGATAGCGGATTGCCGCTATACCCTAGGGAAACGTTTTAGTCTGTATTTGATGGCAGTCATCAATGTGCTAAAGTATCGCGCATCGCGATAGAGAAACTCGGCGAAAGATCCGGGGAAGGATATGCTTACGCAGGATGAAATGATAGGATGATTAACCCCTCTTCTATCGGCTGACACGCACCCAACACTCTCTAATGACACACGACCAATGTACTCTTAGTTTGTCTTCCATATTCTCCAGCTTCTGGATAAAATACCGTACAGCCCGTAATTAGCATTTGCGACCGATCCCTTTTAAATGGATTCAATCACACATATTATGTGTAACTACAGTAATTGTGCAAGGATAACTGCAGACGGAAACAGCATATTCTCTTTGCAGCCAAGGGAACATTCTAATTTTATGATATTAATACTTTTATCTGTAATTTTTTAAAATAAATGCTAGAAAGATCAACAATCACTCGCAATTGCAACGTTATGCTAAACACACGCAGCAAGCTTCTGATCTCGTGTGAATTTTAATAATAATTTTCTTGCAATAATTATCGGTGAATTATTTAACTATCAAATAAAGCAATTGCGATGTATGCAAGTATCTGATAGATCGTAACCTTTCTTGACACGCGCAGCAGCATGTTTTTATGGTAGCGATCAATCGGTGGACCAACTACGAGGATAATCGATCGAAATTTCAATGAGCGGGTAAAGGCGGCCTCGTCAACGTAAACCTGTCATTAATGCGGAATATGGCGAGGAGGGACCGGTCCATGCATCAATATGTCCGAGTGTGATTACGGTCCCCAGGTAGCGAAAGCTGTAGGCGCTATCATGAATGGAATCTTATTCTTATTATCATGTGGGCAGGGGCCGCACGGAGCAATCCCAGCGCATTTGATAGGCTCGTTGCCCCCGATGCCGTTGATGCGGTACGAATTTTTAAAGGCGTGCCGTCTAATCGATTCAAAGTTGATATACATATCATGAGAATCGATCGAAATCGTTCTTCAATCTTCCTCCAGTATCCCACGGGTCGTCCCACGAACACGGACATCTGCGTCGTGTAGCGAAATCTTTGCTATTGCTTCTCTCAAATATGTATGCTTTGTGTGCATTATAATATTGAAATATATTGAAAAGTATATTAAAAAAGAGCAGGGGAAGAGAGAAGGCAAGAAAGATCGAATAAATATAACATGTGTTTTAATTTAATTATGCGTGATGTTGTACTTAATATTCATTTAGTCAATTCATATTTTCTGCTATAAAATTGATAGGATAGGTTGTGCATGTAACAATTTACATTGTATGAGTATTTATGCCGCCCGCGGGAATAGGCGAGGATCGATATTAGAATGACAATGCTAATATAATAAAAAATTTAAATTTTTTACACTGGATCCATATTCAGACAGCATTTATATTCAACTTATTGTTAGAGTACAATGAAAAATTGTACAGAGTAATTATTCCTATTAAATTCAATAAATATTGGAAAAAAATGTAAAAACACTTTAATTACACTTAAGCTCTTAGTTTAGTATGCAAATGACTTAAATATTATTAAAAATATATTAATAAATTTGTATTAATAATTTTATTTATTAATAATTTTGTTTAAATAATTGTGTATTTCATAGGACATTTTAGTATAAGAATTCTAATGCATCAATATACATATCATGTAAATTTTTATTTCTGCTTATTTATTTTCTAAATTCTTTGTTGCGTGTGAAGAGAGAAACTTGGTAGATTTACAAAAATCTTAAAAGCATCGTTCAAACAGTGCTCAAACAGTACTCACTGTTTATGTTGTGAAGAATTCGAAGCTTTTCCCTAAGCGCGCGTCGCCGCGTGAGCAAAGACGCGCGCGTTTCCCCTTCCCAGACATTCCTAAACTTTCCGTTACCAAATTCAGTTACATCGTGTTGGTGTGTTAGTGAGGTCCTGCTCTGTTTGCTTCATATTTTTTCGCGACATTCTGTTTTCCAATGCGGCTCTTTCATGCACATTTTGCACTATTTATAGGACGAGCGTCGCGAGTATCACTCAATATCAATATCAAGCGATATCAACGGAGATATAGATAATATTTCACTACAGATCCATTGAGGTAGGTTATGGAGCTTGAAGTATTCACCGTGTAATCGTGTGAAATGAGATACATGTGACGTCATGAATTGGTTAAGAGACGATCGGTTCGTGTCGAATGTCGGAGTGGTGTAGTTAAATTGTAATCGTTCTGCATTCTAGCAATGTTTTATCCGTCATAAGTAAGTTGCGTGAATAAACAAATGACAGAAATGTGAAATTGAACAACAGACTAATTATTTCAATGTATATTTATTAAGTAACAAGATCGTGTTTAACACGTTTTCTGATATTTACAAGCGGCACCAAGATAACCTAACCTAACCCAACCTATTTGCCGGAACATTTTATGACAAATTTTAAAAGTTTAGTTTTGCGAAACGTGAATTAGTGACATATATCCTAGTGTGCGAGTGATCAAGAGTGCCATATGATGTATTCACATGGGCGTGAGCGAGGACGCAGAAAGCAGAAAAAGCATTGACCGAAGGAAGGAACAAGACGCAGCGGCGACGCATCGACTGGTGAGTAAACATGTTTATTGTATTTCCCGATTATATATGTATTTATCAATTTAGTAAGAGGATGATACACCTGTTTATTTATTAATTAATGTAAAATATATATATTCGACTGCAATTATGTTGCTTGTAGCATTTATGTTAACAATCAAGTTTTTCTGTAATATTTAAGAAGTAGGTATATTTTTTATTACACAATTATAATTATATTCAATTGCTTTGTGTTCATAAAAAGCAAAAAGAATCGATGACTTGAATACAGTCATTCAATCGTGGAAACGTGCAGTTGGTTGCGATTTAACATAAATAATTAAATTATATTATTTCTCACAATTGTCTTTTAACGCTAACTAGTAAGATGGTATAAAATAACGCGTAAATCTTGCCCAACCCAGTTGGCACTTGGGGGGCAAGGGGTTAATATACTGTTAATACGATGACACGACGCGACATGACGCGGCACCTTATCCATGTTTCTATCGAATTGCAGTCGGTGAGAAACTTTAATTATGGAATGAGCGCATTATTATTATAAACTTTTTTTATTACGTGCCCGCAAAATATATTAAAACCATTCTTCCATCTAGAATATATTATATTTCTCGTATCGAAAAAGATATCTCAACTAATAAATACATTTAATTATCTTAATAAAAAGTTTAAAGAGTTGATAAATTTGAATATTGATAAGTTTTTACACATCGATTGATACAGTTATTTGACAAACGTATGAATATTTAATAACAGGTTTTTCTCTATTAAAAATATTTTTTTAATATTTACTTTAATTTTGTATACAAAATTATAGATTCCGAAACTAAATATGATCAATATTACAACTGGCTTTCGAATTGCGTCACTCGCCTCGTCGACCGATTTCTTCCGTGTTCGATTTTAACTAATCGCGGTGCTTAATCGAAATAATTGATTTGGCGCTTTCGACGCCGCAACCGCGAAAGTCGGGATATTAACGACTCCAGCTTGAACTCCTTGAACAGTAAAGGCAGACTCTTGGCAAAGGCACAGATGTCGGTTCGGAAACTGTGCTACGCAATGTGCCGGGAATACGAGCGCGGTAAAGTCGTTTACCGTTACCGTTAATCGATGTCTCCGCGAGCATTTACGTTTTACTCTTACTAATCCTCAACGAAAGTCCGCACACGCGGAACCGCGTGCCGGCGGTATGCGCTCGGCGTTATGAACGCTCGACCGTGTCGGCAATTACCGGATCCGCGCGCGCCTTTTATCCGCGTCGAGTCAGTATTTCACGTTTTAAGAATCGCATCGGTTGCTCCGTGTGTTATATACGGCACGAGGTGCAGTTATTGCTCGCGGACGAACAAGGATCTATGTCGCACATCGAGGCAGGTTTCGAAGAGAAAAAGAATCTCCAAGAGAGGTTTCGGGCGGCTGTAAATTACTGACGGTCGAAGTGGATAACATGGATCTACACTTCACACGACTACCTTTTATGATTCAAGAAAAATGTAGAAAATATTTCTGTGGTTTGATTCAAGAAGAATCAACGTTACTTTTTGATTTTATTTTTTATCTTGTTTTCATCGAAAAGTTTGAAAATATTAGTTGTTTTTGCATTAAATTACAAATATTAATAAATCAATATTATAGTTTGATATTATATTGTAATTTAATCTCGTAAAAATCTTAACATGGATCAAAATATTTGAATTAATTATTTGAATGCACACCTCGAACAAATAATAAAAACAGAAAGAAGCCGTTCGCGGTCGATGTTATCCACAGTCATCTTTCAGAAAAGATGTTTATCTTCGGTAATCTGACGTCTATCGAAGGAGACAACGGGCTATAAGACGGTGTGAATAGCAAAGTTATTGATCGCAAATCCAACTCTGATGGAAATTAATTCTCCGATAGTTGAAAGTCAGAAAATTAATCTTTGAATAGTCAAAAGTCAAGAGATGACTTTTGCGTTCCGATAGAATTATCCAATTATCCAATTGCTTAATCCCTCGTCGTGACGTGATTTACAATAACATGAGTAATGATATCGCTTTATTGGATTTTTTTCTCAAGCAAACCACTTTTCTCGTTATATAAATACTCATCGATGTTGTATTAATGTGTTATATATAATATTTTATATATGCTGCGTGAACTTTGTGGTGAACTAATGGTTTCCGTTTAACTGTTTTCGCGTTATTATGCTCTAAAATATTGAATATAATTGATACAAAAATGATATAAAACTCATTGTTTTAGGGTTAAATAAATTTGCAAATACCGTTTATCAATGTTTTACCGTTGCTAAAAAAATTATTTTTATGACCCTTAATAAAGTAATAAGTTCTTTAAGTTTTTTTATAATTGCGCTGTTAAAAAAAATTATTCTTCTAGTATACATTTATTATTAAGCATTTGAGATAAAATAATTATAATATTTGATTTGCAAAAGATCAGTATAATCAATCAAGATTTAATTTTTTTAAAGTCTATATATCATATATGATACATCGGGAGTTAATTTAATCATTTACGGCACATGTGAGGGCTGAGACTGAAAGAGTTAATGACTCGTGGGTGTTATTAGATACTGCTAGATGCTTTTAGACGTTTCTAAGGTGCTCGTTTGGGAGACACATGTTTTATGCGTCCTAACTTTCCGTTTCTTTAGCATCCTACAATAGTTTTGAAAGTAAAAGGAAAATCGCAGAGGCAACCCTATCTAATGCGAGCGTGGCGCGTGACGTTTTACCGCTAATTTGGAGAAAGTACAGACATAATAGTCGTCATTATCGACGCTGAATGGACACTCTACCGGCATATATATATGTATATGCACGACACTTGCTTTGCGTTGTCTAACATATGAATTAGTGAGACAACGCAAGCATGATAAAATATATATAACATATTAATGAAATATCGATGAGTACATAACGAGAAAAGTGGTTTGCTTGAGAAAAAAATCTAATAAGCGATATAATATATATCATTACTCATGTTATTGTGAATCAAGTCACGACGTGGGATTAAGCAATTGGACAATAATCCTATCTCTTGACTATTCAAAGATTAATTTTCTAACTTTCAAGCATGATTCGAACAGTTTGCGCATTTTAATGTTTCTAATATTTAAATTATTTGTTGCTATATTAACAAATTACATTTTTTCTAGTTTAAATAAAATACTTGAACGTTAAGCACTTGTGACACAATTAGCTAAAATTAAATTAAATTAAGAAACTTGTTTTGCAATAAATTACATAGGAAAATTTAAAGATTAAAAGATTTGCGTTTGCAACTCGCAACTAGTCTAGAAAAAATTATTGCTATAGAAAAATATCAGACATTGCGAGCTAGTTGCAAGTTGTAAATGCAAATCTCTCTTTCAATCTTTAAATTTTTTAATTTAATTTATACGTAAAAAAATTTTTGTTAATATATATATTTTATTATTATATATTATGTATTTAATGCGTATAATGTAGCTATTTTCTCTAAATTTCGTTTTGTACTATGTAACATTAATACAGAACTTCCTTTCGGCCTTATCCATGCTCGATGATTATGGAGGTAGTGAAAGTACTCGGAGATAAGCGAGATTGCTTGATGTGACGATTCGTTAGTGCGTTAATAATGATACCTTATTAGCTGCGACACGTTAATATAAATGTAATTTCTAACGAGAGAAGACGCTTAGTCACGGAGAACCATGCACGTCTATTCTTTTAAATTTTCCTTGTGTCGCCACGACATACTTTCAATCGCGCGAAACAACGATAAGATTTTACTTCTGAGACTTTACTTCTCGCATGTGAACGTCTTGCATATTTGGAAATTTTGTCGAGTCGCCAGATGGATTTTTTTCATTCGAGAGAAAGCTTCGCGTACTTGGTGAAACCTTTCGACCACACGACAGCACGACACAACAACGTTGCGATTCATCCTTATTTTCACGTTTTGTATGTCATATCACTGTCCGTTTCATATGGCAGCGTATTATTCAGCGGCACGAAGCGCCGCGAATCTCACTACATCGTTTGTGACCACTGCCGAAAGTCGCTAGTCCATATTCAAAATATGATGAATTGCAAATGAACAAGCGAATGTTTTTGAGCGTGATTAAGAACTAAGCAAACTGAATTAATAACAACTAAATTTCCATCAAAACTTGTGTCACCAACTTCACATATGTCGCGATTCATCATTAATGATCTATAAATTTTTCCTTTTGAATTTATTCCTAAAAGATGTATCTTTCGATTATATTTTTGCAAAACAATTACATTAATAAATATTCATGGCAAAAATAATAAAAATATTATAAATTAGGAAACGGTAATGAAGAAAATGGAATAAGCAACTGTTCTTTTAAACAAATGTGTAAAATTGTTCGCGTCTCGTATACTTGTGGTCAAAGGGTTAAGAACGTCGTAAAAAGCGTGTTTAAACGGGGTCGTCGTCATCGTCGAAAAGCAGATTATCTGTGATCTACGATCTATCTCGTGTCATCTACCTAGACCTCACATATTTTCTTGCGCGTTGACGGGGCCCCGCTCTTCCCGCATTTAGATACACACGTCGTCGTCGAGTATATCGAGATCGAGGCCGATGGAAAAGTCGACGGATCTCTCGTAAGAAGGTCGATGGGTGAACGCCATGGACTCTCGGAGCGAAGAAAGAACGAAAGAGAGGAATTAATCGTACGTGAAAGAGTAACGAGAGAACCTCGAGTTGTGCCGGTACACGCGCCTCGCGTGTGTACCTGTGTATTTTCGTGTGTGCAACACACGTGCGAATACGTGTCCAATATGCACACCTGTGTGTATCGCATTATCGCCGGGAGATATCGACAGTTGATACGATGATTGGCGGGGTTAGATCCCGGGCGCGCGATTGTCCGTTTTGTCGCGATAGAAATCTTCGCGTCTCTCGCCATTTAGAGCAGCTTGCCCGCGCGTCCTGTCGTATCTGTGTAAAATTGATGGCGGAGCACGCTCCGGACTACTGGACTACTGGAA